ATGAAACAGGGTCATTAGTGAAGGGCAATGCGAGATTTATCCAATTGCCAGCATCCAACTGCTCCTCCAGCCGCACTTTCATTATGATAGAAAAGTCAGAACATGAAAATGTCGTTTATTAAATCATTGGTCCTAACAGTAATATGTTGGTATACTTCCAATATCTGTAGCATTGTACTATTCACCTGAGCTAACTTACAAGATGACCAAGGAATGTGGGAAGACCAGGCCGGCAGGCACAGGAATCAGATTCTCGGGGTAAAAAAGAAACATGAGAGATGCTAAAACTCCCTGAAGGGTTGTCCAATTACCCACGTTTGATCTGGGTGGCACTTTACACCCGGATGTTGTCTCACACTCTATGTTTATTAGAATACTCCGAGTTTCCTAGCTGCCTGGCCCTCTGACCTGAGAGCCGAGTGGCTTGAGAGAAAGGGAGAGCGGCCTCCCTCGCCCACCTGCTCCCATTCCTGGAGACATTCAGTGATCCTCCGGCGGAAGAGGGTGCGCCTCAGCGACATCTTCCTGCCAGAAACTTAGTAACCTGGGAAAGAAATATTGTGGAGGCGCCGAGACAAGACTGATGAAAAATTGCTGTTTATCTAACGTGACACCAAAAATAACAAAAAGTATTTGGGAATCTAGGGCCCCAGCAGATCTGACACGTGGGAGTGCTCACATCAGCAGCCTAGCAGAGGGCTGACCCAGCAGGGCTTGGTCGGGTAGGACAGAGGCTTGAGGCAGGGCCTTTCAGTGGAGAGGCTGTGCCAGCAGGAGGCTGGGTTCCAGCAGGAAGATTGGGGCTTCCAACAGGAGGCTGAGGTCACTGAGGTCCAGCAGGCCGGGGGGTTCCCGGGGGAAATGAATCGAGCCCTGGCTCCACCTGCGCCATGCAGGGATCTGAGTTTCTTTCTTTTATTTTTTTTAATATATTTTATTGATTTTTTTACAGAGAGGAAGGGAGAAGGGAGAGGGATAGAGAGTCAGAAACATCAATCAGCTGCCTCCTGACACCCCCTACTGGGGATGTGCCCGAAACCAAGGTACATGCCCTTGACCGGAATCAAACCCGGGACCCTTGAGTCCGCAGGCCGATGCTCTATCCACTGAGCCAAACCGGTTAGGGCGGGATCCGACTTTCTTTATGTCTCTATGCTTCCGCACAGGGTTCAGCATATACTAAGAGCCAATGGTAACGGAGTATTTCTTCTCCTGTTTATTGTTCTAGCAGCTCCCACACGTGTCTCCAGCAACCTTTTTCAGGCTCATTTGGATGGAGTGAGGGTCTGGGTGAAAGAGGTCAGGAACTGTTTATCTGACTTTCCCTAAACACTTTAAGCAAACTAAGTCAGTGGCTGGTTCCAGATTCCTGGGACGATTTCAGAAGTTCCTCTATCTCTTCCCACAACTTCCCGTGAGGACCCTCCTCCCCTCCCCTCACGGCGTCTGCTCCCACTTCTGCTATTTTATGTGCCTTTCTCCTGGAACTCTGTGAAGCCCTACCTGTGACAGTTTCTAGTGCTGAGCTTAGTCATCTATAGAAGATAGTATAGAGGTGTGGAGAGCGGCTACAGTGTTTGGACAGGTTCAAGCCTCGGACTAATGAGAGGGCACAGTCCTCTCATGGCCACGTGCAAGTCCCAGCTTGGAGGGCAGAGCCCTCCCAGCAGTTATAGCCAACAGCTATACAGTGAGGCCTTGACTTACGAGTGTCCCAACTAACGAGTTTTTTGAGATACGAGCCGTCTCGGCCGATTTTTTGCTTTGAGTTGCGAGCTAAAATTTGGGTTACGAGCCAGCTTCAGATACCCCACTGTTAGTTGGCACAGCGAACGTCACAGTGAACGCCACAACATCAGCCCAGCATCACATGTCTCACTTGTTCACTGTTGATTTGACACATGAGTAATTTGAGTTACGAGCTCTGTCATGGAATGAATTAAACTCGTAAGTCAAGGCCCCACTGTAGATGTAAGCTTGAACCTATGGTCTGAGCACGTGGCCCCACGTGCCTGAGTGATGTGGGCTCGATAGAGGTCAGATGCATGTAATTGAGTAGCATCAAAACCCATGAGAATGTTGTAAACATCCTGACCACGCCCTTACTTTTGCCTCGTGGACTCTGGCTATAAAATGAAGACACGGTTTGTAGGCCGTGATGCTGTCTCTCCATCAGAGAGGACAGCTTCCCACCCAGGCCCAGCTTTCTTCTCTTGTCTGTCTTTCCTCAATCCTTCACTGCCCCCTCCCAGGGTCACTGAAACAGGCTGAGCTGGCCTGGCACATAAGGTGCCTTGGGGCTGAGTATGCCATGGCCATGCTGGCTCGCCGCATAGAGGGTCCAAAAGTCTTACTGCGGACCTAAACTTGAATGGTTTTAGAAGTGTGAATACTACAAACTTAGAAAAGCCAGCACTGTAAAGGCTACTAATTTAACAAACGAATATCTTTCTTATTGCATTCAAAACCACCACTCTCTAGTGCTAGCGGTTGCAGTCAATTCCCAAATTGCAAAAACTGAGCAGCAGCAACTGAAAGAACTGCATTTGGAGACCATTCAGAGAACAAGAACCTGCGGGTCCTCTCCCTGACCTGCGGCCACAGGTCTGAAGGAGGGGGGAGTGAGCCGGCGGCGTCCTCCATTGAGCCACCAGTCTGACAGCGGCCATCCCCACGCTGTCACCCATGGCAGAATTAAAAACTAACATGTGCTCTGCAACATTCTCAAAGCTGAGAAAGTGTACAATCCTTAATAGCTTACACTTTCACATGCTGATTTCTGTAAGGTTAGAGCATTTATACTTCTGATTGGGGACGCCCTGTGTATGGCCTCAAATGTTCACCTTAGAAATAATGAGCTCTGTACCCAACCCAGGAAGCCAGAATAATACAAAGAAGTAACAGAAGAAATAAGAAATGCAGGAACAGAAATTTATAAACTACAAGGTGAATAAACAATAGGGAAAGTTACCAGCCACTTCTTGAAAATACAAGGGAGACAGAAAAATAATAATTAAATATGATCAATAAAACATGTGGGAACAGAACCAGGTTTCTACGGCTTTAATGAAAAACATTTTATTTAAAAAGTAGCTCTTACTCCAAACAATGCCGCCCCGAGAAGCAATTGTTTGTGGGCACTGATTGTGCCCTCAGAGGCAGTAAGCTCCAGCCACAGGGAACGCCTCCTCCATGGAGAAGCCGCGCTCAGGGGTGGCTGTGGCAATGCCTTGCTGATGCCTTTGCTGGGGACAAGGAAGGGCTGTGCCAGCTCCCAAGTGCCCGCAGGGGTGGGCGAACCTCAACTGCAGCTGCAGGGCTGGTAATCTTGTCCCTCTGCCTCGTCCTGCCCGCCTTGCTGACCAGCGTCACTCCCAGGGGGGCCACGCTTCCAAATGTTGTCAGGTGCCAGTCCATCTCAGAGGCATCTGCAGAGGACCCGGCCCAAGGGGGCGATCTGAGTTTGTAAGCCATCTGGGCCAGGGCAGGCGCTCCTTTGGGGCTGAGAGTGTGGCTGGTGACGCCTCACGATCATTTCATATCGTCACATAGAAGTTTGGAGAGGGGTCTGGGTTCCAGCCTGATGGTGGCCAAGCCAGGACTAGAAGCCAGGCCACCTCAGGCTCTGCTCCAGCTCCACTCCATCCAGCACATGCCTCCCCGGGAGGTGGGCTCTCCTACCGTTTCTGTAAGTTGACCTTCCATATGTCCTTGTGAGCAAAAGGGGTTCTATGGAAAGTAACCTCTCAGGGTGATCGGATCATAAATTCCTACCTGGGCAGGTCTTGCTGGGTGGTCATGCCCCAGGCGTATAACTTCTTTACCAAAAGGCTTATCTTTGCCTTCAGCAAGCCCTGCCCACTCCGTGCATCTAAGTTAACAGACCTTTGAAATAACAACCTTAAAGGAAATAATCTTTTTTTTTTTTTTTTTTTTTTAAATATATTTTATTGATTTTTTACAGAGAGGAAGGGAGAGAGATAGAGAGTTAGAAATATCGATGAGAGAGAAACATCGATCAGCTGCCTCCTGCACATCTCCTACTGGGGATGTGCGCGCAACCCAGGTACATGCCCTTGACCGGAATCGAACCTGGGACCTTTCAGTTCGCAGGCCGACGCTCTATCCACTGAGCCAAACCGGTTTCGGCAAAGGAAATAATCTTAACTCTTTTGTAATCCAATCTGTACCTTGCTTTCTCCCACCTCCCTGTAATCTTCCTTACATCCCCTCCTTAATTTTTAAGGCGTAAAAGAAACCACAAAACTGTCATTCTCCTGAGCATTTGAGATCTTGCTCCTGGCATATGTTTGGCTCAAATAAACTCTTCCAAAAATTCTCTACAAGTTTGGACATTCCATATGTCAAGACCTTTGATATTTTCCCCCTTACACACAGGGAGGCTTTTTTTTCTTGAAACCTGGGAATTGTTTTCTTGAGGAATATTACAATCTGATATACTTTGACCTTACACTTTTTTTCAGGAGCATTTTTCAACTTTCCTCTTTCCTAAATGTGTTATAATGTGCTCTCTGGAAATTCCCTGTTGACATTTTAAGAAGAAAGAATTCAGATTCAGAAATATGCACCATGATTCTTCCTGTTGTCGGGAAATCAGAACATGGGCCAGAGTTCCCTGAGTGGTTTGAGTTTATTGTTTCAATGATTGGACTTGTTTATTTCGGCAGGCTGGAAGTACGCTAGCTTTCAGAGTTGAACAAATATTCACTAATTCTCTAGAATACACTGAACATCATTTGAACTCTGCTATTTTTTTAAAGCTCCATATTCACTGTAATACTTTCCTCTGGAAATTAATTTGCTATAGTTATTTCCTGCTTGTGTTATTTACATAGAGCACCTATATGAGAGAAAAAACCCCCAATCAAACTAACAATAAGTGAATTCTTATCTCAGTTGATTTTAAAAAACGCCTTGTACACAACACTTAAAACAAATAATGCAAAAAGACAGAATGAAGAATATTCCTAAAATGACTTTGCAAGATGTGCTTTATTTTGAGTCAGTCCTGAACCCAGACTACATAGGATCATTTTTCTTGACATATTCTAGTCCATTCAATGATTCTTCTCAGAAACTGTATTTTAATATGGAATGAAAACTACATTTCAGTCATAAATTTCCATGCTACAATGTTATTTAGTGAAGAGGTTGTATTACCAATAACAATAATTTAAGAAAAGGCCATTGTTTATTTCCCCAAGCTCAATATACATATTTCTTTCATAATTATGAACTTAAAAAACCCGTCTCAGATGTAAAAATGTGAATTGGAATATGTAAACTCTGATATACCTGAAAAACAGGAAGGAAAATGTCACATACTGGAAAACCATTGCTTTAAATCATCGAAATGGGAAAAAGCATGTTGGGGGATGGAGCAGGTAGAAGAGTGCTCATGACCTCAGTTAATAAAGAGTTACAAAGTCAAGGTCCTCCACCTCTGCTGGGCAGCATTTTCCATCTTTCTACTTCTTGTCTGTGTTTCACCAGGAGCAGTAATGAGCTCTCTGAAGTAGAACAGCCACCACCATTGACGTGAATCACTAGCTGGGTCTCAACAAAGCCAGTGTCCACATATTTGTTTTGCTGCTTTATTTATTTTTTTTCCTGAGAAGTCACTGGTGTTTAATGGGAAAAAAAATTTATTAATCTTCAGTTAAGATAAGGCAGTAAGAGTGTCACTAAGTTATCTTTTTGCTTAGAATGAGGCTTATCCATCCACTGGCATCTTCAAGGATCATCAGCTCCCTCTCTCTTTTCCTCCTAGAAATGTTTAGGAGTTTTCAGCCTCCTATTGCTGTTGCATATTCGGGTTGTGCTGAGGTCCATCTATTCTCCCCATAGCAGCTTCCCCATTGGCGACAGAGCGCTGAGGCCTGTATTGTAGCATCTCTTCAGGACGGGCAAGGTCCCCACACAGGAAAACATGGCGTCCTTCCTCCTTCCTTCTTCTCTTCTGTTTCTCTGAGGGAGGAGACTCATCAATGATTCCTTCACATAGTCTATCAGAATGCAAGACACTGTTGATTAAAACATAAACCAAGTAGCCCTGATTCAGAGAAATGGAATTACAAATAACTTTTTCAACAGCGCCTGAACCTGCAAGGTAGCTTTGACTACAAAAGGAAGCCAACTCCCTTTGGCCGCCTGTCAGAAGAGAAACCATTTCCATCGAATGAGAAATGCATAGCTCTTATGAGAATATTGTGCTTTTTTTTTGTTTTTGAAAATTCAAATGGTATCTTGATTTGCAGTCTGTGTCCTAAGGTATCAATTTGTTTTTTCTCTAGTCCATTTGATCATGGTTTCTGGTGAGCGGTACAGGAATATTAATTTGGCATAGAGATCTTCCTCTAGTTCCAGTTCCCCTGTCTCTCGAACTAAAAAAATGTCTGTGCACAACTTCAAAATTCGGTCCACGTTGGGAAGCTCTTCAAACATGATGGAGTGGGAAATCCCACTGAAGAACTCGCGGACAAACTTCCCAATCACAAGGACAACGGAAGCATACAGTCCCATGATACTGAAAAAAAAAAAAATTAAGCAGAAATTGTAGCTAGCAGTTAAATATGGTAAATAGAACGCATCTAAAAGAAAAGCATAACATTTTCTTTCAAAATCCATAGAGGATGTGATAAACTTAACAAAGCTTACAGTTTTTCTCTGGTGAAAACATTTACTTTTTGATGATAAAAAAGGCAATTCATGTTCTTTCTAAAAAAAATTACACATTACAGAACTGTAAGATTTGAAAAAGAAAAGTCCTGTGAAATCTCACATTTTGGAATTTACTAATTTTAACAGTTTCACATATGAACTTCAGGTGACTTTACCGCATATAATACATGCATCAGCCATATCATATATTTGGTAGAAATCCAATTATACTCTGTATACTTTTTTGTACCTAACACTTTTCACTTTAATAATACAGCATTTGTTAGAGATTCATTTTTATAATAAAACTTTGGTTAGACAGTGATTTCTTAAGAGGTTTATCCTGGAAAATGGAAAAGTTTCTACTTCTCCTTGTAGGGGATGTGTGACAGTGTCCTAGGATTTTAAGCATCAGAATGTGGTTAAAGGATAACATTGGACTTGTCCAAAACTATGGTTTCTAATTGATCCTATATCTTCTAAGGGCATAAGGAAATCTAAGCAAAGAAAGATAAATTTATGCTAATTTCTAAGTTTAAACACGGAATCGCATCAATCAAACTGTGCTTAACAGGAAGATACAGTTCACAAGCCGGAGATACAGCTTCTAGTCCCGTCATTAGCAGTGTGAGCCACACAAGGCTTGGAACGTCTTTGGGACTCTGGTTCCTTATATTTTAAGATGAAGGGTCAAGGATCTGTGAATTTAATATTTCAGCTACAAAATTGGAAAATTTTAAGAAGATAAATGGCTTCCCATCTTCAACTTTATATGATACAGAAGTAGACTCCTTTTTAAAGAACAGAAATGTTTTCTTTTTGAGGGGCATTTTTTTCAATTTTATTTTTCAATTACAGTTTACATCTAATATGATTTTGTATTAGTTTATGGATTCAGCATAGTGGTTAGCAGACGTAGACTCTTGTAACTGTTAATTGTTAAAGGGGTCCTTACCCATAGCCAGCCAGGAAGCCCAGACTGGGGGGGCTGACTTTGTCATTGAAGACCACCAGCTCTAAGGCCTGGGCATGCTGATTGTAAAGTCTAGTTCCAGTCAGATTGAGAACCCACCACTCACTATTAGATTTAATTGTATTATCTCTGGACAAAATGATGGTGATATTCATGAAATTATTTTCTGGAAGAGAAAAAATATAAAATCAAGTTAGCATGAGCATTTTGGGATTTAATGCACATCAACAACAGTCTTCAAATGGCAAAACCTGGTTCCCGTCCACAGCATATGATTCCAGGATGTCCACATGGCCATGTTAACAATGCAAGTGAAAAGAAAGAGTGGGCCTAGGTGTGTATGGGGCTTCTCTTTTTTTACTAAAAAGGTCAGTCACTGTGGCTACATGTGCAGGGCAGCAGAATCACAGCCAGAGAGGGAAAGACCCATCACCTGGGCACCTTTGCTGATAATTCCCAACAACTAGTTAGACATCAATTCATTCCCATCACAGTTGTATGGGGGAAACACAGTCCCTGGAGCACTTCTATTGATATTTAATCACCCGTGGGCTGAATCAAGTACATTTCCTACTATCTTTTCATTGCTCTTATTGTGGGGTCTTCATATTTAACACTGTAAGAGGCAGTTTTCTGCCACAGATATGGTTGCTAATAGAAACAAGTAAACAGACTGACTAAGCAGTAACATAAGTCATTAAATATGAATTTGAGTCAACCAGGTTCTATATCAATAAACAGAAAAAGAAAACAAAGAACATGGATCCCAGCTGAGCGAATGACTCCTCTGGCTGGTGAGCACAGCCAGGAGCCTTATGCTTCTTGCAAGGGAAAGAAAACCGGAAAGAAGTTTGATAGAGGCTGAAAAATGCAAACCCTAGGTGTTGAATAAAAGAAAGATTAAAAAGAATGATTGAGTGATTCCCTCTCATTCTTACCAGATAAAAGTTGCTTTATAGGTTTGGAGTTAGAATCACTAGGTGCTTTCACATAATATGGGTAGATCCTTTCTATAGTCCTGTGCATAAAGAAAAAAAAAAAAAAGAGGTAATTGAGTTTTAGTTGTTGAACCATGTAAAATTGATTTTTTTTATTGCTATTTTGACCTTATACCAAACAAATAATGGCAAGAGTCTTTATATGTCTATGCACTGTGTAGTCACCATCATTTATGGGTATTTGTTATAATCAGAATTCTCTGGCATTTAAAGGAGAAAATAAAATTAAAGAAATTCTTTTAAATTATGAACTATCCCCTTTGGAATATTTCTTTACTCTTTCCTTGTGAATTCACTTTACTTTTTCCTTTGTGAATCCAAAAAAATTCACCAGGTTCTATCCAAATGCTCATTCATCTAAACACCATACACAAGCTAATTAATGCCTTAAAACTGATGCAGAGATGTTCCCATATGTTACTGTTTCTGAAGCAAAGGGCTGTCTTTCTTGCTAAGCCTATCATTTGTATTAATAACATTGAGCGCTCTTTTAATTTTTAGGATTTCAAAAATATCAATAATCAAGTGGACTGCATTTGATCTAGTGATACGAGTGAGGTGTGAGGAGAGAACTGGTGACCTGAACCTTATCCTACCTCTGGAGGGATGAGCTGGGTCACCTGAGAAGGCTATTCCATCATTCTAGACCTGTTTTTGCATCTCGGAAGTGATGGAGGAGGACCTGACAATCTTCAAGGGACCTTCAACTTCATTGATAAACAAAGAATGTTTTAGTCAGGAATCTGTCTGAGGGTTGCGTCATGGTGGTTCTCACATTCAAAGCATAAAAATGGGGCCAGGGCAGACTGGCCACAGAACTGGGAAATGGCTAGTGGACATCATTTAGCAGTTTTAGACCAATAGCATTTTTTTTCTCCTACTAGTTCTTATATTAGAATCTAAACATCACAGCTTGGATGTGTTTGAAATGGAGCACTTATAGGGCATGATAATATGTTAAGATATAATTTCCTCCTCAAATTTCTGTTTACCTTTTGTCTACCCCCCATTCATTCGCTAGGCATTCAGTGACCCTGCAGCAGGAACAACAGGAAAAGGGTCTTGCAGAGTCTTCCCCTGGCTTTTGGTGATTACAGAATACAACAGCATGGCTTGCTGCTCAGGGGTGAGAGCAATACTCCCTGGCTAGGGGACAGAGAGCGAGAGGGAAGACGATAGAGTTGCTTTAATCTAGCACAATGAGGCCCCCAAACAGAAATTCACTTGAGTTATCAAAGAATGATGATTGCATTTCTTGCACATGATGAATTCGTAGGTAGAGATTCTTTACCAGGTACATACACCTATTCAAGCTATAGTAACAGGAACAATCAACTTACACTGGTGTTGTTGAACTTTGTGTGTCGTTGCCAGCTATCATTTTAGCTATATTCTCTCGAGTAATATTTTTAAGAGGAAAAGTAAGCTTGTCTGTTGCTACTTCTGCTTTTGCACCCAGACTCATGTTTCTGTGAAGAAAAAAGCACAAAACGTCAATGTCAATGATTATTCAGAAGTCTGGAAGAGAAATTATAAACTCACTTGACTCTTAATGTTATTAATCTCACCAAGGTTTTATTGGGTCCACGATTGTCAACCCCAGCCCTTTCTGTCCACCTCAGCTTTATGTCCAGTTTCTTAGACAACCAAGTTAGTAAATCCCAGGGAAACCACACACACTTTTAACACAAATGGCAGATGAGGAGGCACAGTCTACTGAGCAAAAGAGAAAGCGTCCTGCTGCTCTGATAAGCATTTCCAGAACTCTCTTTATGTCAATCCAATGAAGCTGGTGTTCATGGTGACTAATGGAATCCACATTTAAAAAAAAATTTTCAATCAGAAGTTGATGTTTCATGTTGTTATTTTTTTGGTAGGTCTTCAAAGAAAGGCTAAGAAGTAAATTTTTTGGCTGTACAGAATTCCATGTGAGGAATTTGGGACATTTAAAGGAGAAAATAAAATTAAAGAAACTCTTTTAAATTATGAACTATCCCCTTTGGAATATTTCTTTACTCTTTTCTTGTGAATTCACTTTAGATTCTAGAAGGCTTTCTTCTGTACCTATCATAAGTCTTCTTAATTCCATCGAAGAAGCTGGAATTGTGGCCCTACATGAACCTAACGCTTGATTGACAAATAAACTTGTATAGAGTCCTCAGTCACAACTGTGATGTAAGTAACTAATCAGTTGGTATATTGTGTTGAGGCCCCTGAGCTGCTTCCCTAACACGTCTGGCTTCGGGATGCCAGAACTTTTCCTCAGACATGCTCTGTCTAAACAGGAGAAGTAGTGGCCACATGCTGGCCATTGGCGCAGGTTAGGCGAAGAGAAATTTCCCTCAGCTCTCCTCTCCTGGGTCTGCCAAGCTGCTCTCACATCTCACGCTTGGAGGAAAGATCTGCTAGGGCTCCCTGGATGTTGGAGAGATGCAAGTGAGAAGCCAGGGTTCCAAAGGCTGCATATTCTTTATTATTAAGACCGAATTTTCAATGGCAGAAAGTAAAGAAATTAAGCAAAAAACATGTATATCACACATAGACACAGACAACAGTGTGGTGACAGCCAGAAGGAAAGGGGAGTGGGAGGTTGGTGGAGGTGGGCAAAGGGGTGGGGTAGGGAATAGGGACTGAAAGATACTTGGCTTGGGGCAATGGTCGCATGATGCAGTGTGCAGGTGATGTTTGATTGAGTTGTACACTTGAGACCTGAATGGTTTTATGAATAAATTCAGTAAAACAAAAAAAGAAAAGAAAAAAAAATCATAAAAAAGACCAAACTTCTACCTTTTAGGGAAATCTTACAATACAACCAGGTTCTGTTTCATTTTATGAGTCATCACCCTCCTTTCTCTCTTGCTCACAGAACTCATTGCCAGCCTCTCTTTGAAATGGAACTTAGCCCTGGCCCAGTGGCCTAGTTGGTTGGAGCATTGTCCTGTACACCAAAAGGTTGTAGATTCGATTTCCAGTCTGGGTGACATGCCTAGGTTGTGGGTTCGGTCCCTTGTTGGGGCATGTATGGGAGGCCACTGATTGGTGTTTCTCTCTCATCTCTCTCTCTCTCTCTCTCCCTCTCTTTCTCTCTCTCTCTCCCTCCCTCCCTCTCTCCCTCCCTTTCCTCTCTCTTTCTAAAAATCAATTAAAAAATTTCCTCAGGTGATAATTAGAAGAAAAAAAAGAAACTTAGTAGAAAAAAGGAAATGTAATAAGTATTTTTGTCAATGATTCCCAGGTAAACCATTATTCAGTAAACAAAAATGTTAGCTGTAGCATTGAATGAATGTTCCCAAGATGTAATGTGAACTAATATCCACATTAATATATTTTTTTCTATCTTTTTATGCTCCCCACCCACCCTGAGTTTAGATTGGGGAAAAGGGGAAATTATGCATGGAAATACAGTAACTACCTCTGAATACTCCATGAAAAAACAACAGAGAAGCTACTATTGGGGTCCAGGAGTTCGTGTATCATTTTCTGCTTACTGGGAGGGCTGATGGTCCATAAAGAATTTGAGTTTCCTTCCAGTTCTGCTACTGTTATGTCTTCTTTTTCATAATTTTCCAGAAATTGCAGAGCACCCTGTATGCACACAAATACACACGCATAAATAGATCACACACGCAGTGATGCATAAAGGAAGTTATTACTCTTCCTCTTCACTGACTGTATAGACATCATTTCTTCTTTGAAAGGAAAACTTCTATACAGATTATCTTGGTGTCCCATTGCACTGACTCTATTCCCCTCCCAGTGACATCATCAAAGCCCAGGGGCGATGCTGCCACACCAATACAGCTATGGAATCACTCAAATTAAACAGTAAAGGTAAATCAGGTGACTTAGTGTCTTTTTTCCTTCCCACTAAGAAGAAAATTTATCAACTATTGGGAAATGTCTCTCTCACGAGAGAGTCAAATTTCATCGCTCAGGAATCCTGGCCCTGTCCTCACAGGTGTTCATCCCTCAAAGGTTGGTTTTGACAGTGTGCGTTACACCAATAATTTTACAGAAGAGAAAAGCCTCTGCTTACCTAATCATTTAAAAAAAAAAATCCTCACTTGAGGAGTGAGGATATTTTGTCCATTGATTATTTTCAGAGAGAGGGGAAGGGAGGGGCAGGGGGAGAGAGAAGCATCAATATGAGAGAGACACATTGATTGGCTGCCTCCCACAGGTACCCCAACCAGGGATAGGGATCGAACCTGCAACCCAGGAACTGGCCCTTGACAAGGAATTGAACCCCAAGACCCTCTGATGTACAGGCCAATGCTCTAATTACTGAGCTACACCAGCCAGGACTGCCTAATCACTTTTTAAAAATTAAACAATAACTATTATTTGTAGCCAGGATGGTGTTGCTCAGTAGTTGAGTGTCAACTCATGAATCAAGAGGTCACTGGTTCCATACAGTCAGGACATAAGCCTGGGTTGCAGGATCCCCAGGAGGGGGCAAGTGGAGGCAACTGGTTGATGTTTCTCTTTCATTGATGTTTTTATCTCTCTCTTCCTCTTCCTTCTTCTCTCTAAAATCAAAAAAGACAGATTTTAAAAAACCTATCAAAATTATTTGTAAAGAAAATTTTAATTGTAAAAGGTAATGATTATTTTTTTAATTACAGAAGTGGCTTGGAAAATATTCAGACAATATCATATGTAAAGAAAATACAAAGTATGTCAAGAAAATATAAAGCCCCCTTCTTCTACTACGACCACCCTAGGGTGGTCAGAGCTAACCAAATTCACTGCATACACATGCCATGACTTATTCAACCAGTCCCTACTTGTTGAATGCTCAAGCTGCTTCCAGTTTTTACTAAAACAGGGAATGTTGTCAAAAGTAGGTACCAACATAGTGCTTTTCCCATATCTTTAATTACTTCTTCAGGGTAGATTCTCAGAATAGACCAACCAGTCAAAAGAATAAATATCTTTCAAAACTTAAAAAATTAAAAATATTTTAAAAGGATCAACCCCTGTTGAGCTTACATTGAAATATTCTGAAATAAAATTACGATTATTAACACTTGCATCCAATAATATAGAAATGATGTCTTTGATTATCAAAGTGGCCAGTGGCTAGGAATCTGTTGTGTACAACTGATAATCTCTGAAAATCCCCCCCTCCCAGGCCATGGCAAAATAGTGAATAATGTGACAACCCCTCAGCTCACAGAGATGAAAGGTCTTCATAGAAATCTATTATACACATTTACTTACAGTGTCACTCTGGAAAGCTTTTATAAAGGCATCAAACTTGGTATGGTCCATAACTTTCAGCTGGCTTTGCTGGGCACTCATTGTGAAAATAGGCTGGAAAACAAGAGACACAGCGCTGTGAATATTCTGAAGCTCTTCTCTGCATCCCGGGTTGAAGGGAAAAGCTTTGTGTAGGATGCCACCCTCTGAGCACCCAGGGACAACTCGCCTCAGAGAGCTCTTTCTGAAGTGATTATTCCTGCACCCAAAACCAGAACAGACCTCTCCCTTCACAGCCTTCTGCCCCTTATTTCAAACATCACATATTTGCTGAGAAGTCAAAATTTAGATAGGAAATGTGGGTTGGCAAACTCTAACTACACGTCCTGTAGGGGGTTATCAGGAAAGAGTGCTGTGTGAGGTAAGGTACTTGCAGGTGAGTGAGACCTGGAGGAAGTGCACAGCCATTACCTGGTAACCTCCCAGGGTAATTGTGACCGAGACATCCAGGGGCTGGTTGATCACCCCGGCGACAGATTTGATCAAAGACATGAAGAGAAGAGGAAACCAGACAATGCAGATGAGCAGAACGATGATCATGCCTCCCATGCCGTACTTCACCACTTTCTTCTTCTTCTGCCCCCGGGGCTGAGGGTATCTCTGCAACAGAAGAGTTCACACAAGGCTCAGGCCACTGTCCCCTGAGAAGCAGGTGGGGTGGACGAGTGCTCGTCTCATGGGGTTGTGACTCAATTTAGTCCTGATTCTGCTCTGTTTGCTCTGAAGTGGGGGAGCAACCTTGTCCCAACCTGGGAACCAAGTTAGGTAGCGACAGGAAGATGTGATGAGCTCCCTACACATCCCCACCATGGTGCCATGAGGGACCAACAGGACCTCAGTGACTTTCTCCTTAAAATTGTTCTGTGGGTTTTGTTGGTGCTAAACCTCAGGACAAACGGATCAAATTCTGTGTTGAATAAAGCCTCTGGTTTTATGGGATCATGTGGGAGAAAGACATTTTACTTTAAATTCCTGAGCATTTAAAAGCTGTGCCTTTCAACTGAACCCTTCTCCCCCGCTAGTGGGTGGAAAAACATTTTTCACTTCATTAATCACGTGTTGTCAAAACAATGTTGTTCAAGGCATGCCGTAAGATCTGTAGGATCAGCACAGTCCTCTTGGTACTGTGACTCCACAGGGGCCTCTCTCTGCTTGGGTGCTATGCTGAGAGGGGTGGGGTTGGGGGTGGTGGTAGGTGTGTGTGTCACACAAGGGACTTGTGTGACAAGAACACTTGGTAGGGCTGGAATCACTTCCATTTGCTTTACCAAGGGACCCACTAAGCTCTGTCTTAAAGGCTATGGGGAAGGTGGAAGGAGACTGCTTTGCTGTCTGATATTAAAACTGCTCCAGCTCTATGTGTATATTCCTTGCTTATTAAATGTTGCTTCTCAGTGACCTATTTTCCTTCCAGGGTGACTGACCCCTGGACTTAGGCTATATTTATAATCTGGAAGCTGTCCCCCCTTCCCTACCTGGGGCTCACACTCCATTAGGATGAATTCATTTCAGTAGGTTAGGGAGAGAACAAATAATGTGCATTCTACCTGTAGGCACTGAGCTCTGGGTTACAAACTAAGAGAAAGGTCTGGAAGCCTGCAGAGACCTCTGGGGACTTTAAAGGACACTCACTGCTAAAGGGTTCTCCAAGCTTTGACACTGAGTAACTCCTGAATATGGACTTGGAACCATGAGGACACAAGCTGGACTGGAGGGCGGGTCAGAGCCAGTGTGGGAAGCATTATTGACTCAGTGCACGAAAGATAATGCTTCTAAATGACTCTGCTGTGAAGTTGGGTGAGGTTCATATTAAGGACAGTATTTTAATACCTTTGCATTGGAATTTGATATTATTGTATAAATTTTTCTATTTTAAAAGAAAAACTAAAATATTTAAAATTTGGAAATACATATTCATACACCACGGATTTGCTTTTTCATTATTTTCTCAATGAGGCCAGTTTAGACAATGGTCCACTTAACCCACTTCAACAGCACCCTAGTATTACAAAATGGAGAGCTTGGTGTGTTAAAGGAGATTTATCTATTCTCTGTCAAGAGCAGTTTGAGTCTCTTCTGCCTGTTGTGGGACCATGTTGGTTCCTCTCCCGAAGGCCAGTATCTTTGAGGCTCCCCTCGAAAAGCTCCCAGTAATTCCCATCCCACCTCCCCCTTCTCTGCTCACCCCTCCATGCATTTCCCAGGGCAGAACAGGGCCAAGACCTTTGGCCTCTCTCTAATTATGAGGCTCTCTTTCCCTTCACGTTCAAAGCAACTGTCACCTTCCTGTTCTATGCTGCTCCATCACCCCTTTCCTAGGCGAGCCAACTCTTGACCAAGAGTTCCAGTTTGCAGTTCCGGTCATGCTGCATTTCCAAACAGTTTCTTAAAGTGTTCTGGCACATCCAGTGTTGCTCAGTGGTTGAGTCTCCACCCGTGAACCAGGAGGTCACAGTTTGATTTCTGGTCAGGACACATGCCCAGGTTGCAGGCTGATCGCCAGTAGGGGGCGTGCGGGAGGCAGCCAATCTGTGATTCTCATCATTGATGTTTCTATCCCTCTTTCCCTCTCCCTTCCTCTTTCTGAAGTTAATAGAAGCATGTTTAAAAAAAAGTGTTTGGGGAAGTGGCTGCATGGAAATCATGGTAAAACATGACTAGGAGCGAGTGGCTTGCATTGTGTGTGCTCACACCAACACTGGCCTCTCAGGAAATTGCTGTTTCTTCATAAAGTGTATTTATGAAACCCCGGGAACATATTACATTCAATATGGAAAAGTGATAATTACTGGTAATGTTTCAGTCTCTTACGGGATGAAGTAGAAACTAGTGTCAGATTCATTTAGAATCCCTAATACTTACCTCTCACATACCCAGATTTCTCAAGATGTTTTACCAAGTGTGATTTAAATAGCCATAGACTTAGCATAAGGTAGAAGCATATATTTAAATTAAGGTGATACATTAAAATGAGGCTTTTCTTTTTTAAACTTAATTTATTGGGGTGACATTTGTTAGTAAAATTATATAGATTTCAGGTGTACAATTCTATAATACATCATCTGTATACTGTATTGTGTGTTTCCCACCCCAAGTCAAATCTCTTCATCACCATTTATCTCCCTTTACCCTGTTCTACCTCTCCCACCCCCCTTTCCCTCTGGTAGTCACAGTAATCACCATGCCATTGTCTGTGTCTATGAGGTGTCTCTGTCTCTCTCTCTCTCTCTCTCTCTCTCTCTCTCTCTCTCTCTCTCCTTCTCTCTCTCTCTTGCTTAATCCCTTCGCCTTTTTCGCCCAGCTCCCCAACCCTCCTCCCCTCTGACAGCTTTCAGTGTGTTCTCTGTATCTATGAGTTTGTTTCTATTTTGTTTGTTTGTTTATTTTGTTCATTTCACATATAAGTGAAATCATATGGCACTTGTCTTTCTCTGACTGGCTTTTTCACATAGCATAATGTTCTCCAGGTCTACCCATGCTATCACAAAGGGTAAGATTTTCTTTTCTTTCTTTTTTTTTTTTAATGGTTTTAACAAACAGGGATTCCCTTTTTAAATGTTTAAAGGTGTCTTCAATTTCTTTTCTGTGATTTTTAGGAAGATCTTTATGTTCCATTGCGACTTACTGGAGCTTTTGTCTACTTTTCTTGGATCTTACAAATTAATTAAAAATTGTAATCTATTTTCCAATATTTCAAATAGTTTGTCTACCCCCTCCCCCCATTTTTTAAATAATTCTTCAGACTAAATGATTCTTGGTTCTTCCTCCTTGTTTTCATATGAGTTCCAGACCCTTTGTCACCCTGATTTCTACCCTCTGTCTTTTTGGTAGATTGGCTCTCATATTCTGTCCTTATATCAATTCCCTTGTACCTTAAAAATCAGGAAAAGCTAATACAAGTATACTACCAGCCTCATCTCCTTCACTCCCACAAATGCCAGAAACATAGAGGTACAAATGGCCCCATGACTACAAAGCTAAAATTCTCAGAAGAAACTGCAGAATGCAGAGATTACATGGACTAGAGGGGACTTTTTCAAAGAGATGAGAAAAAAAGACATTTCACACCACCTCAGTTAATGTTGCTTGAGTATTTCTATTGTTATTATGCAAGAGATTCCTGCTTCATACATTGAACTTGAGAATCCTATAAATAATTGTAATTCTATTTTTAACCTTAACATTCAACCTGGAAGAATAATCAAGTATTTGCACTTCAATTTCCTTGGCACAAAGCAGTGACATTGTCTGTCCCTCATCAAAAAGGACATCAGGTGGTGAGCCTGAGTCCAAGCTACCTCACCCCACTTTTCTCCACCAGAGCAAATTTCCTCCTGTTCCCCAATGAGTCATTTAAGAATTATTGAGTCACACAGCAATATGTAATTTCTTCTTTTAAAAATAACTACAATATAAAGTGGCCAAAAGACGAACACATCTGGATGCTATTGCTAAGACAGCAGTATATCCAAAATTCCCTACTCTAGTGGGGTGAAAATCAATAGGACATTTATAAATCCTAGTAGTTTTGTCCCTGTTTCCATTTAGTTGGCCACAAAACTTGCAAAAGTTCACATTAATCTTATAACCAATCTGTATCTAAGAGAGATAAATAGGGATAAGGCATTTTTATTGGCTTACTTTTTCCGATTCCCGCCAACACTTCAGGATGAATATGTGAGCATAGATGTCCTCCACACAGATCCAGCTGGAGAGGCTCAAGGTCGTGTCTGTCCACACCCAGTCCATCACAGCCCTTAGCTCAGTCAAAAATGGAACAAGGCGGAACCTGGCAGAAACCACGTCTTGTTAGAGAGACAGTTCTGGGATGGCCCCCAATAGTCAGCTAACCCTAGGAACTCATGCAGTTACTTGATGTTTTAGCTCTTAGATCTTAGAAAAAATTCTCAAGGTGACCCTTATGGTAAAATCCAACTTGGAATACAACTGCTTTTCATTGGTATTTTCCATTCCTTTTTTTCTTTCTTTTTTTTTCTCTTCGTTTTTTGGCTGATGGGCTTAACAAACTGGTATTCCCTTTTTAAGTGTTTAAAGGTGTCTTCTTCAATTTCTTTTATAAGAAATTGAACAAATCTTTCACTTCTTTGATTAGATGTATTTCTAAGTATTTTATTGTTTTGATGTTATTATAAATGAAAGTTTTTCTTTATTTTTTTTCAGATATTTCATTGTTAGTGGTTGAAACACAACTGATTTCTGTATGTTGATTTTATATCCTGCAACTTTACTGAATTCACTGATTAGTTCTCAAGTTTTTGGGGGCAAGTCTTTAGGATTTTCTCTATATAAAATGATATCATCTGCAAATATCTATAATTTAGCTTTTGTAAGCATTTATTTGTTCATGATACAATAATCTGTTGGTTGCAGGCTTATTGAATTGTTGGGGCTTTGTTGTTGAATGAGCTTGGAAAGTTAATACACCTTGTATGTGAAAAATCAGGGCAAATGACAGCCATCAGAGGAAATAGAACATGTCTTTGGGTCACACAGTAGACTTACTAGATGACTAAGGCCAACAGGACTCTGGCTCAGTCTCTTATATTTCATTTGGGAGTAGGTTGGCCTGGGCTCCTCTCAAGTCTGGGGACTGCCCCCTGTTTCTTGACTGACAGCTGCTCCCAGGCTGGAGGGTCTAGGTTCATTACCCGGCCCTCACAACAGCTTGGGTTACTGCTTGGTATTCTCCTGTGGGCTACACAGCTTTGTCCAGACGGCACTAATTCAACACAGGGAAGAAATATCAGCCCCGTACAGGATGGCACTAAGTGAAACACTGTTCCACACTGGAGGTTCCTAACATCTGAGCATGCTCAATACCGCTTTTATGACCAAGTCCCTAGCCCCCAGGTTTGGTGCTAAGTAGGAGCCAGCCATGCCAGGAGCAGACTGACTTTTTATGCAGTCAGTCTGATTTTTATGTCTGCTTTCTGAGCAAACAGAGAGGAGATGCAACCAATATAATTCTCACATGGAAGAGTAATATGCTTCCTTTGGCAGCTAACTTACTACCAGGAATAAGCAAGTCACGTGGCATTCCCACTGATGTTAGGGGGAATAATGGCCTATTCAATGGATGGACTTATTGTACATGCAAAATTCCAAAGGTATTTAGGAATAGTCTAGGTTCCAAATATTCTATTTCATTGTGCCCAGAAATATATTTATACTTAAGGATCATGAATCCCAAAATATTATCACAGTAATTATGCAGGATATAGAAATAGAAAATTAAACCCTGTGGATGATCCTAGTTGTTCTAGGCTAGGTGAGTGGCAACTACACATAGAAAGGTATTTCAAGAAGCATATCTGTTCTTTTGTTAAATACTGTAAGAGTTTCGTGATGATCTACATTCCTGTACATCAGCACTCTTCCTCTTCCTATCCCTCCCCAGGTAGGAAGCAGAATGCCTTTCACTTGGCAGCCTCCCCTCTGTGAGCGACTATGGCACACAGCCTGTGTCCTTACCCTTGAAACAGGAAGAGGTTGACGTAATTGTAGCTCTTTGTGAGGAAGTTTCCGAGCACTCGTGTTGGGTAGCCACAGCGGATTTGGTAGGCAGACAACCCAAAGTATACACATTTCACAAAGTACCAAAGCTGAGCAACCAGGTTCTGGCTGAATTTCCTAAAACAGAAACATTCAGAAAAGTGAGGGAATGGAATCCTCTTCTGGTAAAAGGATACCAGTTTAGGATTTTTAAAAAAGCCTAATTGCCCCTCTAGCATTTAAGTCAATTCAGTCAATTCTAAGAAATTCACTATGTATAGTTGATCACTTCAAAGGCAAAAGGTAGGGTAATAAAAAAATCCCATGAATGGTGCCTCTAAGGTATGAGTGTATTAGTCAGTTGTTTAAGCCATAAATAAAATAAATTGCTGTTAAGTAAATTTACTATTAACATTTTCTCACAATGTGGATGCTGCGGCTACTCTGTCCAAAATTAAAGCTCAGAAAGAAAAAAAGAAAAATGTACAACCATAATGTTGTAAAGTTCAATCCATTTTCATTACTTTTCATTCACACTTCCAATTAGCCAGACTTATTGACATGTTATTCTTAAGGCTTGGCTATGAATGACTCTGATGTATAAGATCAAATTAATGTTATACATGAAGACTTTTAATTATGTTTATTAAAAATATCATTCTTATTACATCATATGGACCAGTCCATGTGCCCCTTCTGTGGACCCTTTACTACCATAACCTAACAGTTCCTATTTATAGCTGTCTCCCTTATTTTTCTGTTATTGATTGACACATTCATCCGTTCATGCATTAAGCACTAAATTTGAGGTGTGGGGTGAGAAGGCCTGGGAAAAGTGACACCTGGACTGAGATCTAAAGAGTGAGGAAGAAGAGGCACTGTGGGTTGGAGGCGGAAGAGAAGAGAAGGAAGGGTTTTGAGATTTGGGAGGACGTGGAGTCCTTGGAGAACTGAAGGTTAACACAGAAGATGCTTAGGGTTCAAGGTGATAGAGAGAAAGCGGTCTTAGCAGCCTCCAGGATCTTACCAGGCCTTTCCCTATCAAACTTTGGGCTGCTCTTTGTAAATCTCCCATGTCCAACCCATCTTAACCAGCAGCAACAGTTTCCAAAGACCTTACCTCTCAGTCACTACAGGCAAGATGAAGAACATCCAGAAGTGAATTCCAAAGACAAGAATGACCTGAAAAATGACCTTTCCCAATACAGTCTTTCTGAGATACAGTGCTCGGTCCACCACCATGGTTCCAAACTGAATGAGGACCATCACCAGAAACGGCCCGGGCACCTGGTCCTCGGACAGAGAAGAGGTGATGTCTGCCGCTGCTGAGTGTTTCTGGGAAAGAGACAACAGGCTCAGGCCTGAGTGGCATTTCACAGGACAGATCACTATTAGTTATTGGCTGCATGGTGGCCTTTACCTACCCCAAAGGCCCAAAAGCCAAAGACGATGATGATGAAGTCAACAGTGTCAGCCAGGAACATAAGCACATATACGTCGGTCACGGCGCTGTAGTCTGGGTGGATGAGGTTGTAGAAGAACTGTTTGATGGGCACATATATTTGCAGAGTCCTGCAAAACAGGGATCCCCACCCCCTTGCTTCAGGAGAGGCACAGTGGAGAAATGACCAGATTCTACAGTCATTCTAGTCCTCTTTCCAAATGGGTTAGACCTCCCTCTCTCAGCCTCAGGACAGTCCTGCTGGGGGTGGCTCCTGCTCGAACAGAGTGCATACAAGTTCACTGGCAAGGTAGGATCACGAACCCTTTTTCTTGTACTATAGTGAGATAAAGCCCTGAAATTTAGGTGGTTTGTCACCTGATTCATTTACTCTGCACCTGTGAGACCTTGAGCATGCTACTTAACTCTCCTAGTTTTCACTTCCTCTTTTGTAAACTGAAGGTAGCAATAAGACCTGAGGCATAGGGCTGGACTGAGAAATACATGGGAATACACCAGGGTGCTTAGACCTGAAGGGCTGACCAGGCGCCAGGTCATCGTTAGGCAGCCCTGCCCTTCCCCCAGGTGGGTCCTGGGCCTCTCTTCTCGTGGTTCCCAGGGAGTACTCTGGGCTTTTGAGTTCACCTTGCTCTGTCCTTTGTTACCATGTCCTCCTGGCTCTGGCTTGTCTGTCCAGCCTCTGCCTTATCTTTACTGTGCTCTGGGTTTTACCTTCAGTTCAAGGCCATGTTCAGGTGTGGATGGCCCTCCTGGCCTCAGAGCCCATATTCAGGACCGGCCCTGCTGCACGTCCTCTATGTTGCTTCCTCATCTGCTGTTTGTCTGCAGCCCTGACACTTGGGAGGAACCTGTGCATTTTGTTGGAGACCGGCTATATAACAATGACAAACCATCTCCCCACCACGTGCCTCAGTTTCTCCTCTCTAGGAGGAAAGTGTATGTCTGAGGCCCTTCCGGCTTTGACAGGAAATTCCTCCCTATCCAGTAGTCTTTTCCATGATAATGCTTGGAATTACATACTGTGAGCTTCTGAGATTATTTATTTATCCTGTTCAAATAGAACATGTGTTTTTCTAAATGCAACGAATGTAAAAATGAATCACACCTATTGAAAAGTGATTTTAAAAAATAATATTATTATTTTTAATAATGGGTCATTTTTTTTCTGCCTTAAGAGGATATTTGTGATAGGAGAAGTCGCTTCTCTGTTCTTCACCTTTGGTATGTATGAAATGATTGGTATCAATTATTTCCCAAAGTCCGCCAGCCCTAAAATAAAACCCACAACCCAAGTGTTTGCATGCACTCACTTCTTTATGGTAAGTGCTTTTGCTCTGATTAAATGTTCTTGAAGCTTTTCCAGGTAAAGTTCCCTTTTGCTTCTTTGCTTGATGCTCAAAACACTGCTTCCCTTTTGACTGCTGTTTCGGGTGCTTGTGCTGCCTAGGAATAGAAAGAAGCCAAGATGCACTGTGAGGCACGGACTAATTGACATAGGTATCACAGGAGTCCCTGGGGCCCCCACGGCAAAGGGATGGCTTGAAACGGACTCAGAGGGAAGAACACACATGCCTGTCAGAGCAGTGACTGACCATTTGGAATCTGCTGTCTCAAGTCTGCTTCGGAGGTAAAATGCTGAGTCATCCCTGGATTGTTATGTGATCTTTGTCCCAGAAGAAACACATGGGAAGAGCAGCTTTTTTAGTACTACCTAGGGGCCTAGGTTGCAGGTTTTTCAGGTTGGGTCCATGGCCCATCCCTTTTCTCATGTCCTCATTTCTCTAACTGTAAAATGAATATGAGGACCTTCCAGCATCTGCCTGAAGATGAATATAGTTATGCACCAATTAATGATACATGCTTTGGGTATAGATTCTGAGAAATATGTCAGTAGGCAATTTTGTGGTTGTGTGAACAACACAGAGTGTACACAAATCTAGATGGTACAGCCTACTACCCTCCTAGGCTATCTGGTAGACCACCATCATATATGCGGTCCATCGTTGATTGTTGATCAAAAAGTCATACAATGCATGACTGTTCACAAGTGTTTGGTAAGCTTTAGACAGGAGGGCTATAAATACAAATACCCAATTACTCCTAGAGCGGCAACTGGAAGGCATATCTACTTTCTGATTGCACTCATTTGCTTAGTAAGAAATTAATAAATGCATGAGCAAATTATTAGATAGTATAGCTGAAAGTTCCCATCAATGAAATATAAATATATTTTTGAAATAAATTGTGATTTACAGCACTCTGGGCACACCCAGCAGAATCTGTGGATCTGATTTTAAAAGTGTTGTATGCCCAATTCTTATTAGGTCCTTGCACTATGCTGGCCACTTTTCACAATTATCTGACGTCCTTGTCCCGGAAGGAATCAGACATTTAGAGCAATGCAATGATGTGACTGTCCCAGGTCACACACACAGCTGAGTCAGCACTTGAATTCTGGGGGGGGGGGGGGGGGCGCGCAGGGGGGGTTGTCTGATTTCAAAGCACTTTCAATTCACATCACAATACCTGCCTGCTTGGTGGCACCCAGCAAACTCCCTGCCCCAGACACACTGGCACCAATAAAAGGAGAACCTCAGTGGGTATTTCCAGCCCAGGGATACCTCTTTGAGACCTATTTGAAGAAAAGCTGGATCTGGGGGATATCTGGGAGCTGCTGTTGGAACGTTTCCTGCGGACAGCCGTCAGCTGCTCAGGGAAGGACACGTGCACTGACTCCGTAGACGCAGCCAGGTTGATGGATTTCAGAGAATCAGAGGAGTCCCTTCTGCCGTGACTGAGGGACAGCTCATCATCTGTCTCTTCCTTGTCGGTCCCACTGTCGGTAATGTCATCTTCATCCCATAGGCCGTGGCACTGAGAAAGCATGGGAAGGGACAATTCAGACTGCTGTTTCAGGTGAGGGAGCTGGTGTTCTGCCCTATAATATCTCATCAAACAAACTCTCCCCAAGATTAGAAAACCACAGGCAAAATAGAGTGACTATCTTTGGTAACACTGTGCTATTATCTGTTGTTATGTAACTGAAATTTGCAAAGAGAATGGAACTTAAATATTCTCATTAAAAAAAAGAATACATATGTGAGGGGATGAATGTGTTAATTACCTAGATGGGTGAATCCTTTCACAATGTATGCATTTATCTAATCACCACATGTCCAGTTTAAATATTTTATAATTTTATCGATTATATCTCAATAAAGCTGTAATTAAAAAAGATGAGAAAACCAAGGCAGGGAGAGATTCTAAGAAAGCTTATTATCTATAATTTTATGATGGTCCCAGGAAAGTGGATATGGGTGGGTAAGATGATAAAAGTTTGGCTAATTAAGTGAGATGGAGACAGGTGATGTTTGGCAGGTAGAAAAAAGGCAAAATTACAATCTCTTGACTTGTTCCATGAAAAGTGCTTTCCAGAACACACCTCACTATGCTTAAGACTAGCACTCCAAGGATCAACTTGAAGTATAAGTGGGTGAATTTAGCCCCATTGCCCCATGTTTACTAAATATCTGCACTTGAATAATAATAATGCTGTCCCTCCCCAAGCTATATAACACATGATGTGAATCCTTGATTCATCCATGGCTGACTCAGAAACAGAGCTGCAAATACTTAACTCAAAAAATGCTGGCCCACATGTGAAACAGATTATGATGCATTCTGCAGAGCCTGGGTTTTGCTTCAGGGAAATGGGGTGAAAGGGCCGATAAAGAGGGGAGAAATGACAGCGGAAAAGGAGGAGAGAGAGCAGAGGCCTTTCTGGAGCATGATGCCACCTGGACCGCAAGTCACCCTGACATGCTAAATTGAACTTGTGGAGAAACCAAGATGGCGGCATAGGTAAACACAGGAGTTTGCTGCCTCGCACAACCACTTCAAAAATACACCTAAAAGATGGAACGGACATCACCCAGAACCACAGGAAGGCTGGCTGAGTGGAAATTCTACAACTAGAAGGAAAGAGAAAAGGATACCGAGACTCAGAGGAGGTGCGGTGTGGAAGTAAACTACAAAGGTGCGGAGGTGTGTGTGGAGCAGGCTGGCGGCTGAGGGTGCGGTTGTCGTTTTCAATCGGGAGGGAGTCTCAGGCTCTGAGCTCCAGCTCCGGGCGAGTCTCTGGGGACCCAGACTCAAACGGGAGAAGCGGGACTGTCTGGCATTGTTTGGAACTCGAGGGCAGCTTTCTCTCTGAGGTACTTGCAGCAATTGCTGGAACACTGAGAAGCAGAGCCTCTGAAGGCAGGACTGAGAGCAGCCATAACTGCTCACTCCCCCCTGCCCTGTTGATTCCCTGGGACCCGCCCCGCCCACGCCTTGCACGGAGGCATTTGCTGGATAGCCTCAGGCAGAGGCTAGATTAGCACCTCCCTAGAGATCAGGACAGAAGTTCTCCCACTGCAGACACAGCTGATTCTCACAGCCAATTGGCCTGGAGGTCAAATCCCCCCCAGTGTTACCTACAACAATCAAGGCTTTACTACAACAAGACTGCACAAAGACCACAAGGGGGTGCACCAAGAAAGCATAAAAAATGCGGAGACAAAGAAACAGGACACAAATGACAGAAATGGAGGAAAGCAAACTGCTGGATATAGAGTTCAAAACCACACTTTTAAGGTCTCTCAAGAACTGTCTAGAAGCCGCTGATAAATTTAGTAAGGCCCTCAAAAAGACTGGTGAGACCGCCGATAAATGTAGTGAGATCCTCAAGAAATCTAGTGAGACTCTCGATGTTGTGATAAAGGACCAACTAGAAATTAAGCATACACTGACTGAAATAAAAATTATACAGACTCCCAACAGCAGACTAGAGGATCACAAGAATCAAGTCAATGATTTGAAATACAAAGAAGCAAAAAAAACCCAACCAGAAAAGCAAAATGAAAAAAGAATCCAAAAATACGAAGATATTGTAAGGAGCCTCTGGGACAGCTTCAAGCGTACCAACATCAGAATTATAGGGGTGCCAGAAGAAGAGAGAGAGGAAGATATTGAAAACTATTTGAAGAAATAATGACAGAAAACTTCCCCTACCTGGTGAAAGAAATAGACTTACAAGTCCAGGAAGCGCAGAGAACCCCAAACAAAAGGAATCCAAAGAGGACCACACCAAGACACATCATAATTAAAATGCCAAGAGCAAAAGACAAAGAGAGACTCTTAAAAGCAGCAAGAGAAAGAAACTCAGTTACATACAAGGGAGTACCCATACGACTGTCAGCTGATTTCTCAACAGAAACTTTGCAGGCTAGAAGGGAGTGGCAAGAAATATTCAAACTGATGAATTCGAAGAACCTACAACCAAGATTACTTTATCCAGCAAAGCTATCATTCAGAACTGAAGGCCAGATAAAGAGCTTCACAGATAAGAAAAAGCTAAAGGAGTTCATCACCACCAAACCAGTATTATATGAAATGCTGAAAGGTATCCTTTAAGAAGAGGAAGAAGAAGAAAAAGGTAAAGATACAAATTATGAACAAATACACATCTATCAACAAGTGAATCTAAAAATCAAGGGAATACATAATCTGATTAACAGAATGAACTGGTGATTATAATAGAATCAGGGGCATAGAAAGGGAATGGACTGACTATTCTTGGGGGGAAAGGGGTGTGGGGGGTGCGGGAAGAGACTGGACAAAAATCGCACACCCATGAATGAGGACAGTGGGTGGGGAGTAAGGGCAGAGGGTCGGGTGGGAACTGGGTGGAGGGGAGTTGTGGTGGGGAGGGGAAGAGGAACAAATGTAATAATCTGAACAATAAAGATTTAATTAAAAAAAATAAATTGAACTTTGCAGCTGTTGGACAAAGCTCCCCAATGAACTCACAGCCTCCTGAGCACCCAGACAGCCAGAATCTGCATTTGATCCCCAAGGCCTTGACCAGTCCTCCCTCTGACACATACTTTGGGGAATAAGAGCTCCAGGCCAATTTGCTAAAAATTAATTGGTCAAAAACCAACTCAGAGAATAATTAGTTCACCAAAAGACAAAGTCACCTAATTTACAAATTACTCTTAAATATTTATTTATAGATATACTATTTTTAACCATATCAAATGAATGTATTCTTACAAACATTTTAGGTGTTCATAGTGGGATTTTTCAGTTTTTACTAATTTCTTTCAAATCATTTTAAAAATTGTTTTGTCTTTGCCAACATTTTAACATATTTAGATTCTTTCCCTACTTTTTAGTAGTACATTTAAGTTTGTTAATTCTTCTAATTATTTATAAAATTGCAGCAACTAATACTAAATAGGATAGTTTTAACCACTTTTCTAATTCCTACATAGTTTTCATTGTTTGGTTTCCATAGCAGCATTCTATAAGAGCTGGGTTTTTTTTTTCATGAAAAGATTTATCATTCCAAAAAGTATTTTTCATATCATTATCCAAAATTTTAGCATCATACTAGTACCTCAAATCTCATATACATTCACTATGTACAGTAAATGAAATTTTCAAAGAAGAAATTAAAGTATATAATATAAAATATCAAAATTTTATTTATTGTACACTTTAAATATAAAATTGTAGCTGTTAAACCATTTGATTATTGATGAAAAGTAGTAAAAATGCCTAAAGGTTTATAAAAAGTTTTAAATGACATGCAAAAGGATACAAAAGTTTTAAGATAATTGTAAGGTGGCCAAAAGTATACCATTATGTTTTAAATGCTGAAATTTTAACTAGTTTCTGGAACTAAAAAGATATAAAGTTAATATATTAATATAGTCATAACAAGAATTAGTAAAGTGGATTAATTCAGAAAATTAGCATATTTATCAGAAAAACTGGTGCTTTTGGGCAAGTTCAATTTTGGCTGATTTCCTTGAATAACATACCTTTGAAAACCTGCCACAACCCAATAAGATAGGTAAGGTGACTGCAAAATGAAAGGTTAGGGACTTGGGCACTTTCCAAGGTGACAGAAGAGAGAAAAAAGATCTTGACTAAAGCTATACACAGATGAACCCAATTTGAAATAGCCCACTAAGTATGACAGAAGTTGAACACAGTGTTACATATGTATGGGTATATATGTATGTGTGTGTGTATATATATATATATATATATATACACACACTACTTTTCATCAATAATCAAATGGTTTAATAGCTACAATTTTATATTTAAAGTGTACAATAAATAAAATTTTGATATTTTATATTATATACTTTAATTTCTTCTTTGAAAATTTCATTTACTGTACATAGTGAATGTATATGAGATTTGAGGTACTAGTATATATATATATATATACACACACACACACACACATACACACACGCTAGAGACCCGATGCACGAAATTTGTGCAAGGGGCTTGGCCCCCTGGCACCACAGCAGCTGCCTCTGCCTCTGCCCTCACAGCTCCCGCTTCATCCAAAAGGACAAATAAATGCTTTTATTATATTATGCTTTTATTATATAGGATGTGTGTGTATTTATTAACTTAGGTCAAGCCTGTTCTAAACAGGAACTAATAAAGATACTACTTGATAAAATAAATGTAAATATTTTATAAAAGGAAACATGGGTAAGAGAAGAAAAGTAAAGTTGTGACAATAGGTATATCATCACATAAAGTGTATGCTATGCAATACTTTCTAATTGTTATCATTTACAAGCTTAGCTTACAGTTCATAGTCTACAAGAAGAAAAAACCCACATAATTGCTCAGGAGGATGACAAGAGTTACTGACTCTGAGACAGGTCACCCTGTAGGCAGGTCTTCCCAGGGCAGTGTGATAAGCAGCTTTCTCAACATTGAGCTTCCAAGAAGCAAAGCACAGCACTGGTGTCACCAGACCATTGAATGTATAGTCTCTCACTAAAGCTAGCGGCTTCATGACAAAAAACTACCCAAGAAAAGCAATGCTACAAGGTGGTAGGCAGAGGTTGGGATGGAGATGAAAAGCAATATGATCCACTCCAAATTGTAGCTCTCTGAGGTTCTGGCTTAAACTAGGAGTAGAATTTAGCATATCAGGCATTAAGCTATTGTACAGAATGTATGCAATTCCCACATGTGTGAATTAATTATTGCATGTTCAACCCAGGGTGGAAATACGGGAAAATTTGCTCCCAGATTTATTATAAGTTACATTATTGAGCACAGAGTATTGGAGAAAATGTCCACTAAATGAATATAACTCTTTGTGTGTGTGTGTGTGTGTGTGTTTTAAAGCATACAGTAGACACCATCCACTGACCCTTCAGCACTGTCACCAATCCTAATGTTCACAGACTCTAGGAATATTACAGCGACAATTATCAACACATGCTGGTTAACTGTTAAAACTGTACCTTCAAAATTGATCGATGGAAGAAAAGAGTCAGGAGCTGAATGAGATCATAAAGAACATAACCATCTTTCTTTTCCACACCTATAATATTAGTTGGGTATAAAGGTTTGTCCTTGTTCAATTCCACCAGCTGATTCCAGGGAAAGAACCCAAATTGGAAGAAATACTTGATCACAATTGTCACCTACACATGGATGATAGAAATTAAAAAAAAAAAAGTCCTTATAAGAATAGTTATATAGGAGAAACAGCAATATAAAACAACCAAGAAAAATCCATTTCACAGTTTTGATGGTAGAAATGCACACAATTATGTAGAATGATTACATCATCATTCTTACAGACCACTGACTTCAGAACAGGAGCTAAATCTCACCATCGCGAGTGCCTTTGATCATAGATATTTCAGGGCCAGTCAGGTCACTCATGGCACTGCTTAAATAATATCCCCTATTTTTGAGAATTAGGCTAATTTATACTGATTTATTTGATACATATATAATTATCAGCTATTAAAGTGTGGTATTAGGACACAAGAGCAGAATAATGTTTATGTCTTTATATTTTATGTACTGCTTTAATTTGCAATCTTTATGAACAATATTACACAGGTTTGATGTACACAATTTTCACTTTACTCCAATCTCTTTCTTCTCCCTACTTTATTGCTCACTGGAATTTCTTCTCAAGAAGATATAAAAGTGAATGAAACAAACTGGCCAGTTGTGCTGTTATAAGTGTATAAATGTTGTAGAAAAGTAGCATGTTGAGAGAGAAGGACAAATGAGAAAATTGATGGGTTTCATTTAAGCATTCCTCTAATGTCTATATCATCAGGAATTCATTGCAATATACACAATTCATTAATAAAAATACTTTAAAAAGTCCTCTCTGGACCGTCCTAGAGTCTTCCTTTAGCTCTTCTCTCTCACCTGTCTTCTTAGTCAAGCTTCTGCAAAGAACAGTCCTGTGTTTCTTATCTTAGTGAATATCCCCACATACCAAATTCCAAAGCAGAAACCTGGAGGTCATTCTTGCCTCTCCCCTTCTCCTTCACACCGCAAAAAGCTTTAGTCAATTACTGAAACCACATTTACCCACTCATCTTCAACCTCATTGTCACTGCATTCAAACCCTATTACTTTTCACCCACAATTAAAATAGTTTCCTAGCTGGTCTCAATGTGTCCACTTTCATTCTGTATAAAAACTTGCAAAAACACAAATCTGATCGAGTCACACTTCTGTTTATTTTTTGTTTATTTTTTAAAAATCTTTATTGTTGAAAGTATTACTTATGTCTCCTTTTATCCCCCCCCTCCCCCCATTAACCCCTTCTAGCCTACCCCCACGCTCCATCCCAGGCCTTTACCACCCAACTGTCTATGTCCATGACTTATGCATGTATGTATACAGGTTCTTTGGTTGATCTCTTTCCTCTTACCCACTCACCTCCTCCTTCCTTCTGAGATTTGACAGTTTGTTCCATGCTTCTGGATCTATTTTGTTCATCAGTTTATTTTGTTCATTAGATTCCACATACTTGCCTTTCTCTGACTGGCTTATTTCACTTATCATAATACTCTCCTTGTCCCTCCATGCTGTCTCAAAGGGTAAGAGATCCTCCTTTTTTACTGCTGCATAGTATTCCATGGTGTAAATATACCACAGCTTTTTAATCCACTCATCTACTGATGGGCCCTTGTTATTCCCATTTAAAGCCTAAGTATAAAAATGGGATATGTTCTTGCTGCAATAACTATATTAAAAGGGCTTACTGTGTTATTTAATTCAGCATCCATTCACGGAATATTTCCAGGCTCAGGCACTACGCTTGGGTCTGCATAGCACTGTGGTTATCTCCGTGGTTAATATCACAGGACAGACAACCAGGCTTCAGGAGTCTGCCCCACCACTCACTAGCTGGGTAACTTTGGGCCAATGATTTAACCTTATTAAAGTTGGTCCCTTACTATTAAGTAGGAATGATATTAGCACCTATCTTGTGTGAGGTGTGAAATGTAAAAAGATATATACAATTAGCAGCACTAGGTAACTGTCAGGCATATTCATTTATCTGCCGAAGAATAGACATCTACTGATAGTTCTGTGTGCAACTGCCTGGGAGTCGGGGCAGGCCCACCTAGCGCAAATGCCCCACGCAGCTTGCCGGAGGTTGTGCCCAAGGCCTACCTCTGTGTAGACAATGGCCATCATCCAGAACCGTCTGCTGGGCCTCGGGACAGACAGCATGGCCCAGAGGAAGATCAGAATGGGGAGCACGAGGGTGATTACGGAGGCAGAGACCATGTGGTTCAGGATGATCACAAAGTAGCACACCATTTCCGAGCGGGCCACCAGGGTGTTGTACATGGCGTAGAACAGCAGCAGGAACCGCGGCTGGTCCACGTAGAATTTCTCCGACTCTTCAAGCTCATCATCGTGGAACATCCTGTGAGCATAAGCATGACAATACTTTTGTCTTCATTTCTCCAAATTACTGATTGCCACGTTCAAGGTGCTTCCTGTCCTTCCCCTTCCCCTGCCCCCAGATTTCCTGTGGAAACCCCCCCAATATTATCTCACAGAAGACACCCGAGCAGTGTCTACTGCCAGCTCTTGCTCGTGCTACCCTTAGTGACAGACGTGCCGCAGTCTGTGTGGTATCTGCAGCCCGAGGAGGATGAGAGCTGTGTCTGTTCGCTGTAAACACGCAGGTGGGCGTGTTTACATCGAGTTTCCTCCATGTGCAACCCCAGCGCATGGCTCCCAGACGCCCCCCGCTGCCCACGGGCTCTTACTTGTTCAGCAGCAGCTCGCTGGCCGTCAGCTCGTGCGTCAGGGACGGTAAGATGCTGGGCCCCAGCCTGTCCAAGGAGCGGCTGTCGTCGGGGCTGACGGCCATGCGGCTCGGCCCCGCGGAGTCGTCCTGCGAGCCGAAGGACAGGCGCTCGAAGCTGACCGCCTTGCTGTAGGACGGCGGGACCTCCATGTCTCCGTCCTCGGCGAAGGACTGCGGCAACTCAGTGTCCGGGGTGAGGCCGGCCTCCTCGGCCTCCTCGGAGTCCTGGGCCTCCTCTGCCTCTTCCTCCTCCGCCTCCTCGTCCGCCTCCTCGTCCGCCTCCTCCTCGGACCCCTCAAGCCCATCTGGCCCCATGTCCACCTCGGACTCACTGCCCTCCTCATCGTCGCTGTCCTGGACCCCCATGTCCTCGTCCTCCTGGGCCTCCACATCCGGGCTGGCCTCCACCTCGTCCTGCTCGGCCTCCACCTCCTCGATGGTTTCGGTGGTCCCCTGGCGCGAGTACAGCATGGTGCACTGCGTGGGCTCGCTGTCGGGAGAGAGGGACGGGCACAGACCCCTGGCTTAGCACCCAGCTCCTCGGCCTCCTCTCAAGCTCTCCAGATACCTCCTTAGTGCTCCCAGATAAGACAGGTGAGAAGTCAAAGGCCACAATCCCTTCCCTGCATCCCATCTGCTTTGTTCCTTCAGGATCGCCACACCGGGTCTGCAGCTGCCAACAGCACCCTCTTCAGTGCAAGAGCTGGCAGGGCACACACCCAGTTGAAAACCAGAGCAAGTCACATGGCTTACAGGCTGCTAAACCCACCTGGGCATGGAGGTTTTAAAAGTGATCTCAAGATTCACAGCCATGGGTTCCAGCGTTTACTCCCAATGGAGACACAGCAGAGCATACCTACCCCTCTCTACCCTTTAAAGCAGGCTGCACGGAAGTGAGAAGCCTTGCCGGTGTGGGTCTGTTGGTGCTGACCAACATAAACTCTACTCTCAGTCCTTGCCGTGGGCCCACCCAGATCCAGAAGAGGACGATAGGAATAATAAAATATTGGCTAAGCAACAGCATGCTTTATTTTAAAAGATGGCCCACTTCTTTCATAATTGTTCCTTCTGTTTTCTCACCCTTTGCCTTTTTCTTATTGATGCTTATTACATTGACTGAATTTTCACCATTTCTAGCTCCCGATAACCTCTTTGTCTACACATGGAAACACCCACCATCTTCTCACCAGCGTGATCTCTCCTTGGGGCTGCCTGCTCCACCCTCAAGGGGCAGTCCTGCTCTCTCTCCTCCCAACTATTTCCACTGATTTTCTTCTGCCAGCGCCCCTCCTAGTGTTCACTTCCTATCAGCTCTCCACCCTTAACTCACTCTCTCTTTCTGGCATCCTGTTCTTTTCTCTCGCACCCTCCTCTCCTCCTTTTTGTGTTCTATCTTCTAACTTTCCCTGGCAGGCCCATGCAGAAAAAGTTGGGAATGAAAATAGAGCTGGCCCACCAGTGAAATTCATGGCATGCGTTTTAATATTATTTACCTCAGACACATCCGTGGAATCTGTGGATATAAAACTATAACTTGTTAGATTCTGAAACATGCACTATTATCTCTCTGAATGGCCTATGTGGGCAACTAGGGGCTATAAACACTGAGATTCTCAAATGCATAGACTATACCCATTTTTCTTATCATTGACACCAGTATAGACATGTTAATGAATAAGTGAATGAATGGATGAAACTTGGCTGAGTCCTGAGGCTGAAAAACCAGATTTGCACGAGTTCTTGGGACCTTCTCAGGTGTTTAGTATTCCCAGGGCTTTGGCCCTCAGCATGCATGCACATCACGTAGAAGGCTCTTGGAATGTCATGCCAAACCGGATTTTTGCTAAGACTTACCTCAATTAGCCTCCTAGGAAGGCCATGAAATTGACTGATCACCCCAGGGAATTTTCAGACCACTGGAGCCAGCTCCAACCCATTCTAACTTCCAGTCACACTATACCCAATGACAGGAATGCTCTCTATGGTTTTTGATTTGGTCTGTCCCCAAAGGGATTCAACAGATCCTGGTACCTTCAGGAAGCAGCACAGTGGAACAGCACAGCCTGTGTCTGCCAGAGGACACCTCATGGCAAAGCATTCCACCATTGCCAGGCCTGGCATCCTGCAGCACTGTGTAAGGGTACATAGCTGCCGGCAAAAAGAGGTTAATGGCCCTCTGATTTGCCAAAATTGAAATTCGTTTGGTTTGGGTTATTGTGGTGCCAGGATAAGCACAACATAGCTGATGCTCCTGTGTCCTGCTGACCATTCAAAGGCAACTCAAAAAAGAGCTTTTGGATTTCATTTCATTTCTAACAGATTATTATTTTATGATAGGATTTAATGAGGAAACTTAAGCCCAAAGTTATCTTTTCTAAACAAAACAAGTCCCAGTCTACAAATGTGATCTAGTCTATCTATTGCAGCATACTATTCTTTTTAAAAAAATCAATGGTAAAATCTGTTCTGACTTTTATGTCAGTTATGCATATAAAATGTGGGCAGATTTATTCTCTATTAAAAAGACCATATGTGACGAATTTTCATAATTTTTCCTACTGCATGTATCTTTTGATGAAATCACGAGAAACATCTCATTTTCCCCTGTGAGGTCTGCCTACATGAGCTCCCAATCAAGGAGGAAACATGCTTATTTCTTCGAAAGTGAAAAGTGTAACATACTTACAAAGTGGAGGGCAATGTTTATAATAAGGGTTTTTAAGAAACTCCTAACAGACAAAAACTAAAGAGCAGTTAGTTTACTAGAATGCTGTCCTGGGAATAACCAGGTATGTCCCAGAAAGGTAGTGGTTATGCTTTGGTTATTCATGCAAATTCTTAAAAGAAAAAAAAGAAAATATATATCACACAAACTTATATTTGCAATGAGACGGGGGCGGAGATATAAAATCACAGAACAAAGCATGCACAAGTTAAGCACCTTGATGCTAAACTGCCACTGTCAGCTGATGAGGAGGACATATCCAAGCTGAGCATTTTACGGAGCCTAGGTCGAGCACGCTCACTTGTTTTAGGAACAGTTTCTGGTCCATCTAAATCATCAAGGGTAGACTGCCTTGAGAACAGCATGGTTGCTTCAGTGTAGCAGCTAGCAGCGCAAACAGTTACAGAGACACAGTGTTAAAACCCCAGTGGTACATCAGTTTACACATGGATCAATTGACCCACACACTGCCATGCAGCAGACCACACACAACACCAACACCACGGCAACGACGACCACCACAGCAGGGCTCAAGGGCAGGGAAGGACCTGTTTGGCAGGACAATAAAACACAATTCTGGGTTTAACAAAAATATTGGCTAGTGGTAAACTGTGAAATGTCACTCTCTGGCTGGGACATGGAAACAGAGTAATCATAAGTCCCGACACTCCTCTCACAGAGAAATCATATCATTATAACTTTGCAACTGAGGTTTTTGTTTTGTTTTGTTTTTTAATTGAGACATATGCTTTATTTGGAGCTCCTTGAGTTCCTTGAGAGCCTTTTGTAACCAAATTGCTTAGGCAGAAATATCTGCTCACGTAAAATTTACATAAAAGATTTCAATTTTTTAAAACCACAGTCTCCACATGAGAGAGGGAAGCTCAGGGACAGTGCAACAGGCTGAATATTCCACTCCATTTTCCGAGTGATATTCAGTGAAGCCAAACTAGATACCTTGCATGTAGAAGAGATGCTGGTTTGATATGCAACTGGATATAAACCAACATTTTTTAAAAAAGAAATAAAATGGTACAAAGAAAACAACAGAGGAAGTCTGGCAATGGCAGGGTCATTTTGTCTGTTAACTTTTCACTTTGCCTAATGAATGTTTTCTTCTGGATCATGTTTTAGGTCTTGATGGGTATCATCAGGGTGAGAACCCATTGGCTAAAATCCTCAGCTCCTGTTCCCCAGTGAAGCAAAAACTGGCGGGGGGGTGGTGGGTGGGGAGGGAATGAAGGCAGATTCAGGATTGAGATGCTACTGAAGAAGAAGTAAATAGAGTTATGACATATACATGATTTCCGTTCAGACATATAGCTTAACCCCAAAGAGGCTATGGGTGGGAGGTGGTTGCTGGGATATGGGTCTTCCAATTTGAATGCTAATGACTTGGCTGAACCAGGAGGGCAGGCCTTTGTGGTACAGAATGCTGATTCCCCAGCTGACTCTGTAAAGCTGAACATCTATCTTTATCAGGTGACTGCATTAGGAGGCCTACTCTATGCCCAACCTGCACAGCCGATGCCCTCAGTCAGTGGTTGTGAGGCAGAAATGGACACCATTCAGGATATAACAACCTCTGGGGGCTGGGGAGGAATTTGAATCACTCACTCATGGAACCAGTTAAAGGGCTTTTCAGATTCCAGGTGCTCTAACATGGCCCCGTGAGGGCTCCGTGGGGCATCCTCATCCTGCTACGCATGTCACAACTACAGGGCCAAGAGAGGGCCAAGAAGTGAGAGTGGTGAGCCTGTAAGCAATCCAATGGTCTCTAATAAGGACCCAGAGATGACTTTTTAAACGAAGGCCACAATTCCTTTAGATGTCACCATGTCCTGAACAACATGAGATGACAAGGGAGACAAGAAACATACGGACAAACACAGGGAGGATTGGACTTGAATCTCCACATGGACATTAACTGGCTGTTCAGTGTTGGATGAGTCAATTCCCCTCTTTGGGGTCCCAATTTCATCATTTATGAGAAGAGGGACCTGGCTCTTTGCATTTCTGTATTTCACTTCATATTTTTAGAGGTGCAACCCCATGGCCCTTTTGGAGTCTGCAGGCAGAAGGACATGGTGCACCCTCTCCTGCAGCACTGCTCAGATTTTCCGCATGGGAAGCACTGTTCTAACTCCTATTTATCTTCCTAATTCCTGCATTGAGTTCTGTTGTCCCACCAGCCCACCTTCAGACCCCATGCAATCAGGTTATTTGGAGTGTGACTGATTTGTGGCCCAATCCAGGACTGTTTTAAATGTAAAAGGGAAAGGGAGGAGCTTTATAAAAACAGGCCCAGAAAACAAGCCTAAATGGATGGTTGTTGTCACCTTGCAGGGAGGGTCACACAGCAACCTCTCGGTGACATTCCTCAAATGATAATCAGTCCCTTCACATCCAGGAATGATCCTTAGGATGTCACTAATGTTTCTCGCAGGAATTTAAACCAATGTATTTTCTGGGAAGGCAGATGATATGTGATTTTATACAACAACCATCGATAAAATAATTGCTATTTTACATCTGGATTTGATGGAAATCATAACTATTTCAATAAAGTCAGAGGGAATACAAATTCATTTGGTAGGTTCCCACCCCAACCTCCTCTACTGTAAGCCCCAAACTAAAGATGGGTGACATGGATGCTGGAGCAGAAGCTGTGGCAGGTGGGAGGGCTCCATCCAGGCTGGGGCTTCTGAAAAGGGGCCGGGGCCACACTGAGTATGTGCGTTCCTACTTAGGGAGGAGACTAGACCCTGCCCACGACACAGGTATTGAGAGCAAGCTGCTACACTCAGAATGCCTTCTAGGGTAGATTACTGCCCTCCAGCAATCAGCATGGCATACTATAGACTCCAGTATAGACAAATGGTTGGAGATTTGAAAGTTTCCTAAAGCAAAGAAACTAGGAATGCAGCTCAGCCATTAATAAGAGGGCAAATAGGTAAATTCCATTTCCTAACAACAATGGCATAATGGACACTACTGTGTCTCCCCTTTCTTTAGGTTGGGAAAAAAAGTAAAAATTAATTTTAGAGGTACTGGTTTTTACTAGTAAATTTATTGATTGGTTGGCCATTTTAAAATTTGGGGGATATTTTGATTGTCTTTGTCAAAAAGCAACTCATGGCTTTAAATATCTTCTATCTCAAAATTTTTGATTATGGATATAGTTTTCTATTTGTGATTTTAACAAATATGGGTTAGATTTAAGGGCAGTTATTTGATTTTATTTTGAAATAGTTCTCTTTTCTTCTATTTTTATCCCTCCTAAGTTGTGATTTATAATTTTAGTTAATTTTGTAATTGAATATATTATGCAATTAAAAGTTACTAACTTAGAAATTGTGTATGCTTATTTTATTGGTAATTTATCTTCAGTTCACTTTCTAATATTCTCTTTGCTCTTTTTGATTAGTATGATTCAGAATTTGGTTCTGGAGCAATTATTCTCTAGCCACGTTCATGTGAAATATTCAGGAGACTTCTAAAACCCTTGAAATTTTGTGGAAAAAAATTGTATTTCTGTACAAAAAAAATTGTTACAAGAACACATTTAAGAAGGTGGGTACTTCCAGATAGGACAGTCTTTATGGGCTGCAAAAAGAAATGTAAACCACAATGACTTTTTGTCTCAATGGCGTCTGTCAAAGGAGAATGAAGCGTCCTTTCACAAATGCTGGTTGCGGCACGCTTTCAGGAAGACACACAAGGAGGCGCTGTCCGCACTCGCCATGCAAGAAGAATCCTATTTTCACTTTGTAACAGATACCACCCACGGTTTCAGAAATTAATTATTGAGAAATGTGTGTATGAGTGGGTAGAAATAGGATGAAAAATTAAGTTTTATTACCACGCACAATGTTATAATAATAATCAATTATTTTATTCTAGGAACTAAAAGCATCTTAAACAGCATCTCAATTAGCAAATAAATGTTTTGACCTTGAAACTCTTAAGAGTTTCTGTCCTAAGTGTTTTTTTCTGTTCACAAAAATATGTAATGGCTGAAATATATCTATTCCTTTGGAACTTATAAATAAGCGACGATTATTCCCAAATTAAAGGAAAAACTATATATCTATTATTCCTCAAAGGATTTTAAAGAATTAATACCTATTTTGGGGGGACTGGAGGGGTTATATCCATGAAGAATTTTTTGTACAAAAATCAAATTTAAATCAATATATGTATGAGTACATGTATTTTTTAAATAAAAATGAGGTTTTAACATGTATACTATTTTTTTATCCTTATACAAGGATACATTTTTATTGATTTTAGAGAGAGAAAGAGGGAGGGGGAGAGAGAGAGAGAGAGAGAGAGAGAGAGAGAGAATGAGAGGAGGACACACACACACACACAGAGAAACATTGATCTGAGAGAGACAGATCTACCGGTTGCCTCCTGGAAGTGTCCTGACCAGGGACCAAATCTGCAAGCTTTTGGTGTGCCAACCGAGCCTTCTGGCCAGAGCAACATATGTACTATTTTAAAACTGGAGGGTTTTGTTGTTGTTCTCTTATCTTTCCATACCAATTACTTAGGATCTACAGCAAGTAGATGATTAGAATAAAGAATAGGCACAAGTGGAGAAGTTAAAATACAGCAATTCAGCATCAGCTGAAAACCGCATTTCAAAATAAACATTTTTTACTGACTTCTCCCCATTGAGGTTGCAATTTCAACTTCTAGTTACCTATTTCGGGTGTGGTGTGTTGGTATTGATAAAATAGCCTTAGTTCCTTCCCCTCTTTCATCTCGTAACAAATTTAGTATTTGTGAAGGACAAATAGTCCAGTAGAGCTTGGTCCAGCAAGCTGAAGTATGACTGGGAGAAACCCAGAAGCATCTAAACCAGCTGTGGGAATACAGCCCATCTCTAATGTCTTAGTACAGCAGGAATTTTAACCCAGAATTCCACAAATAATCCTGTGGGTGAGTCTTTCTTCCCAGGCTCCAACCAGTTAGAGACAACTTAATCTTTATGTGTCTATCCCAGAATCAAGCCTAGGGCCTGGCATGGAATAGGTGCTTTTTAACATATTTAATAATAAAAACAATAAACATGTGAATGTTCTCTGTGATACATTTGAAGATGGACACAAGGTGTAATTCATTCAATCTAGCTAATTACCTTAGGCATGTCATTTTCCTCCTAAGACAGGACTTGTGCTTTAACACGAAAGCTAGATCGGTACAACTGACAGCAGCTATCTAGAACACTGTGGTGCAAAGAATTCATAGACTTTTCTGGGATAGGCAGCAAGAAAGACAGGTCAGTTTTCAAAGTAGGCCTGGAGAGTGAAAGAGGCAATGAGAGGCGGCATACCGTATGGTGGTTGTGAGGATGGGCTCTGAGCTGAACTAGATGGTTTTTGGATCCTGAGTCTGCTTATACATACTTTTAAATATATATATATTTTTATTGATTTCAATCAGGTAGGAAGAGGAAGAGAGAGATAGAAACATCCATGATGAGAGAGAATCATGGATTGGCTGCCTCCTGCAAGTCCCCCACTGGAGATCAAGCCTACAACCCAGGCATGTGCCCTTGACTGGAATCAAACCTGGGACCTTTCAGTTCGTAGGCTTACGCTCTATCCACTGAGCCAAACCAGCTAGGGCAGCTTATACATACTTTTGAACTGTGTGACTTCGGGTAAGTTACTTAACCTCTCTAGTCTCCTGCAAAATGGGGATGATAATGTTATGCATCTCATAATATTATGCGGTAACCCATACACAGACTTGGTGCTGGCCCATGACCAATGCATGTTATGCGACAGTGCACGTGATCACAGAACTCAGGGAAGATGGGAGCTGTCAGAATCACTTCTTGGACTTTTATTATGAATCATAAAGTGACAATTCTGAAAGAAAAAGATCAAACAGAACTACAGGTGGCAGAAGATTCTAGTATAGAAGATACTTTGTGGAGCAGCATTTTAAAATCGAGTGAAAGATGCCGCCCTTGACACAAATAAGTCATTTTGTCATCGTGAAGGTCCATTCTTACTTGTCTCCAGCTTGGAAACCCCTATCCTGTGCCTATGAATCATACAGGTGTTTCCAATAGTTTTTTTTTATTGATACCTGATTTTATCTGGCTCCGTCTAGGGGAGGACAATGGAGATATCCTGAAGAGGGTGGGGATCCAGGTTAAGTTCTGATTAACTTTCATCTCATACATTCATTTCTCATATTGATGAAGTCCACCTCTTGTACCTTTGTCAAAACCAAACCCATTGTTTAGAACATGAAATACCTGGAGATACTGTCATGTGAATCTAAGCTATCCATCCTGTGGGCTGTCTGTGCACCTGAAGCGGCACCAGGACGATCGTCAATTGTGTCCAGTCCAGACTCTCTGGAAAGGTTCATGATGTGGTTCTGATAGTACATGTGGATGCTTTCCCGAGTGGGAACGTTGCCCTGCAGCGAAGGAGACATTGCCACAGTTCTTACTTGCCTCTGCAGCCACCGGGCATTTATCAACACTGACAATTCTCAGCTATCCTGCACACCCGGGGTAGATGAACACAAAGCTAGTGAAGTTGGGGACTGATGTCAATGCATTAATGGTACCCAATATTATTGGCTAATGCCAAACAAGAAATCCCTCTTGTTTATGGATGAACATGGTCAAAAGGTATAAACTTCCAGTTGAAAAATAAGTAAGTCATGGGGGTGTACTGTACAGCAGGGTCTCTATAGTGAATACTACTGTATTGCGTATGGGAGTCCCTCCTTATGCACAAGGGATGCATTTCAAGACCCCCAGTGGGTCCTGAAACCATGGATAGAACTGAGCCCTACCTAAACTATGTTTTTCCCTGTACATACACACCTGTGATAAAGTTTAATTTATAAATTAGGCACACCAAAGAACTACTTCGAGTTCTGGAGATTGATTTTTCACAATCTATATAATGTGTAAAGAAGCAAAGAGAATAATTCCAAGAGTGTTACCTTTTTAATTTCTCTGGTCAGCATGCATCTTTCAATTCTCAAAACTGTAGATATATCAATATGCTCCCTTGAAATGGAGTTAAGCCAAGTTGTGAAACTATCCACGGTTGCCAAAAAGAGCACCCAGGTAAATTTCAGAATATTAAATATCCTCTTGATGATATTATCTAGGAGGGAGGAAAAGAAACACAATGTCAAAGGAACAAATGCCATCGCCCTTTTGGCCGCAGGTGCACAGTGGTGTTTTACCAAATGCAGACCTGTCTGAGCCTCCCTGCATCCTGTGGCGTGGGCACTGACTGGGCATGACGGGGGTGTGGGGACCACTGCAGCATAGGAAAGAAACCACCATCGGGCCTTTCTACACGTGCAAGCCAAGCGAGGACGGAATTGTTAACCTTTGGTCAAAACAGCTGCCAGAACAGATTCCTATACTTTTGGTTAAAAGTAGAGATTGCCTTCAAAGATAGTTATGTTACTGACACAGGGATACAAACAGAATGTACTTATCCAGGTAACTGGGTCCTGTAATTCTTTTTCCATAAGTTTCTTCTTTTCTTAAGTAATAATAGTTGTTGGAAACAATTCTGTTGATTCAGTAAGAATTTGACACTTTCTACTGCAGTGGCATTCAGTGACATCATTTAAAATGATTCTGTAGAGCCTAGTACGTGTACTGAGAGTATATATGTACACCACTGTAATATCACTATTCTCAATTATACTGAGCTGTGCTGACTACAAAATATTGCACATGGGATCAACCCTCCCGAAACCAACAGAAGCTGTGAAATTCCTGATGGAATTGGGTTGTCTTCCTTATCTGTGCTGTGACTGGGGGCGCCTGGGAGAGCTGCCCGGGGGGATAAGCTCGGCTCCAGATTGCCACTGTGTCCCAAATGTGTCTCCATGCAGCACGCGCCTCGCCAGCCCTCAGAGAAGCCAACATGAACTTCTGATCATGATCAGGTTTGAGGAGATTCCATAGCTGTGACCTAACTTTATTTTAGGTCTGAATCAAAATGAAAGAGGAACGTTCCCATATTAACCATCTTGCTAGTTTGTTCCTGTAAGCCAATAAGTTCTCAACTAGCATACAAGGAATCCTTGAAGACATGCTACCAAATTTTGATCAATGGATATGTAATGTACAGCAGGGTCTCTATAGTTAATAATATTAAATATCCTCTTAGTAACTTTAGGTCTTAGCAACTTTAGGTGTTAGCAACTTTAGTATATTATGTGTACTAAATATACCTTTTAGTTTTAACATCAAGACCACCATAAGCAAAACTGTGAAATAATTATATTTATCTTTACCACCTCTAGGGTGTACCTTTCTTTTGACTTGGCATTTAAAAATTTTAGTTATTTTTTTTTTTTTTTACAATTTCAAAACCTTGATTACAATAAAGCAAATACTTAGTGAACACAACAATGAGTTAAGAATTGTCTTACTTTTTATTGAAAACAAACACCACTAATAAAAATCCAAGTTGTAGCTCACTCTTCCCACACCAAATAAAGAAAAAAAGAAAGATTTGAGTGTCATAGTAAAACCTTAACGAATTTACAATTAATGATTATAGCCTAGCCTTTATGATCTTGTGCAGGGGCCAACCAACTTTTTTTCTGAACAGGGCCCGAGAGTAAATACTTTTGGCTTCCCAGGCCATACTGTCTGTATTGCAGTGAATCACTCTGCTGCTGTCCTGTGTAAGCAGCTATAGACAACGAGTGAATTGTCTATGAATGGGAATGGCTGGGTTTCCAATGAAACTTTATTTACAGATACTGAAATTTTAGTTTCATAATTTTCATATGTCATGAAATACTCTTCTTTTTAATATTTTTTTTTCAACCATCAAAAATATAAAAATCATCCTTAGCTAACAAGCCTTATAAACACAGGTGGCAGGTATAATTTCCTGACCCGGAATCTAGTATAATCTGATATGACCACTCTGTGACTTGAATCCTCTCTCTCTACTTTAATTCTCACACCACAGTATGAATCAACATTTAACTTTGTAATGGTAAATATATATATTTGTGAATTGAATGGCCTAGGAGGAAGGCAGATTTTCTCCCAGGCAAACGTTTGCTCTTTTCAAAAGGAAAAACATCACAAGCAGCTTAGCTTTACATGGGAGATGGGCAAGAGAGACAAAGAAGAGCTAAACAGTTCTACCTGCTGGAATAACAAGAACCTTGGAGTGGCCAGCTGGTAGCTAAGAAGAAAACTGGAAAAGGAGATGGGGGATGATTAAATGAGAAGGGCCTGGAGGGAAGGGGCCCAAGCCACAGGTGGCTGTGGAGCCAGGCCCCAGAGACACCAGCTGGTGAGAGATCTGCCCAGATGGGAACAGTGATCCCTGACTTTCCTTTCAAAGTAGTGTCCTGCTATGCAAGCTGTCACTGCCTCCCACTGTCCCCCAAACCTCGGCAAAATTGTGTCACACCTAACAGTTTTACATGCAGTACACTTCAGGAAGGAGGGACATGAGAGAATAGTTTCAATTCAACAAAGAAGCCCAGGGAGGGAGCAGCTGCTTGGTGAAGCTGAATGGAGTTGAGCTGGTACAGATTCCACAGGAGAGCCATTCTGAGCCAGAGAGGTCTGGGAACCCTGGGGGCACCTACACTTCTCTTTCCACCCCACACTCCTGTTTCTGTTTTGATCTTGAGCAAGGCAGGCAGCGCCCGCAGTAGTTTGGATAAAACCTCTAGCCATTTGACCCCTGGATGCTGGAAGACTTGAAGTTAGTTACAACTATTAAGAAACGTTAGCAACATCTTACATTTTTGACAACTTATTTTTTTCTCATAGTCACAGTTATTTCCCTAGAGATGGTAAAGATAAATATAATTATTTCACAGTTTTGCTTATGGTGGGCTTGATGTTAAAACTAAAATAGCTGTGTTGAAGACATGTATAACATGCACTTTATAAACTTGGGTGATCACTAACTAACGTGAATTTCGGATTTTTATTTTTACTTATTTTTTAATAATAGAGGCAATAGGGCATAGTCATTAAGAGCATAAACTCTGGGTTCGGACTCCTTGGGTTCAAATCTTAACTCTACCTCTCAGTGGCTATGTAGACTTTGAAAAGTTAATCTTTCTCTGCCTCAGTTTCTTAACTGTTAAATGGGGAAGAGGATCTTTGCCGGGGTTAAACAAGTTAATTTGTCTAAAGCTCTCAGAAAAGTGCCTGACAAAGTTGTGAAATCTAAGGGGTAGCTATTATTATTGTACTAGAGGCCCCATGCATGAAAATTCGTGTATTGGAGGGGGTCCCTCAGCCTGGTCTGCCCATCTCACAGTCTAGGAGCCTTCAGGGGATATCCTAATAAGCTGCAGTTTGGCCTCCCTCTGTGGGAGGCAACCTGACTGATCAGGGGAAGGTGCCACTCCCATCACCCCCCCCTTCCCCCGCCCCGGTCCCCCCCTCCCCCGCCCCCCGCTGCTGCTGCCACTGCAGGCTGCAGTGGCTGCAAGGCCTGAGCCCACAGCTGCAGTGAGCTCGCAGCTGCTGTGACTTTGTGCAGATGGACATCTGGAAGATGTCCGCCCTAATTAGCATATTACCCTTTTATTAGTATAGATAAGGCTTTGTAGCAATAATAGAAGATCTGAGTTCACATACGTATGAATAAAATGATCTGGAAATGGAGGCCAGGTTTAAGAATTGTGCCACAGAGGGTATTACTAGTAATTAGAGCGCCTTTGAGAAGTCTCATTTTGAGCCAGCAGATGGCATCCTTGGACGTATTTGTATCCAGAGTAGAGAGCATAGAAACCTTGCCTGCTGATAATGTACACAGGAAACAGCACTTTTATAGAACTAGAGAGGCATTTGAGTTTGTTTCATTTGGAGAATTTTGTTTTGTTTTTCCTGCATGGAGAAATATTCCTCCTAGTCCCATACTATGCAAAACCCAAATAAAACCATGATGGGGCTAGGAGTTAGAAGACAGGGATTCTGTCCCTGACTGTAGCTCTGGGATCCTGGGCGAACTTATTAGGACTTGGTTTTCCACCATAAAATGAGGAGTTGGCCCAAGTTTCCAGAGTACCTTTCATCTCCCCAATTCTACTTACTGCTTAACTCCTCCTTTCTAGTCTTTAAAATTAATTGCCAATATTTTTGTTCCTCTGTTCTGATGGCTTCTATGGGGTGTTTGTCATTTGTTCCCCAACACCTCCTTTCATAGGTACTTGGAAAAAAGAATTTATAAACTGACTGTGATTAATGTTTAATCCAACAGTGCAAGGGGCAGATCTACTTTTAGGAGTCACTTTGCAATTTCACTAGAGATGAGATTTCAAAGGACACCGGTTATTTAGTCATAGTCCAGAAACAGTATTTGATTAATTATTTTTAGGCAGCTTTTCATTACATAAACATTGGGCAAGGAACATTTTCAAATTTCTCCCTGGTCATATGTATTTATTGTATTACCTGGTCCATCCGATTTCTTTTTGACTGGTTCATCTTCTTGGTCTTCCCACTCCACAGGACCTGTCGAGTGTGTTCAATTAACACGAGTTAGATTCAGTTAGGGTATATTAAATGCCACCCTACTCTTCTGGATTAAAATAAGTCTTAAAAATTAAATTTCAGATATTCTGCCTATCTGAAGAGTTCCTGGGGAAAAGTTGTAAGAATTCATGGCATCCAGAACAAAAATCACGGATACCAAGAAAATAAAATATAGTCAGTCTTATTAGTTAGGAAAATTCAAATGAAAATGAAAGCCTTTCATCATCCCAGAGAAAGACAAATAGTAGAAAGAGTAATACATGGGGGATAAAGCTACAGGGAAGTGCACACTTCCGCTCACGGGAGCGTAAATTACTGAAACGGTTTTGGAAAATACCTATTAAAGCCTCCCCCCCCCCGCAAAAAAAAGCACATCATTTAACCCAGTAATCCCACTTTAAATAATGTATTCTGTGGACAATGCATGTTCTTCCCGACCTTTTGCTATGCATTTAAATACACAGACAAGTCCGACTACATACGGAGTTTTGTTCAGGGATGTCTATGATAGCACTGTTCATTGCAGCAGAAATCTGGAAGCAAACTTTTGTCCATTCGTGATGTAATAGTTGAATAAATTAAGCATATCCACATCACAGAATATTTTGCAGCTATTAAAAAGGGAAGCTATGGATTTGTGAATACTTAATTGGAGAAATGGTCACAATACATTCCTAATGAACATGTAAGAGCAGTTTGTATGGCATGAACTCACTTTTGAGAAAGAAGGGAAACCGGCTTGCACACATATGTGCAGGCCCATGAGAAAGGAGTGGGGGTGAACACAACATGTTGTGAAGATTTGGTAGCTCAGTAGATGGGTATCCAGGGCAGACTGTGCATTTATCTCTTGCCTGATGTCTTCTTACATCAGCTCTGTCTTAATTTTGTCTTATTAAACCAAGGAAGTAAAATAAAATTAAAGTTACCAGGAGGTAGCAGGGGGCAGAATGGTAAAAAGGAGAGAGGTGTTTCTGTTTAGAGCTCCATTAAAAATTATGTTTTTTTCCTTTATTTTTAAATGTATTTTTAATTTCACAAAGAATTTATGTATATATTTTCTCTGTAAAGCACAAAAATTTAAGAATTTAGCTAAGCCTAAAGTTCTCTTTAATCACACCACTTAATCTCAGTCTCTCCACCCCTCCCCCAGAAGCAAGCACTGTTATTAATTTTCTAAGTTTTCTTCCTGACCTTTCTCTTGCATTTACACACTATTATACGAAACCATTAAAATGCAAAATATTATGTTGAGGTTTTTTTTGTTTCATAGATGGTTGCATAATCCGTATGCCATTTTGCAACATAATGCTTTTCATTTAACAATATTTGTCAGGAACTTCTCTCCAAATCAGTTCAAAGTAATCCATCTCATTTTTTAAACTACTGAAGAGTATTCCATTATATAATGATAACATAATCTACTTGGATCTCCTTCTTTCTGTCGGCATTTCAGATGTTTCTAAATTTTTGTTATTAATAAATAATGTTTGATGAATACTAAAGGTGTCCTTGTGCACATGTGCAGATCCTGCTTCAGGTTACTCCACACACCTAGAAGTGGACTGATCTCCACTAGGATTGTACACTTAAAATGTCCCCAGATACTGGCACGTTGCTCTTCAAAGTGGATGGACAACTTTGCAAAAGCACTCAGCTTCCCACTAGTTCCTGTGTTATCCAATGTTTAGCTTCTTGCCAATCCCATAGGTTAAAAGCCCAAAATATCAAAAGACTTAGTTTGTGTTTCTCAAGTTACTAGTGAAGCCGAGCTCTTTTTAAAAGGTTATTTCCCCTTTTTATTTTTTTTGATTTGTGAATTGTTTTCATATTTGTTGATCCATTGGGTTGAACTTTTCTTTTACTGATATTTTGGAATCTTATTATATTAAATACTAATCTTCAGTCTGATTTTATATAATGAAAATGTTTTTCCTGAGTGCCCCCACTGCACTTTAACTTTGCTATTGGTGTGTTTTGTTGTGGTTTGAAATCCCCCCCGCCCCCACCTTAGAAATGTGTTTCTCTGATATGCCTTCAAATGCAGCAGTTTAATGTTGAATATGGCATTGGTAGTTATGTTCCATTTTTGGTTCATGATCAAATGTCAAAGGTTCATCTTTATTATTACTTTTTTCCCAGAACAGCTTTTAACTTATTGATAAGGTCTTGTCTTATATTTATTTTTTTATAATTTAATATCTCTCTCAAAAGAAATTTATTTTCTTCCTACAGACCTTCTTTGGGTTTATTTTGCCTCTCTCCCCCATTTTATAAATGCATCTTAACTTAAATTTATGTTTTAATTTCTTCCAAGTGTCAGACACAAGCAATTAAGAACAAGTAAAAGTCTTTGCACTCTGGAATTTAAGAATTTGATTTCTCCAAAGATTCTGTCCTTTGCAGTTCCTCTGTTGTATTCAAGGCCACAGAAATGCAGAGTGTGGCTAGAGCTGCACCCCAGGACACTCACCCTCCCCAGATCCTTTTCTCTGTCTTTTCTGTTCTTCTCTTGCAGACATTTTTTTCTCTTTGCGCCTCTGTCGGAGTGCTGTTTTAGGGTCAGTAATCCAGGCTTGATAAACAAACTGAAGGGAGAAAATTCAATTATTTTCTGGCTTTTTAATAATTTAATTAAAAGAAAAGAGACCAACACCAAGCTTCCTGACTTTTGGAAACATTATTTTTTCTGCCAACACAAACTAAATACCATCTCCAATATCCTTTCTTTTCCCACCCCCGTATTCTTTCAAATGCTGAGCTGACCTGTGCTATTTTCATTATCATGAAATAATAGATGGAAACAGATTTGTAGGAATATATTTCATTTGGTATCACAGACAATCATGAGAAACTTTGGGTATATACAAACCAGCATTTTTTTCCAGCTCCCCCTGTACTACCACCATTTGTGATACTTAACTATTGATCTTTCCCATTACACACAATGGAATAAACTGGAGGTCTCACTAAGTATCAATAGAGTAATGTTCTTCCATCATAAATAAACTCTGAGTAGAAAACAAAATAGCATCTTTTACTGGCTTACGCTGAGAAACAGTTTTGCACATTTGATACCTTCCCCTGTGAATAACAGCTATTACCAGCAACTTGAGAAAGGGCTTTGCAAATTGATTAGTATTTGGAGAGGAAAAATACTGTGATATTAAGATTAAGAAGTTATTGCAGATGGTATGGAAGGAAAACTTGAGCTTTTGGTTGCCTTTTGTCATTTTCATTCAAGAGCTGAAAATAGTTGCAATAGTATATTATTATAACCAATAACCATGATAGACCCATGAAGAATAGCCCGCCCACTGAGAGTCATGCAGAAGGAACAAAAAGAAAACCTTGATATACAAAGTCAGCCACCTAGAACCATGAAGCCAAGCAGGCATGCGCTTCATGCACCCGCAGACACACCTGGGTCTCAGGGAAGCTGGGTTTTCTGTTCTCATCAGGGAGGTAAAGGAATATTTTGCAGGGTCGCTTGTAGACCCAGGCACTTTCAATTTATTGTATGTAATGTTCAGATTTCTGGGATCTTTGAAAAGCACTGTTTAAGGAAACCATGGGCACTGTGTTGTCAGTAAAATTTAAGAGATATCTGTAGTATTATCAACAATAAAAATATATTTTAAAAATTTAAGAGGGATTCAATGTTTCCATTTATGGAAATGTAAAGGTCATAGGTTATTAAGAAAGAACATGACTTGTCACTGGTAGAAATCTGAATCTTAAGGGCAATTAATGTAAATATATTATTATTTTTTATTTCTAAGTAAAAAACCCAGGAAGCAAAAAAAAAAAATCCTATTTTATGCCCCAAATATTTTTAAAAAATGAGATAAACTGAAATTTGAAGAAGGATCAAATAAAGGAATTTATGGTGGATGTTTATTGAGCATGTTAATTGGGAAGTCTAGCAAGAATATCTCATTAATAAGCAAACTTGCTTCCGCAAAACATTGATTCTTTTAAAAAATCTATTCTGTCAAATGTGAATAAAATTTCAAGCTTAAGAGCAAAATATGGTGACATTTTATTTTAAAAAGTTATTAGAATCCTCTTTCTAGAGTATGCAAGAATCCCAAAAATAAAAAATAAAAAAAATTCAGGATCTGCAAATGTTATAAGTGCACAACTGGATACATTTTTCTCCTCTGAAGAAAATGAAACCTTTGGGCTGGAGGGTGAGAAGAAGAGGAGGTGCTTTGATTAGACTGAAGAGGTCTTAGGGAAATGGTGAGGACGACTGAAATTTGACTGTGTTAAAAGGGAACTCCTGGTTCTACATATGACACCTAAATGATTAAGACTACTGTAATATTGTAAGAATTTCTTATTGTAATAAGAATTTAGATAATGCAAATAAGAGGGAAGAAGGGAGGGGGAAAGGATCATATGACACTCTTTATTTGTAGGTAAATTCTCTTAATGCTGATATTTAGAAATAAAAATATTTTAGAGTTCCAGGAACATCTGACAGAGGGTCAGTTTCACTTAAGTCCAACTGTGTCAGGAAAAAGTTGATGATGAAGGAGGAAACATCCCATTTCTTACTGAGTCAAGGAATGGCATTTTCTTACTGAAACTTCTCAATTCTTACTTGGTGGCTGTAGCTGCCATCCATTTGATGGGTCTCCCTAGGGAATCAGACCTGAGTACCACTCACCACAAGTAGAAAATGCATGGAAATGTCTCTATTGACCTCTGGCTTCTCCAAACTGCACTGCCACTGGATTCCCAACTTTATCTTACATTTTTTTTCTTAAATTTTATTATGCATTATTAAGGAAAATGGAATTCATTTTACAGAACACTTATTATATAAAAAAGAATTTAATCTTTAAAACAGGAGAGAACTTCATTGACATAGAAGATCCTTAACTGAAACTGATTAAATTTCATAAACTGCCCTTTAATTCAGGTGTGGTCCAGGGCTTTCTTTATGTTGTCTGTAAGAAGAGATTTTTTAAATAATAGGATTTAAAAAAATAGTAAGATAGTTACATTGTAGTCTTTCACAGAAATTCTTTCACATGGATGGAGAGACTCACAGAATAGAGAAGAAAGAATCCGAGGGAAGTGGCAACGGTGAATATTAAACTAATATGCAGGGACCTAGAGTAGATCCTGCTACTCAAGGTGGTCCAGCTGCTTGCACTTCACCCAGGAGTTTGAGAGAAATACAGAATTTCAGATCCCACCCAGGACCTGCTGAATTTAAGTAACCTGCATTTAAATAAGATCCTCAAGTGAACTGTGAGAAACACCGTTCTTAGTCATTATCCAAACCATTTGCTTAACACCTAGGAGCATAAAGACCTAAGCGTTTTCATGCTTGCCTCAGATTAAGTCAAGAGAAATAGCTGTCTTTCAAGTACAACAAGAGTAACTCACTGCCTATGATTTTCAGTAGTGAAGGGACGACAGCATAGGTAGCTGGATATGAACAGTTATTCAGCTCAGTACCTGGGAAGGAGCAGCTGTGCAGACTGCACACAGCAGCACCGTCTAGGGAGGAGGTGTGCTGAATTCCCAATGAGAAATGGAAAATGATGTCCAATTTAGGAAGATGGAGAATTGACAGGAAGCCAGGAAGGAGGTGGAGCAAACTGAATCTTTTATTGGCTTACTCGTAATTTAACCAGCTTTCTGAGAAAAATTATACTTTTCACACATCATAACTGATGCATGCAACCAGATATGACCCTTTTCAAGTGAGATGTGACTTAGACAAAACTACAAAAAGGACAGAAATAGATGTATATCTGCATTTTCTCTTCCTATTTTTCGATAGGCTCTAGTGTCAATGGAAAAACGAGAATCAATAATATGAAATTTGGCTTCTCAGAATTTTTATGGAAAACTTTGTCTAACGTTTTAAATTCTTAGAATTCCTTCATTGCTCGATCTATAGAACAGGGAAAATGCAGATGTAGCAACAAGGGTCTGCTTGTCTAAAGATCTACAGAGCAGAGGGTCACACACCACACACCAGTAAAACATCAAATACCTTTGCAGCTCTGATTAAATACTGAAGAATAGTTTTGGGAAGTTTAATGACAGACTTTGGCAAGGCTAAAATGGCTGATGCAAACTTCCCAATAGCTCTCTACAAAGAAGGACAAAGCAAGAGTAGTTAGTAGAAAAAAAACAAAAACTAGTAATTTAATATATGATGTCAGCATGAGTTTGTCTCTACAATTACATCAACTAGGCTCAAATGTGCCAGTCACTGAAGCTAGAATAAAAGTGTGCTTATGTTAGAAAGAAAGAAGATAGTCAAACGTTGCACATAATCCATGAAAATAGTGAAGACGACCTCGGTCTCTCCTTCGCTGCATGATGAGTTAGAACAAGAGTCATTAGAACAAAAATAAACAAGTCAAGTCGTTAGTATTTGACAAGCCAGCTGCACGCATGCCCACAGACACAGTCATCTGGAAACACACTAGGTTAGCGATGGGGCCAGTGAGAAAGCATCAGAGCAAGGTGTCTCCGTGAATAATTTAGTTCTTCAGTGTCACTGGGAAAACGGATGTAACCTGCCAGCTTGAGAAGACCTGGCCAGCAAACTGACAATAGCCTCTTCAAGGACACAACATGTAATTCTAGGTGCTTGTAGTATAACCAAGGAAAACTAACTCCTAATATGTGGCTCTTTCCTAAATCTGTATACATATAAATCTATATCAAGCTTTCATTCCATATGTAACTCTTCCGACAAATCATCATGTTTAGGTAGCACTGATTATACATTCACTGGGTACACTATACTTAGGCTAATGAGCTATACGACTGAGACTGGTGCAGCAAGTTCTGGGGAGAAAAGGGCAGTTAAGTTGGAAAAAAATCAGAGCTGTGCTAGATACTTTTACTGTTTCAATAACTTCTCAAATCTTTAGCAATATTAATAAAACTGACTTTCAAAACAAAGCAATATTTAAATGACCATTTGTTTTCAAACAAAGCATGATCAACTATCTACATATTGAAATATAAGTCCACTCAAGTAATCCAAAGCAAGGACAGAGAAGTCTTCTTCACCTCCCACTTGCAACAGAAAAATAAAGTTCACCTAAGGAAGTTTAATGTTTTTGTTGGTAGCATCAGAAACATTTTGGATACAAGTGAATGAAGACCCGACTGGAACAGTGTTCTTGTGTGGTAGAAACTATGGCAATGCTGAGAGCAAGCAGCATTAGTTTAATGAGGAAAAAACAATTTCAGATGTAGGTCAGAAGCTTAGGGCTCTAACACATATGAACATGGCAGAAGTCTAGGCTTTTAAGCACGATCTGTCAAAAAAACAAACAAAACTCCATTAGCAAAGAACATGATTTCCCAAATCCCATAATTACCTGGAAAGCTGACTTTCTTGGAGGTTCTTCGTCTTCCTTTTTTAATTCTTCCTCTTCCTCCTCTTCACTATCCGTTTCAAACAAATAATAGTCTCCACTCCTGACCACTAAGCAAAACAAAATATTTACTTACTTCTTAAAAGAGATACAAAATAATCAGGGGATTTTTAATGAAATGCCCCCCAAAGATACACATAAATTGCCCATAAAAGGACCACAGCAAGAGACATTGATAGAGAGGAAAAATACAAGAGATGAAGAGGATTCATTCTGGGCTATGCTATGTGCTGTTGGCATGACTGAGTCTACAGAGCATGAAGGCCTTGTCTGTGCCATGTAAGAGAATTGGCCACTACTGGGTTGATCTGGTATTTTCTTCCTTCTTCGTTGTAAATGTTATACAGATGTATCAGATCAACTCTGCAGCAACCAGTTTTGTTACCAAGATGACCAAAATAACTGAAAAACTATTTTGCAATTCAGCAATTCTGGTCTTTTAGACAAGGCTGAAGTAAAGTGGAAGGCTTGGTGTTGTCTGAATGGGTCCAAACTGTTGTAGAAAACCAATCAGGAAGATTCAGGACCAAGAATCCGTGTCACCAATCTTCTACTTCACTTTATACTGTGCAGACCTGGCTTCCCCACACGTCACACAAGGGACACAGATATGGCAAGACATTTGAAAGAGTTGATTTTTAAAAAAAATAACACATTGCCATGAGGAAAAAATGGGTGGGCAACATTAAAAAAAGAACACAACCACAATAATGCCACCACCACCACCACTCTGGCTGTTTCTACATGGAGCATGGGACAGACTGAGGCACGGCAGACATGGTCCATACAGTTTAGTGCTGTTAGACTTCTGGTCAACCAGGAACTCCCCAGTCACTTACTGAAATCTGAGGAGACCTGTACTGAGCATAAGACACCAAGCACAAACAGTATAGATCATCCTTGCCTTGCTTAATACTTTCCCTGCAAGAACATATTGCTGTGCTAAGAGTTAGGATTAGAGAGAGCTAAAATGTCCAGAGATTTATAGGAATTTGAGGATCATATTTTTTATCAGTTTGATCGTTATTTTAAATTTATCAGAGAAAAGAGACCCAGCATATATATTTCTGATGCTACAAGAACTGTACCATCCTTGCAGGAAAACATTAATACTTTCAAGTTATGTTCAAGACTTCAAATGCTGAGTTTTCTTTTGGATAACATAACATGATGTGTCCAGTTATGTTTTGGACTTAAACATTGCAAGGTAATGGGAAACCTTGGCTTGTTTAAAATTAGTTGCTTGAATATCACTAACATGGTCAAAAGGTAAATAATTTTGCCCATGATTTCAGACGTATCTGAGGCCTCCATCCATGAAGACGCAGAGGGAATGAATTGGGCCTTATATCCTTGAACAGAAGCACTGTGATTTGTTTTTTTTTACTTTGAAGACATAACCAGGCCCAGAGTACTGGGTCCAGGCCTGAGGAAATAAATGCAATATAACATAAGGTAAGAGTAAGCAAGAACAAACCAAAGTGACAGCATTACGTTTGACAGTGAGAAGACCATTAAAGTAATGCCTCAATGTAAGCTCAGAGATTTGCAGGAAAGTTACATGGACTGTACGTCACATGGTCATTTGGTAAAAACAGAGTATCAGATTGAGCATTTTACCCTCATTATAGTCTCTAAAATCAACAGTAGCTTAAACTGTATTCAATCATACCTTCTACAACTTTATCCATGAGGACACTGTGAGCCCTCAGGTAGTCATAGCATTGATTTTGTAATTTGAAAAGCTACCGATTTGTATGTGAGAGGTAGAATGAACACATTACAAAAAGAAATATGTTAAATATTTTCTATTCTTTACAAAATGTTATTGACATAAAACTAGGGAAGTAACAGAGAATATTTTCTTCAGCGCTATCTGCTAATAATGAGTAGAGCTCTTACATATGCCTTTGTTAGTGCAGAGATCCTGCCTCCAGCCTGTGTCCCTATACGTATTATGGATGCCAATGTTATTAATGAGCAACTAAGCATGAAAATAAATTTTAAAGTCCCATCCTCCCAAAATGGGCCCTTTATTTCTTATATTTAAATATAAAGTGAGACTTGGCATTGATTTAGACAGAATTAAAGTGACAAGAAGACACACTACACTGAAATGGAAGGTATCATTGAACAGCAATGATGCAATCGCATGTGTGCACATAGGTATGGAAGTGGGAGGTTTGTCACCTGCAGTCTATGTTAAGATCTCGAATGCTGACCAATAATATGGACAACAGAGCAACATTATTATACTGCCAATGGATTTACACAAGGGTATTCCAACTACACTTATTTTTATGCTTGACCCCACTAAGAAATATCTACTTGGAAGCCCAGTGACTTTTAGAGAAATAGCACTTTCAATAAAGTGCTTCCAGATCTGAATATAAGTTTTGGAGCATGTCATAGTGTAAAATAAATCACATGTTCATTCCTTTCCTTTCCTCAAAAGCCTGTAAAGAAAATATATTTTGTAGAAAAAAATTTAACACCATGCTCAGAATATGATTCCAACCTATGAATAGCACACATTCATGCATTATTGCATCATAAGGTATTGTAACGAGGCACATTTAGTTTAATACCAGTCTTTAAGAACTTGATATAATGAGGGTGAAATGAATCAGAAAATCTAAAGACAATACCCTTCATAGGAAGTTCTTTAAATTATTCCCAACTTGTAAGATCATTATCAAAGACCATATCCAAATCCTTCCAAAATGCAACATTTAGATGAGAAAGGACATACAAACGTAATGATTGCAATGGGAATTTATCCCAGCTGAAAAAAACCAAAACATTTAGTATGACACAATTTTGAAATGGATAGGTCTCTTTAAACTCACAAAGAACCCTTTAAAAACAGAAAGATAGGCATAGTTTACTTGTGACTTGATAGAAATGGGCCCACAGTGCAATGCATTGTTAGATTATCAGCATGACTAATATGTCAATGGGCAATAAATTAGAGTCACAGAGAATTTCACCTTGAATTTTGCCTTTTGACTTGGGCAGAAGATAAAATAAAACTCTTTACAACAGATGGATTTTTTTTCTGCCACAATGCTAAAATTCAATATTTGGGATTAAATTTATTTACATCCACACATACTGAGCAAATTTTGAATATTGCTTTATTAAATTGGTTTACCGATTTAAAAAAAATATATTTCTAGAATCAGAGAAGCTAATACCAGTGTCTTAGGTGACACTAGGAATTAAATATGGGAAAAGATTCTGATCAATTTGATTCTCTACTGATTCTAAATATCCCACTAGTAGAGTCTCTCCAATCATCATGTGATGGAATGAGCCTTGATGGTATTCCTTGTCTGATTATATGAGCTACAGTTATTTTTTTTAAAATATATTTTATTGATTCTTTACAGAGAGGAAGGGAGAGGGATAGAGAGTTAGAAACATTGATGAGAGAGAAACATCGACCAGCTGCCTCCTGCACACCCCCCACTGGGGATGTGCCCGCAACCAAGGTACATGCCCTTGACCGGAATCGAACCTGGGACCTTTCAGTCCGCAGGCCGACGCTCTATCCACTGAGCCAAACCGGTTTGGCTAGCTACAGTTATTAAAACACAGAACAAGACATAAAAGACTGAAGATATTTTAAGTAATTTTCAAAATAATTAATAATTCCTTAATTTCTAATACATTTAAAGAGGGCTGGATTCAAAGGAATCATTCCATTAAAATACCATTGGCCAATACTGGGTGATAGACAGTTCTTTTGCCAAGCAGAACAAATACAGCCACAGAGTACCATAATTCCTCATTATTGTTTTATGCTCAGGAGGGAAAAGCACTAATTCCATGTGGCTACCAAGTACTGCTTTTCAAAACTGTTTTCTGACTCCTCTTAACGGGTCCCGGCTGAGCTGCAGGTGCTCTGAGGCCACACGCTGTGAGCCTTTTTAAAACTAGGGAGGAGGCAGAACTAAAAAGTAAATTCATTTTAAGTTGTCCTCATTTTTATATTTAATAAAGTGTAAAAATTCCTCACGTGCAAATAAAATCTAAGCTCTGGGAATGAGGGTAGGGGAGGCTCATTGGCATCCATGCCTAGTGTCTTACAAGAGGGTCGCAAACACTGTGAACATAATGATTATCCTTAAATCAGGGTCCCAGGAGGCACAGAAACTTATTTTTATTAAGGGTTTTAAGCCATAAAACAAATACACATCAGCAGGACTCTACACCTCAGAAGTGGATAACATAGCAATCAATGATTCTTTCCTTTCTGAGCCCGTAAATGGTGATCAAGCTTAGCTTTCTTCAGCCAGCATGTAATCACTAATTTCTCTGGAAGTTTCTATATACAGGCTCAGAGAGTCATTCATATCTCAATTTTCCTATGCTCCGACCCCCTATCAAGTCACAAGGATCAAACCATGCATGAAAACACACAGGCCATGGGGACGCCTGAATTCTGGTCAAGGATATAAGGGTTAGAACTGACAAAATTGTAAGAGGATCGAGAAAACCTACTGGAAGCATGATCAACCCAAGGCCGCCACCACTGCTTTTTTTTGCCCTTGGCTTTCTGTTTGTCTGCTTCTCCTAAAATAAAATATGTCCAAATATTAATTCTTACAAAGCGAGAAAACAAATTTTGAAAACCACGCTAAAACAACTCAATTGTCAAAATCTAGATAAGTTGCAAAAGTACATCAGAGGTCAGGAAAAGGAACTATACGGAATCTGAAAAATTTACATGAATTAGCAATTGATTTCACAAGGTAAATACTGTGTTCTATTCACTTTATGCCACATTTCCATTTTCTTTTTAGTAACAGAAAAAAATATTTAAAAAGGTATTATCTGTCAAAAATACATTTCACACTAAATTTTTTTTGAATCAACAGAAAAAGCATCACCCAAAATTTATAGCACAATTCAGTGGCAAATAATTTGTTAAAACCATATGTTCCCTATAGTCAGACATTTTTCTTGCGATTATTTGAATATATGGTTGAAAAAATATGTTTACTAGTGATGAATAGATACTATCATGCATTATTTCTTCATTCCCTCTAAATAAAAAAGCATACAAACATTTATAAGAAGACCTTTTCAACTTTGCTGGGTATAATATAGCTATTATTAGATATCATGAATACATTTAAATATAAATATCATTAAATGATACTTTACCATTATTTAGACACCACATAAAATATGCATATATACTTAGTTTTCATATAATATTCATAGAAATCAAAGATTACAGTAGATTGCATATCTGAAATATCTTCCCTAAAGAAATAAATTAAGCGAATTTATGCCCAATTCCTTCAGAAACACATCTGTGAATCAGAAAGCAGGTTACATATTGATGTAAGTTGTTTTGCTGAAGAGAAGATACTTGTAAAGTCATGGATTCATTAAATGTGTACTTCATGAAACAAATAAAGGTATCCCATTCACAATGGAATGTAAAACTTGTCAAGTTAAAAAAATACATTGATAATATTGGCAAAATGAAAACTAACATTATTTTACAGCCCTACCCAATATCATGCTATTATTCAATATCAAGGTACTTGAGCAAGAGGGAAATGTCTCGACATACTTTCATCATCCTCTTCAGAGAGTTTTTGGATGTCTTGGCCTTCCCCTGACTCCTGGGTCAAGCTCAGCATCCTCTCCTTACCCTTTTTGTATTTCTGTTGCCTGGCCTTAATGCGATCCATCCTGAAAGATGCAAAAGCAGCAGCAATGCCAAGAACACGTCCGCAGTTATCCTATGGTCATACTTTGAGTTTACACTTTTATGTACATAGCTAAAAGCATGAACACAGTGGTCGATATTTGGACTTGTGAATGGTTTCTTATTAGAAGCAAGTATCTCCATTTTTTTTAATATACTTACGCTAATTTTTACTACACAGATACAAGCCTTAATAATATGACTGATAATAATTTGCTAAAGTTTGATATGCAATACTTTATGTCTACTTATACCGTGTACCATAGCTTTCTGAATGCAGCATATTATCCTATACTATATAATAAAAGCCTAATATGCTAAGTGTCTGACTGTTTGACCATTTGACCAGTCGCTATGACACACACTGACCACCAGGGGGCAGATGCTCCGAGTATTTGGTTAGCTTGCTGCTGGGGTCTGGCTGATCGGGACTGGGTGAGATGGGCCGGACACCCCCTGGAGCCCTCCCACGGTTCCTCCTGGCCCTGATCATGCACCAGTGGGGTCCCTCAGCCTGACCTGTGGGGATTGGGCCAAAACTGGCTCTCCAACATCCCCCGAGGGGTCCTTGATTGAGAGAGGTCTCAGGCCAGGCTGAGGGACCACACCAGTGCACAAATCTGTGCACCAGGCCTCTAGTGAAATATAAAGTCCTTTATTCTCCCAGGTTTTGCATTTTTAAATATCTGTCTACCTTACATGGTTGTTGTGAACATCAAATGACAAAAATATGTGAATGTGAGAACTATTGTAAATAGCAAGTCGCTCATAAAATGCTAATAAGTATTTTGTTAGATCATATGCTTCTTCTCTATTTCAAATCTAATCTCTTATTGGTTCTGGACAAATGTATTACTGAATCTTTAATTATTGACTTAGTACCTTTATTTTGTGTGCTTATTTAGGAAGTCTATTTAGATACTGCAATGTTGAACTCTATTTCCTAGGTCCGCCCTCCTGAAATGTTCCATTGTTTAATTCAGTTTCTTACAATTCTGGATATATTGCTCAAGAACTGGTTTAAGCACCATTTCTCCTTTGTGCAGCTAAAACATTTTCAGTTTATTTTTTGCAATGATCACTGTCTTCATTCTTTTTTATTCTGACCTTCTATCACTTAAGCAAATGAAAAAATTCAGTGAAGTGAATTACAGTAACAGGCCTCACTTATGGGAACACATTCTAAATGTGGGTCCAAATTTGTTATTTCTCTAGACCTGATTTAGGTATTTAGAAACAACATTAGCAACAGTTACACTGTATCACACTATATAGCTCGTATATGTGAATGTAAAATAACCATGCCATGGAATACGTGTAATTTGTACTAGCAAATATTTTTGCATGGGTAAAAATGAGGTCAGAATGCAATGAACTAGTTTAAGCAAACTCAGGGAATTTTTCTCGTGTGCTGAATTCTAGGCTGTCAGCTCTTAAACTTGCCCTCCAAACATGACGGGCTATCGACCCTCAGAAGTTCCATTCATTGCTGGAAATCTCACTCGAAGAAAATTCTTTACAATGCGCCAAAAATAAACAAACAAACAAAACCCCCTGGAATTCAAAATTCTCAAATCTCTTGGGTGAAGTCAGTCCATGACTCAACTTCTCCAGGATGCTCTGTTGGAAAAGGTCTTGAACTGAATATAGGGAAGGATGGGTTGCATTTCTAGCGCTGCCTCGTTAGTTGTGAATTTTAAATGATCTAATACTGTGGGTCATCAGTTTCTTCCTGAAGAGACTGGATTATATTATCTGTAAAGATCCTTCCAGAGCCAGAACTCTGCATTTATTCCCTTAACCCACAGGTGTGATGATCATTTACTCCAAGTGCCTGGCACTGTGAAGGGCGCTGTTTCATTCATTACCTTGTTTAATCTTTCTAAAAACCTCAGGGAGAATTGTCAGCCCTAATTTAAAGCAGAAAATTAAAATCCAGAGAATGTGAATGACTCGCTCAAGTTATCAAAGTAAGCAACCGAACTAAGCCTTGACATTGGCCTTACCCAAGCCGGCTCCCTTTCTACCACAATGTAGCCAACTTTCTTTTTAAAGACTTCCATGTCCAGCCTATCAGGCACACCAGTAAATACCTGGGAAGTTGTGAATCAATTTTTCAGGGGGTTGAGCTTCTAGAGCAGTGGTTCTCAACCTTCCTAATGCCGCGACCCTTTAGTACAGTTCCTCATGCTGTGGTGACCCCCAACCATAAAATTATTTTCATTGCTACTTCATAACTGTAATTTTGCTACTGTTATGAATCATAATATAAATATCTGATATGCAGGATGTATTTTCATTATTACAAATTGAACATAATTAAAGCATAGTGATTAATCACAAAAACAATATGTAATTATATATGTGTTTTCCGATGGTCTTAGGAGACCCCTGTGAAAGGGTCGTTCGACCCCCAAAGGGGTCGAGACCCACAGGTTGGCGACCCACAGCTTGAGAACCGCTGTTCTAGAGAGAGAGCTGGGAGTGTCTGAATGGGATCATACCAACCAACACTAAAAGGAACAGAGGAGAGGAAAATAAAGCATCCTTACTGCCTCTTCAGCTGATCCATTGACTTTTTCTCTTCCTCAATTCTTGCTTTCACAGCCTTTACAATTGTGGCCTGGAAAAGTTCAGCCCCTCTAAAGGAAAATTGGAAACAGAACAAATTAGTATTTCTAATAATATAGAACCCCTAAAATAACTATAAGGGTTCAAAAACATTTCTTGTTGGGCTGTAGACTGAAGTTTCCTGGCCCCTTCTGAGTGGACAAACATGGTACAGCCTCCCCCAGGACGGTGTGGCTGCTCACAAACTTTGAGAGATCAGTAAAACTAAAATGGTTTGTGTTTCTTAAGACATTGAAAGCCACGCACCGCTTCAAACCTGTCCCACAGAACGTTACACCTAAGGTTACTCACCTGACCTTATTCTAGTTTGTTCCACTAGGGAGCATTTGCAAGAGTGAGTTCAGATTGGTTTTCTACTCAATACGTAAGGACAAGTGCAAAGTTGAATTGCAAGCCCCATCAATGGGGTTTTCAGTCTCTTGCCTCTTTGATTCTATTCTTTCTATCTTTCCCCTCCCTTCTGCTTTTTCTCACATTTCAAGCCAACTTAAGGGTCCCCATAGATCTCATCAACCTAATATCCTCAACTCTGTCCCATCGTCACAGGTCACAATCGCTTGGCATATGGCAATTCTGCAGAATCTCAGTGGTGTGCCAGCCCTGTGCTTGGACGGGCTATCATCAGAGGTGCAGAAACGCATGGTTGGCCAACTAGCCACTGCACCGCACTCTCTGGAAGCTTGTCTGCTCCTCTCCAGTGGCTATTTCACACTTCTTACCCTTTTCTGAAATCCTGAATTCTGCCAACGGCTCTTCACTCCTAGTAAACGGCCCACCTTCCTACTTCCCGGAGAGAACATCAGTCATGAGCAAGTATTTGCTCAGCTTCCCACCACCTATCCTGTGGATACCCTTTCTCGGTGACAGTGGAAGAGGTGACGTTCTCCTGTCTAAGGCCGCCTGTGCTCAGGTGTCTTCCCCACCTGCAGCCTGAGGGACTCCATCCTTCCATTTTCTCCTTCTCTTCCTACATTTTCAACCTTTCCACTGCCACTAAAACCTGTTTATAGGCATGCAAACATTCTCAAATCTTAGAAAAAGAACCCATGTACCTCACACTTTCCTATGTACAGCCTTACATTACTGCCCCAGGATAGTCAAAGATATTGCATCGCTGTTTCCAAGCCTTTACTTTTTAAAAAATGTATTTACTGAGGTGACACTGGTTAATAAAATTCCATAGGTTTTGGGTGTACAGTTCTACAATATATCATCCGTATATTGTATTGTGTGTTCACCACCCCAAGTCAAGTCCCCTGCCTCCAAGCCTTTACTTTCAACCTCAGCTCACTGGGGTATGGTTCTGATTCTCACCTGTCAAGGTCACTGATTGCGCTGTTCAATTGGCTAGTGTCTCTGATACAGGTACAGCAGTCAAGGGGGTCACGCACCTAGCCATCTCGATGGCATTCCTTTTAATACTTAGTCCTCTTCCTAGTCTTTCCCCCTAAGCCTACAAGATCAGGGGCAAAAACTGAAAGAAGCGTGGAGACTAAGAAATCTGCCCTACCTCGATGCCAGGATCTGTGAAGCTTTTATATCCGCCACAACGTGTAGGAAATAGTAACTCATAAAAACTCTTCTCTGCAGCAGGAGGAAGGCAAAACATATACTGTCCCAAATGATTCCTGCTTCACCACTGGGTAGTTTACACGAGGAATCAGCATCAGCTGAGGCAAAAAATTAAAATAATTAAAATTAACATCCATTTCTTTTTTGTTATTTTATAAAACCTGTGTGTGATCAGGCTTGGGAAATCACATAGGCATGAAAGCAACATTCTGATCCATCAACTCACTTATGAGTTGATTTATTTACGAGCAAGGCCATGCACTTAAAGTCCAATATGAACATTGATCCATGAGGCTGACCGCAAAGCGAACTCTTGACAATGTAAAGCACAGGAAGGGCTCTTTGCTAAGGAAGACTCCTGAGTGTTCCTTTCTTTTAGGGAGAGAGGGACTCCTTTCCCCCAAACCCCCAACAAAGACCATAAAGAAATAATGACTGCATGTCTCAATGCCAGAGGCAATGCTCTGGTACAAAATAAAATACCCTTTCTGGAAACGGGCTCTAGCCAGAGGTAGGCAGCACACTGGGGCCTATTAGAAGAAAGGGTCTCAATAGCACATCTGATCCTAAGTCAAAGCAAATCCCCTGTGACTCTTCATCCTCCGCACAGTATAGCCTGGGTTAGCTGCTGCAGTGGGGGAGCGTCATGTTCAAGCTGCCCCCATTCTAGGCACCGGGGAGGACCGTGTGTGGTGTTGCCCTGGGTGCTGATGCAAGAGGCAAAGAGATGAAAATGGGACTTCTGTCTCTGTCTTGGTGGGAGTGTAACTCCAAAAAATCTGCAGCTCTTCCCACTTGTTTCCTGAGTTTGAGGTTCTCTGAGCTTCCAGAGGAGAAAAGAACATGGAAGTCAGAATTACATTGATGCCCGAAGATTCTAACTGCACACAACCACAGGTTTGAGTGGGCATCTGTACTCTTCCTAATCATAATTCAAAATGTTCAGGGAGCTACTACAGGCAACACCCAGCCTCCAGACCTGCCAGGATTTAGGATGTTTTTAGATGACAATCCACGATGTCCAGAATAGGAGCATTTCCTTGTTATGGACAATAGAGTCATAATGTAGTGCAATCCTATAGCCTCCATGTACAGATCAAATTGAAATCCATTTTTATCTCTCTCTCTCTCTCTCTCTCTCTCTCTCTCTCTCTCTCTCTCTCTCTCTCTTTTTACATGTTTTGGCCCAACGTTTAAATTATAACAATACAGCTGTCCTTCCCTCTTTGTTCTTCCATTCCCAAATATGCTTCTCATACTTACGCATTTTATAGCCTTTGACTGTGCAGGCCAGGCTGAAAGCTTGGATCAACCAGCAACTATTTTTAACCAATTTTTCGATGTATCCACATGCTCCTATCTGAAAAACAAATGGAAAAGGCAAATTCTGAAATTCTGCACCCAGAAAAAAAGCTTGATGTCTTGTGATCCTAACAGGTGCAAGAATTCACAAAGTCTCAGTGCCAATGACTGTGGGAGGTACTGACGCGTAAAATTACAGTCACCACTGGGTGGTGCTATGAATGCTTCCAGAGCACCATCATTTCCCAGGGAAAATTAGGCCCAATGAGTAAAGGAAGCATCTTCAAGGTGATGTTTGCTGCACTTGGAAGCACCTCTCTTTTCAAAGAGGAAATCTTGGATTATCACAGAAACAAGCTGAACTCTGTGATAGTGAATGGGTAAGCACTACACTCTAGGACTTTGATTTTAGTCCAGTTACTTCCTGGCTTGTCAGACATATGAAACCTATGCTCTCTGCCAGGACATCATCACAAACATAAAACATTAATGATATATGGTTCTTAGAATAGGAGATGATTTTATTTTTTGCCAATTCTCTGGGTAAAGGAATATGTTTTTTGTTGATTTGATTTTTTGTCTCATAACAATGCTTTCTTGTCATGTATTACACATAATTATTGTAAGCCAGCACATAAAAGTGATGGCTGAATTATGCAGATTTCTTGGGGACATGTGAGATAGGAGAATATAAGTAGAATTTTCTCCCAAATCAGCAGTAACCCAGCATCAGTACATGCTTTCTGAATTCACATTTCAGTCCTACACAGCCATGCTTTTGTTCAGGTTCCCAAGTTGGGAATATTCTCCCTGCCTTGTCTACCTGGATACCCTTCAATCTCTCTTTCAAGTCTCTGATGGGTTCAAATGGCATCACCTCTAAGAAGCCTGTTCCCAACTTATCTAGGTAATATATTAAGTACCCCTTTTTTGTTTTATTTTCCTGAACCCTTGTGATAATTAGCATCAAAAGATCATATAATTATAAGAAGGTCTATCTTTCCTTCCAGAATGTGAGTTCCTTGAGGATAAAATTTGAGTGCTATATATTTTTAGCTCTTCAAGATATAAAACAGTGCCTAGCAAAAGCAGTGCAATTTAGGTTTACAGAATGAATGAATGAACTTTGTAGACAGATTTTCCAGGAATGGTTGTAGGGATCAGCTTCTAGTAACAGATCCTTCACCATCAGATTGGCTTTAGAATGAAATGGTGTTCTGTTGTCTCTCATACCCTCTCCTAAAACTCCCAGTGCTACCCCAAATGTACATAAATACTGGTGCGGTAAAATTGATAAATAAAAGTCACTTTTAGTGTCAACTAGAAAATCAACATTTCAATGGGTTGTAGACAAAATAAATTATTCAAACACATATTCATGGTTACACAGACTTGACTTTCCAAGACCTCCAAATATAGCAATGGATGTGCCGTTGCCCTCTCCCTCCCTCCCCAAATCAAATGCTTTCAGAGTTAAATTGCCTGCCCAGTGAGCTCATCTTTAAGTAGTTAGGAAGGGGAGAAGCAGGAAGTCATTACATCACTATTCTTCTAATGCATTATCACCTATAACCTGGGAGTAGCAGGTACTAGGATTAACTTTAAGTTAGGGCCAACTACAGATGTATTAACTCCTTCAGTTCATGGAAGATTATTGTTTAATATCCTGAAATAACAAATAACTTAACTGTGTCCTAAAAGATTTTATGTGACGCTGGGGTTACAAGGGGGCAGTTTGAGTTATTGATCAGGTCAGGGAGAAAGCTGTGCTCTGGAACATGGAACTTTAAGAGCAGAGCAGCCAAACTTTGAGGAAGAAAGAGGTGGTTTTTGCCTCAATCCTTTGTTGCCTTAGCTGGGCCTTGGTCAGAATGCCTGTGCTCAGAGGCAGCTGTGACACTGTGATTGCTTCTTATCTACCCACATCTCATGTGCACATAAAACATTCATGCTTTCAATAGTCTATTTCACTTCATTCCTCTCCCACACAATGTCATAGAGAACTATGATTTTGTATTTAATAATTCTATAACTCTTTCTAGATAAGAGAGTTGCTTTTAGCCAACATAATATGACTTTAAAGGGTCATTTTGCACTAGTAAGAATGATGATAAATTAGTCCTCAGAAAAGATGGGATTTTAATTAATAAAATATGTTTTAGAGTTTATTCTGATGAATACATATTCTCTCATCATGTGACCTTGAAATGGTGGAAAAAAAGATTCTGCTTAATATGGCAAAACAAAGAGTAATAAACGGTCATTTGAATTCTGAATTTGCAGCATCTCATTTGGGGGTTTTAAGAGAGCAGTGTGATGGATGATGGGTTTTTAATAACCACTGAGTTGACTGTTTACTCTTACACTGAAACCACAAATGTGTTACACAGTGGGAGCCACTTACTGACAGTATGTTTTTCATTGTAATCACAAAGACGTTGTAAGCAATCAGCCAGTCCCAGTAACGCAGGATGCTCTTGATGGGTTTCAATAGCAAATCACCCCCAAAGAGCAGGAAATAGAAGCAGGCCACCAAGTAACCCATGCAGAAGATGCTGATCCTTGTTGTCCCAGTGATGAAGATGATTGTGAGGACGAACCAGAAGAGGTAGCTAAAGATGATCACTTTGGACATGTCTAAGTATGATCTGGAAAATAAAACCAAACCATCAAAGGACAACAACAAAAACAAATAAAAACATTAAGTTGGGAGATTCTACTTTAATGAGGGTAACAACCATACTATAGCCCTAGCCGGTTTGGCTCAGTGGATAGAGCGTCAGCTTGCGGACTCAAGGGTCCCAGGTTCGATTCCGGTCAGGGGCATGTGCCTTGGTTGCGGGCGCATCCCCAGTGGGGGGTGTGCGGGAGGCAGCTGATCGATGTTTCTCTCTCATCCATGTTTCTAGCTCTCTGTCTCTCTCTCTTCCTCTCTGTGAAAAGTCAATAAAATATATTTAAAAAAACAACCATACTATATATTTGACTCAGAGGTTCAGCTTTAGCTACGGAAGCCCTCTGTCCCATGTTTATTAGTTTTATGTGTACAAGCACCTCTCAGTGTCCCAAGAATGGGAGAGAGAGAGAGAGAGAGAGAGAGAGAGAGAGAGAGAGAGAGAGAGAGAGAGAGAAGGAAGTAGAGATATATACTTGAAGGGCACGCACCAAAGTGGCTTTGAAACAATGCAGCTGTCCTTACCTGCAGTGAATGAAATCTGGGACTGGGTTATATTGGCTGAAGGAGGCTGCATCAAGGCTCATGCAAATCTCCACATTGTCCCCTGCCATGATTCGCACTGCAGCCTTATTTTCATCCTCAAAAATCTGCCATTGTAAGGAGGCACACAGAAGCAGCATGAAGTCATCTGGCAAGACAGAGGTAAGATCATTAAACCTGGGTTTACAGATGCAGGTCACAGTCCCCATACAGCATGAGCTGCTCCTTAACTCTCAAGGGGGCTGTGTTCCTAAACTGGATTCCAATGTTGGGGCCAAATCCCACCTTCCTTACCATGGGGGTTGCAAGAGGAACCACAGACATTCCAGGGGCATGAAGTGGGAGAGCCCTAGGATTGTGTCTGCACGTTGGTGACTGAAAGTGTCAGGTGCCAATTACTGGCCTTCAAGACTTTCTTTATTTGTGCTTATCTCCTACCAATGCTTTGAGGCAGCCATTTGAGCATTTTCCCCATCTTAATCTTTTTACACGTGGTAGAAGCAGACATTTCTGATTTTCTCTATCATTTCCATTCCCCTTTACATTTGTGATCAAAGACTCTTCCCAGAGCACATACTGCAGTGAAGGCTGGATGACCGCAGTTGACAATTATGGGTCCATTCCTGAGAGTGGAGACATCTGATGGAGCGGTCCTGGTGGCCAACAGCCCAGAACAGACCCTCACTCTAGCCGGGCAGGCAGCCTCCAACCTAAATTGCCTTGTTCTTTAAATTAAATCTGCATGTGTTTAGGCAGCTAAATTGCTCTTTGGTTTCCCACTGGATCTAGCACTCCCTGGGTAGGAGTGGATAACCTTGACCTTTGGATGATCAGTCTGCCCTTGAAAGGACTTGGGGCTGGGGCCCAGCTGAGGAGCCGGGGCGATTTGAGTAGCACCTTCCTGGCTAGCACAGTCTTATCTTCAGATTTGGTTTGTGGTGGCAGCTAGAAAAACGGATTCACAAAATACAAGGCCTCCCTCCTCACTCTACCTTCTAGAAGGTGGGTGTGCAGGGGCGTGTGTTGGGGGGCAGAGTGTGTGTGTTGGGAGATAAGTTATGAAAGTGAATATGGTATTTCAATGTTTATTAATTTTGCAAATGCCTAATAGGGCAAGTAGAAGCCATTAATGACCTGTGATATTAATGCATCAAGACAAGCCTTTTGCATGATTAGAAAGAGCAGTGGAAGAAGCAAAAACACTAATGTCTAATGCACGAAGATGGGTTAGCAAACATAAAACCAAATACCAGTGCTCTGTGGCCCCAAGGCTGCAACACTTACAGACGAGAAACACGGGGTTGGGCCGCACAATGAAGTCTGGGAAGTACAGCCACTTTATGATGTTGTCATTGAAGTTGGCACCCTTGAATCTCCATGGGTAATCTGCAGGGAGGGAGGTGGTGAGGAGCAAGATCAATAAGCTTCTTTGCTGCCCTTTGCCCACTGTGCCCAATGTAAGGTTGGATCATAAGAGCAGCCGCTCCTGGGAGGCCACACACCTCTGCAGGGCGCAGGGGGGATGCCGATGCAGATGAAATACTGGAACGTGATGATGCAGGCCAGGAAGCAGCAGTACTTGGGCCAGATCTCCGCGATGGCTTTTCTTCTGCGTCGATATAAGACGGCAATCAGCCAGCAGGCGTGAATCATGGCATAGAAATCCATTCGCTGACCGATTACATTGACTGACAGTAGGAAACAGGTCTGCATAAGGAAAAAAGAGGCAAAAAAATTGGATTTAGACAGGGAAGGGAAGTGGTGTCAGCTATCAGCCCTTTGCAGGGGCAGAGACCTGCCTTCCGGAGGTAGGTTTCTCTGCACATGTTCACCAGGTCTTTTCTTGTTATGTCTTTAAGGGTGAAGACGGAGATACTGTACAGATTAGACACAGGTACTGTACACATTACTTCCGAGGGAAACACTGAGTACTTCCCTATTTACAGGAACCACTTCCACCATGAAGAGAACTACAGCTATGATCTCTTCATGAAAGTCACTGTTTCAAATTCATTCTACTGAGGAACAGGCACTACCACAGCCATTTCAGGTCAAGTGGTTCATTTTGGCTAAGGTTACATTTCCACATGCAGGAAACAGGAAAAAAAATTACAGCATTTCCGGTTTATAAGGAACCAGTTACAATGACAAGTGACAGGCATCCATGTGTCTGTAGGGCAACAGAGACCCAGAGAGGCAGAGCTCCCTGTTGCAAGGGGGCCATTAGCACATGGTGTTGGAAAACTTTCAGCCAGGCCAGGTAAGTCCTTCAGTAGCATCTTCTCCTGCTGATCCCGAGGATCAGTAATCATGGTCTGGAGGTGCAGGATGAAACTCCTGTGGCCAACTGGCCAAAAGCAGCTATTGGGATTGTCACAGAGAATAGAAAACACACCCGCAAGGAAACTCACCTCCAGACCAAACTTGTAGAAGAAGTAATTTATGAAATATTTGGCACAATTAATAATTCCATCATCCAGATGGTGTCTTGTAATGTCATGAAAGATGGTTTTAGATACAGGGGCCGTGAGGTTGTTTCGCCCCCGGTAGTACTCCTGATGGCGGTACACTGTGACCTCAAAGGCCAGAATGGCCAGCATCAGCAGATTATTCTACAAAGCAAGAAAACACAGCTATGTGAAGCCAAAGGCTTTGTGATTTGGTAATTTTAAACTATCCTCATAATAAGTAATTTGATTCCATTTTTGATGTTTAATAGTAAAATGCTTTATAAAATCCCATCTCTATAATAAGTAGTCTTGAATTCAAAGTTCATTTTCCCTGCTTTCTGGTAACAAGGTGGAGTTATCTCCATTATGCAAATCAGGCTGATTTACATTATCATATGACCTAGAATCTCTAGACACAAGCCTAAAAAAGCACAAACCTGTACCAGGAAGCAGTGTCCAATTATCTTGGGAGGGTGGTCCAACTTTATTGGCACCAGAAGTGCCACACACTTCTACAGTGTTCTATAAGGACATCCTGGGAAACACACTAAGCTGGAGGAGTGGGATAAGCATAGAGGGGACATTTTTTAACACCTCTGAAATCTGGCTAGAGAGAGCCGTGTTGAGAAACATGAGGATAAAATAGTAACAATAATAATAGTGATGATAATAATAATAATAAAATAGTTCACATTTATGGAACTATATGTGCCAGATGCTATTCTAATCACTCCTTTCAAATATCAATTTGTTTTACCCATAAAACAGCTTTTTATGGTAGATATCATCTGCATATTACATGACAGATATGGTCAATAGTATTTATAAACGTTACAAATGTTATCTGCCATATGATATCTGCCAAAGTCAAAGAGAAAAGGGATCCTTGGTATATTTTAAAATTCCAGGTGTTGCATATAAATGTTTCATTTTTAAGTACCTTCTCAGCATAATGTTACTAAGATTACTCACATTATCCATCAAAGTAGAATGTGAAAAAATATGAAGTATATTGCTTTCATTACATTTCTTACAATTGCTTGCAAAGTTCCTTTTTCAAAAATATGCTCTTTATTTGATTACCTCTAAATGTAATATATACCCTTTATTAAAAACTGTGGAGAAACAGAATTTGAACAGCAAAAAATTCTTGTAATGCTATACCTACTTCTCAGAAATAATCATTGCTGACCATTTGCTATATTTTACTCATCTTTTTCTTTGTATCTAAAAGAGAATATACTATGTACGGTGCTCTAAAATTTTTTAAAACATAATAGATTTTGGACATCTTTTAATGTCTGACATTAACAGTCTCCCTCCGTCCTTTAGGGTTCTATAATGTTCCAGCAACTATATCTATCACACTTTATTCAATTAATCACAAACTACTTGATAAATTCCTTTTCAGCACAGTACGATACTGATTTTAATATTGAGTCATTTTTCTAGAAGGCGATCCTAAATGCCACATAAGATGAGGTTCCTATCGTTGTGATATGCGGGGTTTCAAGGGAAAGGATTCTAGAACATAACTACACAGAGGCCCCAACTCAGCACAACGAAGCCTTTACCCTCAGGTAGACGAGCAGCGGCGAAGACTTCCTCAGGCCCACCCACTCCGTTGGATCCACAGGAGCGCTGTAGAGTAGAGACTTGTTCAACTCGTTGAGGGGTATGTCTGTTTCATTCTCATTTGGCTGAAAAGAAGAGAAAAGGAATTGGCTCCACAGATTAGGAGAGTTCAGGTTATTCTCCTTCAGTTTTGAGCATAAGAACATGAGGGAAATGGGAGGGAAAGACCCATTTGACAGGGAAATCTCATCAGGAATAGAGGTTTGGGCCCAGCATTCTAGGCCAGAATGTATCCAACCTGCGGAGGTGATTTAATGGCCAGACAGAATGTGCTTGGGGATGTAGGTTCCCCAATAGCCACCTCGTTTCCCTAAAGGCCAGAAAGATTCCCCGTCTTTGAGGCTCACCAAGGAACAGTTAACAGAAAAAGTCTCAGGCTTAATGGTTTGCAGCTGGTACAACATTTTGCAGACGATGATCACACATGTCCAGACAGTGCAGACACTTGAAGCCAGACGGCGTAGCTTGGTGTATGGCAGAGCAAAAGCCCAAGAAATCAAAAATACATAGTTGAACACAGACACCTGAAAACATAAAATCAGAAATGGGGACAAAAATACATAACATGGCATAACATCCACAAAACATGGCAATTTGATTTATTCAGTTCAGCTCAGTTCAACAGAAGTTGATTGAGTTCTGAGCATGTGTAAGGCATTGCCCTAGATGCTAAGATATATGTCTTGTATGGCAGACAGATATATAACCAGATGATGTCAATATAACGTAGCAGTAATAAACTATAGATGCAAACAGGCTCCTGTGAGAATACCCAGAAGGGGTCCCTGGCCCCATCTGGAGCTTCAGGAAGCATTTCCTGGAAAGAATGATGCTGAGCTGATCCTTGAGGGGTGCATAAAGTTAGCCAGGCCAAGAAAGTGAGAAGTGCATTTGAGATAAAGTGTGTGTGAGCATAAAGGAGTGTGGTGGCAATAGGTGACCATAAACAACTGGGAGTTCCAGAGTTGAAAGCAGTGAACTGCAGTCTGAGACTGGAGATGTGGCTGAGAGCTACGTTTTTGACAGACCCTTTTAAAACTATGCTGTGGCCCATGAACCCCTTGTGTAGAAAATAGTGAGTCTGAAGGGTTCTACACAGGGAAACCTTAAGGAAAGATTAGCATTTTATTTAGATCCATGTAACTGAAGGACAGAGGTGCATCAATGGGGTTAGACCAGAGGAAAGGAAACCAGTCACATGCACTATTAATAGGCCAGGAGAACAATGACAAGGGTCCAAACTCAGACAGTGGAGCAGAGATAGGGAGACTCATGGATTTGAGATGGGAAGTGAAATCAGCGAGATTTAATGATTGATTGGCTTGGAGGTGGGGTGCTGGTAGGACAGGGAGAAAGTGTAAGGAATGCCTCCCAGTTTTCTGGCTTGATAGAATAACAGTGCCACTACTGAGATAGATCTGAAGTGAGGGGCAGGTGTAAAGAGAAAAGGCAAGGCCCTGGCAGGGTATCTCAGTTGGTTAAAGCATCATCCTGATATGCCAGTGTCTCAGATTTGATCCTAGGTCAGGGGACATACAAGAGTCAACCAATAAATACATAAATAAGTGAAACAACAAATCAGTGTTTCTCTCTCTCTCTCTCTCTCTCTCTCTCTCTCTCTCTCTCTCTCTCCCCTCCCCCACCCCACCTTCCTCACACTCTCTAAAAATCAATAAATATATTTTTAAAAAGAGGGAAGACAATGACTTCAACTTGGTTTAAGACTGTAAGTATTTGTTGATTAGGGAGATATGTACTCATGTCTAACAGTTCTCCATAGCTAATCATTCACTGAATGGTATAGAAGCACTACCATCTTATTCAGCCATGGAAAATGTTTATTTATTCTGGGTACTATTAGAATAATATCTGAATATTATTAAAATAATTTCCTACGAATATTTAATATTACCAGGTAAAAATAACTGCATGCAGCCAATTGACAAGCTTGAACATGTACTACAAGTGTTAAGTTCTATGGGCTATGAGGTATGGTTCCTGTTTGGCTCACAAATCTAGACAGCAAGAAACACGGAGACTCCAGGGCAGTATTAAGTCTGCAATTTGTAACGTACTACTCTACTTAACTACAAGACACTGTCCAGAGCAAGGAACTGCTTAAAATTAAGTGCTGAAATCTTAGGGTAGTAAGAGCTGCCTTACATAGTTAATTGAGGGTGAAAGAAATACTGTATGTAGAAGTGCCCTGTAAATGTAAAGCATTCACCAACAAAATAAATGTTAGCATTTAACAAAATATTTTGACTAGCTAGGTGACTCCTCCTCCTCAGTTATCAGCAAGTGGTATGTTAAAAAGTAAGTCCTAATAAGGATATTATAAAATTAAGTCTCTTTATTTTTTATTATGTATTTAAGGCATTAAGTATAAAAATAGTACAATAAAATTTTAGAGGAAAAAGAGAAGAAAAAATATTATCTTTTATTAAGTCCTAACTAGGTTCAAGGTAACATATCCTATGTGGATCCCTGTCTTCAAGAAACACATGGGGTCATGCAAGCGAGAACTAGATAAACAGCCTATGACAACATGACAGAGGAAGTGCCCTGCTGGGGTGAGCCGAGTTGTGTGGGCACACACGGCTGATCATCTAGCCCAGCATTGGGGAAAATTGCCCAGAGGACCTGAGGTCAATCAGGAGTTAGCCTGGCAGAGGACTCACTAGCCCAAGGCCTTACAGGCAAGAGAAAGCATGAAGTGGACATCTTCAGAGAAGCACATAGTTTACCATGAGAGCAGTGTGATCTGAGTCCATTGTAGAGGACTTTGAAATTTACCAGGCAGATTGGGCGTCTAGGAAAGGAAATGGCGAAGTGGTGTAGGACCAGATCAATGTTATATCATGTTATTAGGAGAATGACAGAGAGCTGTTGAAAGTTTTCAAGTAGAAGATTAACATGATCATGCTGAAAAGATTATTCTGACTGCGTGACAGAATACGTATTAGGATGGAGGATTAGAGCAGAGCTGGAGATCTGTTAGAGCAATTGAAAAAGGGGACCAATATGGATAGAGGCAATTAGCTCCGTGTTGGAGATATTCAGTGAAGGTGCTTCGGGGACAGGCAGAGTGAGGTCATGTTCAGTTGTCATCTGGGGATATGAGAATGGAGTTCAAAGAGGGGGCTGGTTGAAGACACAGATTTACAACTCGTTGCATGTAGATGGCAGGTGAATCATAGGAGCTCACCCACAGAAAGTCTAGAACCAGAAAAGGGGTGTGCAAATAGAACCTGAAGAACCCTAAGAGAGAGGCAGGAAGAGAAGGGCCAAAGCCGTGGGGGGAAGGCTGGGATGTGTGCTGATTTGGAAAGCAAGAGAAGAGACAGTTTCAAGGATGAGAAAATGATCATTAATATCCAGTGTCACAGACAATCAAGTGAAATGAGGACTGAGCAGACTCCGTGAGGTGGGTGTTTTTCTTTTTCTCATTTTACAAAGAGGAAAACTGGGGCTCGGAGAAGTGGAACACTTTGCTCAATGCGAATGTGGTTGACGGTGGTCTCATCACTTCCTTGGTGATAGGGATCTCATGGAATGCACAGTAAAAAAAAGAAAGACAAATAGCTGGACCCCCACTAATACCCAACAAGTCAGAATTCCTAGGAAAGGACTGATAATCCTATAGAATAAATGTCCACGTGATTTTCATTATCAAAGAATTTTGGACAGTAATTTTATTCCATAATGCCTTCCTAACAAAACACTTTTACACAAGTTGCCATTTTATCTGAACATAAACTTATGAAGCTTGAAGCCACTGCCTTGAGAGAGGAGCCTCCAAGAACTGTGGTTCCTGGCCCTGTGCTTACCCACCCCTCCCTCAGAGAACCCGCAACTTCAATGCAACCTTCTGCGTGTGATCTATCTCCCTCCCTGTGTGCCCAGAGCTTCTAGGGGACACCTGTAACCCAATAGTTAATGTGACTGGTTTTATTTACCAGCCATTACCATCAGACTGCAAGCTGAGACCAGAAGTGTTTTTAATGCTTTTATACCAGCATCTAGCACAGTGTAAGTATTCAATGTATTGTAATTTATTATAAGCATATAATAAAGGCTAAATGCATGCTTAGTGAGAGTGAAAGTAATAATCAAAATAATAACAATGAAACATCATCTGACATTTAGGAGGAATATCAAGCTTGCAAAGTTCTTTACTTCCTTCCTTCCGTCAGTAAACATTCATTGAGCTTCTACAATTGGCCAGTCCTTCTGGGACTTACTAAAGATACTAGAAGAAATGTATGGTCCCTTTCCTCAAAGAATAACTTGATCTCCTAGAGCACTCTAGGAGGCTTAGAAATGAAAACACAGTTATGTATAAAAGGGGAAGAGAATGTTACATATTTTTAAATTATGTCATTCCAAAGTGGCATCATTCCTCAGTAAGGAATGTTTATATGAGAAAGGTTTCTATAACAAATTCTTGTTCAGAGTCCTCTCCTCCCTTAGATGCCCATAATGATAACCCTGGAAAGGTTTAGTATTTATGGTAGAATGACCATGAACGTTTGTGAAAACAAGCTCCCTGGCTGATGGCCTTGGCTGAGGATAGTTTGAATCCAAAGAATGTGGTCACACCTCTTAAAGATTTAACAGGGGATGCTGACTTAGTTCTCATTTTGCCATTTACTGATCAGCAATTTTTGAGAAAGGATATATTTTGTATTAATCAAAAGTAATGAGCTACAAATAGCAAGTGTCATTGCTGTCTTGTCTCAAAACATCTATATATATAAAAGGCTAATATGCAAAGTGTCCCCTTGGGAGTTCGACTGCTCACTATGATGTGCACTGACCACCAGGGGGCAGCATGGAACGAAGGAAGGCCCCGTCTGGCGGCCGGCAGCCTGGGCAGGGAGGCCTCAGCTGGCAGCTGGAAGGCCCCGATTGGCCCTGATCACCGGCCAGGCCTAGGACCCTACCTGTGCATGAATTTCATGCACCAGGCCTCTAGTCCAATAATAAATAAGGTGAACTCTACTAATAATTTTATTAAATTTTGGAACCCAAGTTTATTCTTTGGTAACATAAACTATTGTTTATTTCTCAAAGAGAATTTGGGGAGATAGATTTTCTCACTTGTAGTACAGAAAGGCAGCTTGCTCTCACCACTTCAACTAATGAAAGCAAGTCACCTTTGTAATATGACCAAGCCAATTAGGAACTAAGCCAGGAGCCTTTTTTTCCCTTCCTTCAGGACAATTGTCCTTCTCTTTTTTGTAAAATAAAGTGTATGTGCCTATCTTAGGTCTTGATGTTCTAATGTATTGGGAATTACATGTCCAAAAAATAATAGACGGTTGGAAAAGAAAAATAATGCCCCACTGTTTGACCTGACGATGCAACAAATGTTCACTTGCCTCTTTCACAGAGACCCAGATAATGTACGATGAAACAATTTTGATGATGTGCAACTCCAAAATCCACCACATGAACACCTGCAGCTTGTGAAAGTACTCCAGGAACTTGAGGAAGAGCACTGTGAGGCGGTCAATCACCAGATGCCATTTGTTCCTTAAATCTGCAAAACAGGAATTCACCCAAGAACATACAAAAAGTGGACATGTTTGTTTTGTGTGTGTGTTTTTGAGAGGGAGGCATTATTATTTAAAGCATATCTTGTAACGTTCAGTTTGGAATAAGAAAATGCAAAATAAGAGTAGTGGGTAAACTCTAAGACTACCAAAATCTGGTGAAGGGTAGTCTAAGACTCCCACGTGGTGATGATGACTTAGGCAGCATGTCCAGGGACAAGGTTACTTTTATCTCCCTTTTAATTTAATTAATGTGAAGAAGAATCTTGACCTGATTATCTCTTAAAGCTGAACTATGATTCCCTAATTTCCTGGGAATATTAAGTAGCACGAGCTCCATCTAAGTGACATTCTTATTGCCAAAGTCATGCTTCTGTAAGTGCCATGCTCCTCCCAGGGGCTTGACTAGAGAGTGGGGAAAGCTCTCGGTGGCCTGCGGGAGCAGCCAGGCAGCTGGCTGCCCGAGGTGGGAAGAGCCTGCTCCCCTGGCAACAGCAGGTGAACGCTAAGCATCAGCGTGACCCAGCCTCAGTTCACAAAATGTGGTCAGGCTCATTTTAATCATAGCTTCCAATCAAATTAGTCATTTTCTTCTTTCTGGCTTTGCAAATGGAACAGAAACATTTCACTAGAGCGACCACAACACCACTCCCCAATTTTTGTTTTACTCAATGGGTCTAATATGGATCTGTTTGGTGCAAATCTGTGCTTCATTCACTGGTCTGTCTGCCACCATTTCCTAAGCAGCTCCCGGTAGTGAGTGAATTACCTGATGTCTCTTCCTCCTCTTCATCTTCTTCTTCCTCCTCCTCCTCCTCGCCGTCTTTCCCAAGTTCACCCTTCTCCACTTTTTCAGAGCATCCCTCTGGTTTCTCCTCACCAAACTCAGCCCCCTGCTTCCCCTCCAGCTTCTCCGGGCTGGCGGTCAGGTTCAGCATGGCGAGGTCTGGCAGGCTTCCTTCAGGGTGGGCCAGCCTGTTGGCAGAGAGCAGCAGAGTCAGGAGGGGCAAGGAGGCTGGGAGACAGCCGAGTGAGTGAGGGGCGTGTTACAGGAGGAGAAACAAAAATGAACATCAGTGCATTTGCACAGGCCTTGCAAGGTGGGGTGGTTAGCCTCTTGTCACTTTTTTTTTTAAAGCTTTTTCTAAAACCAAACTGTAAACTCACTTAGGTTTTGTTATCTCTTCCAATTCAGGTTGTAGTGATTAGTCAAGTCATGAGAGCTCTCGACACCTAAACTTGACATTTTTCCCAGAGGAGAAAATGGTCAGAGTTTAGGATGTAGAAGCATGAAATGGTGTCATGTAGAACAAGCATTTCATGGCTTCACAGGGGGACTTACGCATTTTGGTGGATTGGTAATTTTTTCTTGATGCTGCTCAAAGTAATTGAAATAGAAAGGAAAAAAAAAAGATGAGAACAGAAGAGTTATAAGGACTATCAGAGATCACACATCATGCTACATATCATCCACTATGTGCGGCTGCGGGAAGTGCTAACGCAAATGCATTCCAGGGTGGCATCAGCAGCGTGCATGTGCTGGGGACCCTGGGCTTGGCAACTGGTTTGAGAGTGGACAGGACTGCAGGTTGTAAGGGAGAGAACATATAAGCTACTGAGGCAAGTCATGTCATGCTTTTTTAGTAACACAGCAAACCATCCCCCAAGAACCAAGTCATTCACATTTTATACAGGTTTTAAAAAGATTCTTAACGAATGTGTGCTTTCAGTCAACCTTTGCATAGACTCATCCCGTTCTGCCATCATTTCAAGCATATGCGGTGGGTGCTAAATGCTTCCAGAAGGGTGTCTGCATGATGTCCCATTCACGGGCACGGATGTGACCTGCTGTACTAGCCTTGAGAGAGGGCAGGGGAGCAGCCTCACTGAGCAGGGACAGCAGCCAGGGCATTGCAGCTGATTTCACAGTGGATAAGAACAAGTATGATCTAAATCTTGATTTTTTAAAACATTCTTTTTATTCATATTCAAATGAATGTTTGAAGGAACACTTGTGGGTAACAGAGTAGGTATTAGGGAAAGGTCTGCCGGAGATCCTGGTGGTCTTCTCCATTTGTCATAATTAATCTATACATATCAGCTTCGTTGTCACAGGATGAACAATTAATAATGTTATCCTACCTGTATAATTGTGGGCTCTGAGTAAATTATTTAACCCTCCACGGATTTAATTTATTTTCTCTAAAATGAGGAAGTTTGGCTAGATAAAAATCTAAGCTTACTTGCAAATGGTTGGTTTTATATTTGAAACACACCAATGATGTTGGATAACTATTGGAATGAATCTACATTGTCCTTCAATTTTCAGAAAGGTTATCATTCAAAAATAATTACTTAAAAATATTTTTATTGGTATTTAGAGAATGAAGAAGGGAGAGGGAGAGAAACATCGATGTGAGAATGAAACATCGATTAGCTGCCCTGACCGGGAATCAAATTGGCAACCCAACCAACTGAGCCACGCCGGCCTGCTTGTTGTCAAGCAGGTAAATTAAATAATGCCAGAAACAAATTATTAATTGCATGAAGAAATAACATTCTAAGGATGTTTCAGCCCTGGTGGAAGAAGTTAAGTGGACATATTTTCTAAAGCTAGTCAATGGACCCTACCATGTTTGGGAAAAGTTGCCCAGTCTTGAAACTGCCATGTCAAATGTTACACACCAGCACTGCACATCACACCGCAGCGAGCACACTGCTGTTCCTGTTTCTCGGCACTCTACAGAGCAAATGGTACTAAATGCAAAAGCAGTCGGGTGCTGCGGTTGCCATTGTCAGTATGTATATGTTCTCTTCAGCATTGCCAGGGGCTTGCATTTTGTAAGTGAGAAGATAAACATTTTTGTCACGACAGGGATTTCTAGCTTTTACTGTGGAAGCATGACCATCTCAGAGTGCATTTCTAATGTCTCCATCGACACTGCCATGGCTTGGTACTGACAAAGAGCTTTCTAATAATTCGTGTTATTTATGGAGTAAAGCACAGAGATGAAGCTGTTTCTGCACCTGCTACTGTGGCTACATAACAAAAGTCCTCAAGCAACAAGGCCCCAGAGTGCCCTTCAACACAGGGTATACTGAGTGGAGTTTATTGAATGAAAGACTCAAAGAAAAATACAGTTTTCTTTCCTGAGTCTCCAGGAAAGAATGTATACCTTCATTTAGCCTTTCCCCCCACAAGCAAATGAAAAAGAAAGGATCCAGATTTTTCAAGCTACACTTAAAATCACACTCTGGGACCAACATTCCCTGAAACGTTTGGCTAAGGAACTTAAAGTACTGGTAATTTTTTTTACTGATTATCACGTGTGAATTACCGAATCATCATATGAAGGGTTTCTATTTCAGGCCTCCAAATAGCCCTCTCCCTCCTACTTCCATCAATCCCACTTTTTTCATGCCTTTTCCCACGGGAGCTCATTTTCCTCTCTGCGTTTTCTTTAACCATGCTTATAACTGTGTTGCCTTGTTTTTATTATGGTTCAGGCTCTGAGCATTAATCCTCTCACTATTTCTTAAATAAAATAAAAGTTCTCTCCCTGGCTGTTCTTTTGCATTCTAACAAAACAGATGATATTTATCTGTTTATTCACCCTCTCTTTCCTTCATGATTACACAGCCCTCTTTCCTTCATGATTACACAGCCCTTTGTGTGTGTTTCTCTATTTATACCAACATCATTTTATTCTAATTATTATTCTGAGGACTCTCTCCTGGAGGGCAGAAATCCAGTCATACTCTACTCATATCCCTTGCAAAATTCAGCATTATGCTTGGCATACACTATGATTCATTGACTGTTTGGTGACCAAATTCTATGCATTGGAGAGGCATTTTTTTGTTGTTGTTGTTAATCCTCACTGGAGGATATTTTCCCCTTGATTTTTAGAGAGGGTAAAAGGGAGAGAAATAGACAGAGAGAAACATCAATGTGAGAGAGACACATCGATTGGTTGCCTCCTGCACATAACCCGACCAGGGCAGGGGAACCTGCAACCAAGGTACATGACCTTGACTAGAATCAAACCCAGAACCCTTCAGTCTATGGGCTGAGCTCTATCCATTGAGTTAAACCGTCTAGGGTGTCTGTGGGCCAAGCTCTATCCACTGGGCCAAACTGGCTAGGGCGAGGCATTCTTATTTGAAACAGCAGAAACAGGTTATGTTACATGAGAATTAAAGAGGCTTAATTCTATACAAGAATTTGATGTTGAAAAGCCACATATTAAGCTAGTTCCCATTAAAGAAAATGGAAATTCTACCTTTGTAAAATCTCCATCTATATTCCATTTACTTATAACTATTTTGATTTGGAATATGTGGTAATGCAAACTGCATTCACCCCATTCATTAGACTACTAGAAAGAAGATTTCTTGTAAACCTATAGTGTTCATAAGTAACATTTAAAGTAGAATTTTATAGTGTTTAAGATTATTTTCTAGAAACTATAAGCACTTTTTGAAGACTGCATTCATAGAGGAGCAAATGACTTGTAAATTTAATATCACATCTTAAACATGTGTGGTACTAATTCCTCCAAACTAATCCACTAGGCAGGATGGGGAGTAAATGGCTTCCATTTCTGTATCTGTGGGAGAAATACCCATTGCTCCCTCTAAAGTATTCTAATACATACTGATTACCAATTCAGTTGGATCTTCCCCACAATTCTTCATATCATTGAAATGTCATCAGTCACCTATTCTCCTCAACACTTTGCCTTGCCTCCTACCTTATAAGGTAATGTCTACATTTTAATCAACCCAGAAGTTGATTGAATACAGCTAATCCACTTTCATTGGGGACTTAAAAGCACAACAGTGAGCATAAATAAATTATGGGAAAAATAAAGTTTCTTTACTTAATAAAAGCATTCACCTTATCATTCTAATCAAAAGTAGGTTTTCTTCAAAACTGAACACACATACTGCCTTTCAGAAGCATATGTTCCTAATATATGGAGACGGAAGATGATTTGGCTTTGGGTAGTGGGCACACAGTGCAGTATACAGATCTTGTAACATAGAAATCTACAGCTGAAACCTATCTGATCCTATTAACCAATGTCGCCCCAATAAATTTAATTTTAGAAAAACCCTCAAGAAGCACATGTTATCAAGTGAGAGACGAGTTTGTTTGGTAATGTTTCTTTCTGGGCATAGCTCTGGCCTTTATTAACATGCTAATACTCAGACAACAGTGAAAGATTCCACTAGGAAGAGGATAGTGCCAATGTTGGAATACTTGGAGTTTTTAATCATTTTGAATCTTGATCATTCTGGGACTCCTGAGTGAATTCAGGGGCCTGGTGACTTGGGGTAACAAGCATAAGTTTCTCTCAAGAGATAAGTCTCGGGCAATCAGGACCAAAACTTGCATCAGGCTCTGCCTACCTGGCCCATAAACCAATTCCTGTCCTCTTTGGTGTCCCTGCCATCTCCTCATAAAGCAAGTGGTAAACGCTTTATGAGAATCACAAAGAGAGAAAGAGATAATAGTCCCTCATGTTTTGAGCGATGAGATTTGAATACTTGGTCAAGATTTCTAGCTAGAGTCTGCATTTTACTTCTGTACCTATCAGCTAAAAATTGGAGGTTCACTTTGCTCTCTCAGGTTGTCAACAAACTGGCTTCTGAAAGCAACCAGCCAGTCCTCATTCCTCCTTCTTTCACAATCTGCACAAGGATGCACTAATTTTTTGCACTTCCTTTTAGAAGTTCTACCCCCTAAGGTTTGCTATTTGGTTGTCAGCCTTGGGATTTTACCTAAGAGAAAAGTGAATAGAATAAAAAAAAAAAAAAAAAAACTCTTTCAAAGAGGCATGTTAATTGGATTTATTGCAAGATAAGTGTTTCTATTACTTAAATTATTGGTTTTATTACTAATGACATGAAGTTTCGGGAGTGGATATTTTAATTGACCTAGTTAATAAAATAAGAATAGTTTTAGCAAATGAGATGCCAAAGGATCTTTACTCTGAACTGTTGGAGCACTTGAGGACAAATATATACACAATACTATCAATGCCACTCTTTGTGGTCACTTGCATTTTTTTTATCTCCCCAGCTAGGTGACATGCATCTAAGATAGGGTTGTGTCTCAGTGTCTGTCTTTGTGCCTTTTGTGTTATGTAAATATATTGTGAAATCTGGTGATGTAAAATATCATTCTTCAATATGTAGAGCTATATTTGAAAAAAATCGATGTTTTAATTTTCTTTTCACCATGCACTATTGTGACTACTTTCACTTCATTTAGTAAATATCTACTGAGGGTCAACTAATGGGTAAGGCCCCAAGGTAGGTGATATGTGGATACCTTGGTGATTTATACAGGGTCTTCAGGCCTGAGGAACTGACACCTCTGACCAGGGAGATAAGACAAGCAGGCAGCTAGAGGGCTGGGAGGCAAGTGTTGGGAGGCAGCGATCAGAAAGGACCATGGGAATTCAGAGGAAGGACAGTTACTTTTAGCAGGAAAGCTGGCGCTTATGGGCAAGTCTGTGGAGGAGGTGGTTCTTGAGCTGAGCTCTCAATTATGTGTTGAAGAGAAAGATGAGCTCCCAGGCCAGCCTTGAGCTAATTCTACCAAAGAAATTTGAACAAAGACCAAAGGCTGAGTGAGCACCAGCTGAAGACCCTCGTCAACCTCCTCCGAATCCACTTGGCAGCACCATTTGGAATAAACACCAAATGGTTTGATTTGCAAAATACATCCATGAGCATACCTGAAGACCATTGTCCACTATCTGATGACATAACTTTTCAGTTACAAAACAGTTAGGTGTTTAACATACCAAGAGACCCTTCTTAACAAAAACAAGAGAGAAAACATCGAAGTACCCACCTATTTATTATTAGATACACACGCCCATTGACTTTGGCATGGCTACGAGGTGAGAGGTGGAAGCACAAGGTTGCATGCGGTGGCAATAGAGAGACAGGGTGGAGAGAGAAAGGAGATTGTTAGACAGAGGCGAATAAAGCAGATTGTGTTTTGTAAGCATTCCATCATCAGGTATGTCATCAACAAACATTTCAGGCACCCAAAAACAGATAGCAACATCCCATAGCAACATGAAATTAGACATGTTCAGGAAAAATATAACAAGTCTCTCCATTCTTCTCATCCCTTCCCATCTTACATACCTTATTAAAAATTTGTAATGTTTACATTTGCAGAGTATCCCTATCAAATAAAATACAATCTCAAGGATTAATTCTTACTCCTTTTCCAGAATTAAAAAAAAAAATACAATCCTACTAGATAACCATATTCACCATATTGTTCTCTAAGGTTTTTCTAAAAGAGAAGCTTAAAAAAAGTCATTTTATTTCTATATGCATCACAATACCTTCAAATTTAAGACAAATTGCAGTGGTGGATATTTAAATAAGTAATGAATATTTAGTACATTATTATTAAGTATATATTATATCAGAATTATAACTGTGGTATGATATTATATATTTTTACCAATATATGAGCGAAATGATAGTCCTGAGAATACCAACTTAGAAATAATAATGTTCTCTTATGTATTTCATAAAACTTTTTCATAATGCTGACTTTACAAATTTGGTACAGCTAAGCACAATAAATTTTGCTCCAGACATGTGACATTTCCCAACACTACCTATGTGTACAATGCACATAGCACACACACGCAATGGACAAAATAGGACAAGGACAGTTGGATATTTACAGAAACAATAGTGCTTGCACCAATTTAAGGAACACAACAATTTGATTATTCCCAATTTGTGGGCCCTCTTTATTAAAGCATCTATGAAGGAGGTGGGAGAGAGAAAGCAAAGCATGATAGTTAATCCAAGCTCTGAAAATATTTTTTTCTTTTTTTAAAATATATATTTATTGATTTCAAAGAGAAAGGGAGAGGGAAAGAGAGACAGAAACATCAATGATGAGAGAGAATCACAGATTGGCTGCCTACTGCATGCCCCACACTGGGGATCAAGCCCGCAATCCAGGGATGCGCCCTTGATTGGAACTGAACCAGGGACCCTTCAGTCTGCAGGCCCGATGCTCTATCCACTGAGCCAAACCAGCTAGGGTGTGAAAATGTTTCTTCTTCTTCATCATTTCAAATTTAATGTAGTCAATGATTAGGACTCCAGAGATAATAATAATAATAATAATAATAATAATGTGAGGTGCACATTATAAGTAAGAAAAATACTACAATGGGAAAGAATTGCTAAAAAGATGGGGTATAGAGCATATGTTTGAAGTTAAAATTTGGGAGCTTTTATATTAAACTCTTATATGAAGTCCAAAAATACTAAACTGGAGTGAGTCCTTCAAATTCTTTAAGGTTCCAGAAGGCTTTTTCCCCCAACACAAAACTAAAAATAAAATTCCATGTACCTAAGCTCTTCAGATAGCTGCTATTATTACTCTCCCCTTACCCTTTAGATTTTAGTGGAAAGTAACTGTTAAGGGTGTGCTTAGTGATAAAGCAAAGCTGTGAGGAAGGCAAGCAGTGACCTCACACTGCTCAGATCATTGCAACCTTTCTTCTCTTGCTATGGTGTAGAGAGTAAGGGCTGTAAATGGAGCAGCCGAGGACACATGGGAAATGCATCTTGACATGAGGCTGTAGTCCCTCCCCAGAAACTACAGGATTGAGTAATATTATATATACTCAAGGGAATTCAGTTTTCACATACCCTCTATTTCAAAAGTTGTGATTCCTTAGGCTGGTAAAATCTTTTCTGAGATGTATTGTCTTCTATAAAACTATGGTCCTAAAATTCTCTGTTGTTTTGTTTTTGTTTTTTAATTGTGACTTAATCTCTATTTGGCTGTGTGAAAGAGGACTGAGACATGACAATGAAAAATAATGGTGGCCTGGGCTCTCACTAACTGTAGTAGGAGGGACATATGCAGCCAAATTAAAAAAAAAAAAATAATAATGGCAAGAAAAGGCTCCTACATACATAGAAAAGAAAGATGCAAGGGGAAAAGGGCATCTAGAAGAAAAAAATTAAAAAGCATTCATTAGCAATTAGTAATAGTTATATTTGTTTTACAAACATTTCAAATCTCTGCTGACTAAAATATTTTTCTTGATTAATGAATATGACTTTTTGAAAAAATGATGAGGGTTTGTAATTGAATAAACTATGTTACATTGTCAGAGTTAAATATCAAACGCTAGTTTGACCCATATGTATCACAAGCAATGTCAAAAGAATAATTAAATAATATTTTTTCTAATTATTAAAAATTCAGTTGTCTATGTAGGCATTGCTTTTATAAATTTTTAATCTTAGTGTTATTTTTCCTGCCAACAAGTTTGCCTACAAATAATCTCTCCTAGGGACCCCCAAACTTCTGTTTTTCTTATATATAGATTTTTAATTCATACTTCAATTAATGTTGATATACAATATTATATTAGTTTCAGGTGCACAACAGTGATTAGACGTTTATATACCTTCCAAAGTGATCACCCTGATAAGTCTAATAACTACTTTATGTTTCTGAATGTTTGATTCTCATTGAAGGCAGCAACTTACCCCGTCCACACCCTTCTCCTCTTGGGGCACTAGGAGGACACAGGTTTTCATTGAGCTTGATTATTTATGGTGGTAAAAGGATAAGAAATAATGACTGGCTGACACACTGACAGTCATCTGGAGTATGCTCAGAATGAAAACTAAATGTAAGCTCAGGTTCAACAAAACACAAGGAAAATACATCTGCTGGTCATCAGTAAAGAGAAAACAATTATAAAATGTTTTCATCATCAAGTAAAAGTGTTTTTGAGTTATCCATAATTCCAGCTCCTATTAGAGCAGAAAATTGAAAGCTTGGTATTTCATAAACTGTGACTGATGAAATATTACTTCATTTTCTTTTGATGTACTCATTTTTTCCCTTGAAAAGAGTTAGGGGAATTTTCAACTGTGGCATCTACACTCCTTAATACAGCCCTTGGCTTTCTTAGTTACTGAACAAGCGTTTTTCCAAAAACTGAATCATAGACTAACTATGAGGCAGAGAAGAAAATCAGTATTGACATTCATAGGAGAATGATGCCAATTTTCCTGTGATACAACAGATTGGGGAATTTGCGATAACCCATTGGGGTTGCAGCACACATGGGCGGGGAGAGCAATATCCCCTCTGTTACTTGTAATCACTTTATATTTATTGTTGCAAAGATAACAACAGAATGCTGATAAAAGATGTTGTCTTCACTTTTTCTTCTTAAATGTTATTCTAGTTACAAATAGGGAACAATCAAATTACTGTGTTCCTTAAATTGGTGCAAGCACTATTGTGGATGGTAGATTCTATCCTGTTAGCGAAGGTTCATTTCCAAAACAGAAGGGAAAATTCTGCCCCATCATCTTTTGGAAAGCTCTCGCTCACAATGACTTCCTTAGTGGTTTTCAGCACAATAGAAAAATCCTTTGAATTAGCTAGACACAAAATATACATCACCAACTCTAAACTATTTTAGTCTACACAGCTACTCTGAATCTACTCAATAACTACCAAGGTCACTTTATATTAATGTCATAAATCATTACCAATTGTTTCAAAAAGTGTCATCAAATATCCCACATTTTTTTCTTTTTTTTCTCACTTACAGGTTGATACTCATGGAAAGTTCGAGGTTGAAACTCTAAATTAGATTATTGGTTTCTTGCAAGGTGGCCAAGGGAGGAGGGAAATTCGGGCTGCCTTCCTAAGAAGTGTGTGTTTCTTGCGCTCACTCACCTGTAGATGGGGCTGTCTTCCTTGCTGGGAATGGAATTTAGGTCTGTGAGTTCCAGGAACCGGTCATGGAAATAGTGAAGGTGTAAAATGCACACCAGCAGAAAGGAGGTTGGGATGAATATGCGAGTGAATAGTTCAGCCATGCTGAACTGCTTTAAGCCGAGATCCTCAAGCCTGCGAGGGGTGGGGGGTTGGGGGGAGAGAAACAAGACCCTTTCTTAGGCAATGAAGCCACAGTCTTTTTACTGTAAATGACACCTTCGTCAGGTGTCCAGCAGTCCAATTTACCAGCTTTCACAGTGGACAATAACAACCTTGATATTGCCAAATTCAGTGGCTGCTTCTCTGTCTTTGTTTAATTTTGCCTCTATTCCTTCTTGCAACAACCCTGGTCTTCATGCCCCCACACTGTCCTGGTTTCCCTCTTCTGTCACCACCTCCTGCTTTTCCATTGAACCTCCAGATGCTGAAATACCCCAGGGCTCAGTATTGAGTCCTTCTGGAGCTTAGTTTCCCTAGAAAATATAATCTCCTCCTGGGGATTTAAATACCATCTTTACATCAATGACTCAGATGTGCATTTAAAACGCAGGCTTTTCCTCTGGACTCTCACTCTCATACCAAAATGTCTACTGAAAGTTGGTTGTTTCATAGGTATTTCAAACTTTGTGTTTTGAAAACAGTATTCTTAATTTCCCTATTTTCCTCAGCCAAGCTGTTCTCTACCTCTTTCACCACTCGAGTCCCCTCTGGTAAAATAGTCTAACTTGTGCCAAATTCCAAAGTCAGGAAGTCTTCCTTGATTCTTTCTTTTCTTAAATCTCATTCATCCACTTTGCCGTCACGGCCTGCCTGAACATCTCCTGAATCTGCACTTCTGCTGTCTATCTCTACCGCCACCGATTCTGGGTGAAGCCACCATCGTGTCTCACAGGCTCACTGCTATTGCTCACTGAGCAGTCTTCTTGTTTTTCTACTCGTGCCTCCTGACACATCACTTTTTCTCAGTTAGGCGCTTTACAGACTTTTTAAAATTGCACCAAGAATGAAATACCAACCAGTCTTACCAAGAAGTCATGTTCGTCCTAGGTGCCTGGCTGACCTCTCCCACCTCTTCTCCTCTTCTCCTTCCGCTCTCCACCCCCTTGCTCCTGGCGGAGAGCCTTCCTTCAGTTCCTCATATGTGCCAATTTCTGTCCAGCCTTTTGCATTTGCTGTTCTCTTTGCCTGGGATGCTCTTGAGCATCTCAGATCTCAATCACACATTTTTTTTCTCAAGACAACCTCCTTCTTATATTTCAGGTGGGACTTAAAGTGACACCTCCTCAGTGCAGCCTGCCCTGACCACTTCATTTATGTTTGGAATCCCTCATTGTTCACTACCTCAGCCTGTTTTTGTTTCCTTCACAGACTTGTCACAATTTATAATTAATTTATACAGTAAGTCTCTCTTTGGTTTGTCTCCTCTACTAGAATATAAACTGCAAAGGGCTTAGATTCTGTCTGTCTTGCTTCCTGTTGTATTCCCAGGCACAGGACAGTGTCTGGCACATGGAGGGCATTCAATAAATATTTGTTGAATACATATTAAATAGGTGTTAGTCTAGCTGCTTGGTGATCCTTTTCATCTCTTCTCTTAGCCACCAAAAGTATATTTACGCTATGCCCAATTCCGGTTGGATTTCTAAACTAATTTCAGTTATTTAAAGAAGCAAACTAGAAAAGGATAGAGTACCATCTATTACACGCACAAGGAAAATCATTTCATAACCACTAGTCTATAAGCACTTAAATAATTTTTCCCTGTGTCATCGACTGCTCTTTATAATCACGGCACAAGCTACACGAGTGAGGAGAGGCTGCTGCTTTGTATGGTGAGTCCATGAGCTACTGAGGAACTGAAGAGCTGAGCTTCCATTTGGAAACCAGAAAACATGACGGGTTAAGTACTAAACAGGTGTGTTTCACATAAAACTGACTTTAGAAAATGCAATTTCATTAAAATAGAGCTGAAAATTCACTTTCGGTCAATTCACTTTTCAGTCAATATTCATAGAGTCCTTTTTATGTGCCAAGATCAGGATTAGATGGAGAGAACAAAAATGAATAAGACACAAATCCTGTTCTGAAGAAACTTATAGACATTAACTACACCAGGTTTTACTAAAATCCTCCATAAAAGTGTTTTGAACAATATGCATTCAAGTCTTAATCCTGCTTGTCACTTTTACATTCCTTCATACACCAAAATTGCTTACTTTTCTTTTTTCAATCCAGTCATATTTTGCCACAGGCCTGGGAAGTTTTCAAACTGATATGTGTATATAAAGATAAGCACCAGCATAGTGTAAATAACCACAGACATCCAAAAATATTTTAGAATTCTTCTCCACCATTCATAGTGCACCTGTGAATCAGTCATTGAAAAACAAACAAAACACTGGTTATAGAAAAACTCACAAAAAATGTCCAGTTTATTCAACTAAGACAGATGATGATATTTACAAATACTTGAAAATAAAGTCTAAGTTCTGTTCCTCATGGAATTGAATGGATCTGGATTGGAATCTCGGTAGCACCCCAAGTTAACTATGTCTTCAGGCAAGTGGCTGGGCCATGCTAAGCTTCTGATTCCTCCTCCCTAAGTAACCACTCTGAGAGTTAAGAGGATAAAATAATGTTTGTAAGGCTCTTAGCACAAGCTATGGTCTATAGGACACTCAAGGAACAGTATAGTAGATGCTGCCATCATTTTGTTTACAGCTTGGAGAAAACTGCCTCAGTTTTGAAATCAAAGTGGTAGTATATGATTAAGAATGTGAAACCACCATGGAGAGAAGACATTGTTCTTTACTACAAGCCATGGATGTTCATTAGAGAGCACCTCCCTGAATTTTTAAGAGTATTTCAAAACTTGATTTATTTCAGTTGATATATTTTTATCTCCACATGTAATATGCTCTTGTTTATTACAGTTGCTTCATGTGTTTTATTGGCTGCATGCAAGAACATTTTACTGTTGTACTTGTTTCTATCATTGAATTAAAACTTTTATCATCAGTTAAAACTGAATTTGTAGAGAGACTAATTAAGTATAATACAATATTCTAAAACTTCTAATTAATAAAATGCTGAAGCAGTTGACACATTACAATAGAGGTATATACACACACCCAGTTTTCTGATTCCAGACTCTAGAACACAAGTGAACTTAGTATCATTCAGTATTTTAGATTATTCAGTCATTGTTCTTAAATTGCTATTAAAATTAACCTAATTTTATAGGCTCCTTTTTTAATCAAACATTTTTGAAAAGCTCATGAACTATTTTTAATTGCTTTTTAAGAACCTAAAATTTTAAAATTATGAACAAACTGAAGTCACTTCCCATTTTAGAGTTCTTAATATGTAATGTTTGAATTGCATATCACTTAAATGATATTTGTTCACGGGATTATTATAGTAACTTAGAATGCCATCATAGGAAGAGCACATATATTCCTGGGATGGGTGTGAGAATTAAAAACTAGAGGACAATTGATGACCCACCTGATACAAGGCCACACAGAACAGAAACAGCACCATGTAGATGATTTTGTACATCACAATTTTACCCTCGAAGCTGACAAAGAAGAACATTCCTCCACAGACGTAGATCCAGTACTTAATGAACATGGCCTCCACCAAATTGCCAAGGACCTTCATGATGTCCTGGTCGTCATCTTCTTCCACCTCCTCCTCCTCTTCTTTCTTACTCTCTTGCTTCTCTTCCATTTCTTCCTCTTCTTCCCCCTTCTCTTCAGCCTCTCCTTCCACTTGTGTATCTTGTTCGTCATCTTCAAAATAAAAGACTGTGCCGTTACACCGAGCTGGTTCCCTGACCAAAACCACACTTGTAACAGGTGTCAGATGTGGGACATGGAAGCATGTATTTTATGTGTTACTATGTGATTTGAATGGTTTTAGACTGTTCTAGTAAACAAGGAAGCATTTATAACTAATCATAGTCAAATTTTATAACCTTTCTATGGTATATTTTAAAAGAAATAAATTTGGTAATATTTTATACTAATCTTTTAGAATACCTATTTCATTTGCAATATCCATGATAGCTTTAAGTACAACAGGTTCTAGAAAAATAAATAGGCAACAATAACACAAATTAAAACTACTATTTCAATTTTGAATTCTGATTGTTTGGTGGCTTTTACAATATTACCTTAGATAAATCATTTAACTTCTTTTAGCCCCTTCTTCCTTCTTCCCTTAAGTGGGAATCACTTTTGTGAGGATCAAATGATACAATATTTTCAAAAACTCCTGTGAATCTCATGTGTAAATTAAATCTCACGTCGTTCAATACTGCTATTTATCACTCCAAGTGAATGTTCACCTTCCACCTAGTCTGAAGCATAGGGGCTCTTTCTCTGTAATTCTGCTGAGCACAAAAATCTCCAGTCACACACGGTACACACTAATTTACCTTTTTCTTCAATTTCCTGAGTTTCAATTTTGACCTCAGATAAAAGAGCTTCCTTTTCTTGAAGAGCTTTTTGCTCGGTGAGGTGTTGCCTCAGCAGTAGCCAAAAAGTAATGGTGAAAAGTATCTGAAAATAGAGAATTAGCAAAACAAGAATTAAGCCACCATTCTGTGTGTAAATACATTTCAACAAATGCAACATGCTCTCCACATTTCAGTGGGAGCTTGCTCCATTAACCTTTCTATTCGAGACAGTGTCAAGCACCTGCTTGATTTCCGTTGGGAAGGTGAGTTAAAAGCCAGGTTTTGAAGGTGGTAGTTGATGTAGTTTGGTGGAGCCAGAAATGAGACACTGTAGGAGCTGAAAAATGTGGCAAAATAGCTGTGTCTGCCTCCATCGGAGGTGTTCAGACCTTTGAAGACCCAGGCCATATTCTTTCTTTCTCTTAATTTCTGTCACAGTGACCCATCTGGTATCTGTTAACAGTGTGTGTTTAATAATGTGCTTTGACCAATGTCACCACGATAGATATTTTATGATCTTGGAGTTGTATTATTACCTATAACAAAGTCTTGCTGCCTTTTTTTTAAAACTCCTGGGTACATTAAAATATAAGTACAGACCTTAGTTTCCCCAGAATAACATTTTTATAAGTAAAAAAATTTATTGCCCCCCAAATGTCCCTCTCCCCCAAAGAACTGTTAATTCTAAATTAGACAGGAGGTAATCCAACTAGTTAGATGACATGCAATTTTAGAAGTCTCATCAATATTAAAGTTTGGGAGTGAAGGTGAGAGTAGGGTAGGTATGGATGCTTTATATGAATGAATTAATAAACAAATAAATGAATGAATAAAGTTGTCATGATCTATGAACACAGAGGATTATGATCCAATTCACCTATTAGGATTAGCATTCACCTGTTAGGTTTTTTTTCCTTTACCTCCAATAGCCTTCACCAAAAAATCTGTTATAAGAACCAATCCTCTGTATGGTCTACTCAACACCCCATTTGCTTCTATGATATGCCTTGTAACATATAAAAAAGGTGAATTTCATGTGATGTAAATGAATGTCTCTATCAGAGAGCAATTCTCTGCCTAAAGAAGGGTTTCAAGGCTCATTCTAATTACACATGATTGCTTTTACTGTCTTAACACAAAGTCACCAACACAAAGGGGATGTATGTTTAGAATATGCTACTCTGTTCACCAAACAAGAGAATTGTGGCACCTAATCTTCAAATAGGCCATAAAAATAAATGGATAGTAAGAGATTATGAACTTTCTAACTACAGATGAAGGATTATTATATGTAATCAGTAAAGAAAGAAAAGCATATCATATTTAATTTTTGCTACTAAAAATCTTTTTAAGGACATAATTAGAGAAAAATATTTTAACTAATAATCAATGATTATATGTAACAGCAATGCGTTCAGCCTGTTTTGTAAATCAATTGTCAAAGTCCTCTAATCCTTCTATATGTTTTACATTTTATTTTACTGGTTCCCCATCTCATTTCTACTATACAAGCAATTTTCAATCTTTTTAATCTTTAATACACATAAAGTAATTACTAAAGTTCTGAGGCACACCAAAAATATATGTTTTTGCCAATCTAACAAAAAAATAGGGATATTTTTGATTCATTCATACCGGATGGCTTATTATTGTGTTGGTTGTTGTTGTTTTTTATTATTATTATTCGACAATCTAAAAAAAGAGGTCAGTGCCCCTGCAATAGTCAGGTATTGCCTGTTTTAAAAAATTTTGCAGTACAGAAGTGTCCCAGTTGCAGCACACCCATTGAAAATCACTGTACTAAAGTATAATTTATACTAAAAATAACTTGGACTATATTTGTTCTTTGAGTGGAAAGCATCGGCACTTTTAAATAAGATCTAAAAGCATGGTGTAATACTTGTTTTGTTTGTGTTTGAATTATTATAGTTTCATGTCTATTCATTTTTGTAAAGCAGTGCATATTCGGAGCCGATTTTTGTAAGTTTTTGTTTAGATATGATTATTATGCTTATTGTGGTTATAATGTTTTATGTTCTTGGTTTCTTAGTCACTTACCTTTGAGGCAAGTTCTCCTGGCTCTTTCTTTTCTAAAAATCCTGGGACCTTTTTAATTTCTGGAAGTTCAAAACTCCATATGTACTGTAATACCAGCAATAGATTTGCATAGACAACCATAAAAGGAGAACTGATCATGGCATATTTTCTTCTGTTGCGGATCATCCAGAGAGTGCATGACCAAATCAGCAGCACGAAAGTCAGCCAGCTATGGTAGGTGATGCTCCAAGCCTTGATGGAGGAAGGGGGAGGAAAGCAGTGGTCAATACAGCGTAGAGTCATCTACTCTGGTAAGTTAAAAGTCATCTATAAAGAGGAAGTCAGTAACATTCAAACGGGGAGAGGAGAGAGTTGTGCTGAAAGCATGGAGATCCCAACCTGTGGCACAGAGAGGGAAGAGAAGAGAAAGACTGATTCCCCTGAGAAGAACATTGCTTTTGAAATGCCTATAGGGAATAGGTTTAAAGACAAGGGGGTCTTCATTCCAGGTTCTTTTCAATCTAGCCCCAAAGGTCTTCATCTTCACCCTGCTTTGCAGTATTAAAAGCAACTATAAGTGCTTTCTCCCCTCTTTTACCAAACTACCTTGGAGTTAGCAGTTATTTAAGGGTGCTGAGTGCGGCCCAGAGCTGGGCTCAGGAATGGCAGCTGTGGGAATCTCCAGGGTAAGCATACTTGTTGCGCTTCACAGGTCACTCTCGGATGACCCAAGAAAATGCAATGGTAGGAATTAGAAAATGCGCATGAGGAAGTTGTATGTTGGGTCTCTGCACACCCTAGACAAAAAGCCACGTTCATTAAAGACCAGCCTCAGCTTCTGTCCTGGAAGGAGCAGGACTAAAGAGCCCTCACACCATTTGTGCAAATGATACATCTTCTTCCATTCACACTAAACTATCAAAGAATCAGAAATGTATCTCAGAGGGCAGCTACCAGAACAATGAGTAAATCAGTCTCAAGAATATTATTAACTTCAGGAATTCTATCATGTTTTACCATAATCTCTGATACAAAAAAATTTATAGATATGTTTGGTGCTAATTGTAATCGATCGTATTCCTGAATATCACTAATTATCAAGAGTTAGTTACACAGTCTAAAGTGTTTTACAAGTCTGTTTTGTTTCTGGAAAGTAGGGAAGTATTAAGATAAAGGAAGTCAGCATGGACCCAACAAATACTTCCTCTCAGCAATCTGCAAATTTGTCCTAAAGCACAGCTAGTTTTTTAGGTGGCAAATTATCTTAAATTGTTGGTTAAAACATATAGGTATAAACTGAAAATTAAAATTCCTTTTATCAAAATTAAGTTAGTGACTGACAACTATGATAAGTCTGAAGTATTTTCATAAAAATTTATTTCTTGGAAGTAGTGTTTTATCAAAATTCAGGTAACATTTAACGAATCTGCATTAAATGCTGTATTTAATGCATTTATCCCAGTATGAGATGCAGAGGTGACTACCATTTTTGTGTGTGTGACCCAGGAAAGTAAACTTCACAGATATCATAATCCCAGCAGATTTCCCCCCTGCACACTGTTCTTGTTTGGAAGGTGAGAGTGAGCAAGGGAGAAAAACAAGTGATGCGGATTTTTTAAAACTTCTTTCCTCTTAAAGCCAAAGTGTCCTATGCCTCTCAGTTGTGATGTTGGGAAGCAGACTCCAGTGTGTTGCTTCCTACGTTCAGTGTCTGGGTTTCCTGAGAGGTTAGTGTATCCACACTTAGTATTCTTGAATAAGTACACATATTGTTCTAACAGAGTCAGCTCCTCGGGACTTCTCTTTCTGTCTGTGATTAAAAGCCTGGGCAGCAGGGAGCTTCCATGGAAGGCAGGCATTTTTAAAACATTAATACTGTGGCTCCACTAACACCACAGAAATGGCAACAGATAAGGGCACGTCCCTAATGAAGGATCTGCTCTCTTATGTTGTTTTTAGAATAGATTTTTTTTTCACCTACAAAATGTGTATTCAAAAAAATGTTAAAGCCCTATTTCTTTACAAACAGTGACCAAAGTTAGCTGGCTTATTTTTAGAAAGAGAGGGGGGAAGTGTATGCTCTTTTGAGTTAAGAATTAGATTTGTAAGTTGCAATTATATGTTTGATATTTTAAAATCAATATTTTGCTGTAGAGATTGATCTGTAGAAAATATCAAAAAGGACCCAAAGAGGACAGAATTCATATTATTTAGAGAACAGAATTTGCAAGCTCAAAAAGAGCCACCTTTAGTTTTGTGGAGCTTTCTGTTTTCCATCCCTCTCTCAGCTATCCCAGTGGAAACACTGATGGAGGAAACAGTGTCTAGGTATTTCCCCCCCTAGCTTTATAGAATATTTTCATTTTTATCATCAAAGATATTCAAGAGATCTCTCACCATTAACCACATACTTTGGAAGAGTTTTGTGTTAAATAAGTGTTAGGTCTCTCAAAAATAAATTCGATTTCCCATGAGTTTGTTTTTAGGAAGTATGGAAATGAGGCTGTCATCTAGAGGCCAGAAGACTGTTTCTGATGCTGTGCAACGAGAGATGAAGGAGGCACCTAGAGGTGAGTAGAAACATGCCTGTACTGAGCGCTCAGAATGGCAAAAGCCCTTGGGAACTCTGGTTGCTTGAGATTCATATTGGTAAAAGTGTATTGCAGCTGAAATACCAAAGGGTCTCACTCAAATCTAAGACAAGATGTGAAGGCAATTCTTACTATCGGGAAGAAATAAAAGCAATCTATGGTAATCTTGAACACCTTCAATATCACTCGGAAAAACTACACAAAACGTCCTTTTAAATTAGCAAAATAGGGACTGTCTGACTTGCTAGGCTAATTTGGGAGAAATGTATTAATATTTAAAAGGAGGCTGAGCGGAAGAGGATATGATTTTGAAATCCATAATATAAAAATCCCATGAAAAATTAATATAACCAAACATTCTCCGCCAAAACAGTGGGGAGAGTAAGACCTTCCTGCCGTTCCTGAGAGGACAGCGAGGCTGCCAGCCAGCGGGCCATGCGCACATTTCCCAGCACCCGTGCTGTGGCCTCGCGTACATACCATCATGGCAATGAGGGCACAGATGTAACTTTGTTTCATAATAAACTGGAACACAGAGACCATGGCGTGAACTTTCACGCTTGTTTTTTCTTCATGGCTCCTTTCCTCTTCAAATTCTTCTTTCTCATCCTCGTCTTCCTCTTTCTTTTCTAGAGAGATAAATACTTTATGTAACTAGTTATGCAAATACAGTATAAGAATTTTGTATAAATGTCCCAAGCAATGCTGCTCATGTATGTTTTTAGCATGGTTTGTCATTTAAGACTTCAGAGATTATTTCCAATTCACAAGGTCCTTAGAATTCAAACAGAATCATTAAGTTTTGCTTGGTGAGTGTAATGGGACCCTGCACTCAGAAATTACAGGAAGAAAATTTTGATTTAAGAGAGTGTGGAGGGAAGCTTCTAAGACGCTCGCCAATGACCCCCTACCTCCTAGTGTTCCTGTCTTGTGTAACCCTCTCTCTTGACTGTGGGTGGGACCTTTGATGGGCTTCTAAAGAACAGAATACTGAGAGAAATCAGCTGTCATGTTGTACGCTGCCAATGGAGGGCCCCAGGTGGCAAGGGCTTGATGCCTCTGGTCAGCAGTCAGCAAAGGCATAAGGCCAGCCAGTAGCCAGGTGAGGGGTCATGGAAGCAGACTGTCCCCAGGCAAGCCCTCAGATGGGACCGCAGGCTTGGCCAGCAGCTGGACTTCAGCATCATGAAGTCCTGAGCCAGAGAATATCCACCTAATCACAGACAATTCCTTACCCACGAAAACAGGGTGACATAAATGCTGTTTTAAACCACTAAGTGTGTTCCTCAGTGATGAATAACTAATACAAAGAGTATGTGGAGTATGGATACAGGAAAAGTGTAGAAAACCCACCAACCAACCACTTTGCCAGAGTGCATGTGATGGTCCATAGTTTCCTTTTGGGACATGCTGAGGCGGGTAAGTCATACTGAGGATGGAAAGATCAGGCCAAAGCAAGAGAGAGAAAGTGTAAAGGGCTGAGCTGAAGAGACCAGCAACAGGAAAGTACTGCCATGGGCGTGAAGGATTTCTCTGCAAGATCTTCCTACAGATGTCAGGGAAGCTATTTTGATTCCACAGATGAAATAATGAGTGACACACTTAAGTAAAATGTCCTTTTTGTATTTCTTAAATTAAATTAAATAAGCTACATCCCATTTAGGGAGTTACTGAGCACCATGAAAAGGGAGCATAAATCACCGAAAAACCAGTGGCCAAGAAGGCTTAGCAGTGAGCCTCTAAGGGCGGCTGGGCTATTTCTTCCCGCAGAAGCCCACTGCCCCCCATCCCTCCAACGCTGAGGTAGGATCAGCCTGGGGTTTATTGGGGGAGTCCACGGAGTGGAGACAGTCACGAAAAATCTAAAATTGATGGATTTTACAATTATTGGCATGCTACTTCTCTAGTGATAACATTTTTTTGCATATATAGATTCAAATAAAAAAAAAACTTTTGTTTTACTTTCGAAAGTTCAGTTTATGATTTAGTATGTGTGGGTTTGCCTTGTCAGCAGTCAGAATTCTGTTCATTTCTTTTCATGTTAAGTAATGTGTCAATAGAAGGATATTTGGCTCTGAACTCTACGTCTCAAACTTCCGATGCCATAAATGCTTGTTCTTGGGCCTTCTCTTTGTGATTCTAATGCCAAAGGTGTGAAGACCACACTTTGGAAAGTGGTGCATTTCCTGACACATTCTCTAAGTGAAAACCTTCATGTAAGTCTGAGTTGCAAACTGAAACATATGCACGTAGGAAGGAGAAATGGGCAATTAACCAGTAGAGTCAGGTGCTCTGTGGGGATTGCAGATGCCAGCTGGGGCGGGGTGTGTGTGGGGGCATTCAGGGTGGGGTAGAGAACTGAACTTGATCTGACCTTATGGAGGAATGTTGGATAATGTACTAACCATTTGTACTGCTAAGTAGATGCACTGTCAGAGGCAACTGCAGGAAACACTGATAGTGTTCATAAAGAACTATGAAGAACAGTGCATTAGAATAAGCCTGATAAAGAATTATGAAAGGAAAGGACGTGAGAGTCAGCTCAATGTACTGATAACACAGATTGGATAGTGGCTGGCTGTTTACTAAACTTAGGATAATATATAACAACTCTAGCTTTAATTCCATAAAAATAGAGAGAAAAGTCCACTATACTGTTGTAGCCACTTTGCTGCCACCTGCATGCAATCTGCTTTTCCTCCCCCCAGCTAATTCTGTCTATGAATTGGTGACTGGCATGGTTTCCAACAAGGCAACGGCAACAGTGGTCCAATCGGCTGCTACCTTACAGAAATAAGGGACTAGTTTGCCAGATATTTGTATTCTTCAAGGGATTCTGGAAATTTGCATTTCTAGATGAGAGCTGCAGCTTTTAAAATGTTGGTTACTGCCCTAACCGGTTTGGCTCAGTGGATAGAGCATCGGCCTGCGGATGCAAAGGTCCCAGGTTTGATTCGGGTCAAGGGCATGTACCTTGGTTGCAGGCACATACCCAGTGGGGCCTGTGCAGGAGGCAGCTGATCGATGTTTCTCTCTCATCGATGTTTCTGACTCTCTATCCCTCTCCCTTCCTCTCTGTAAAAAATCAATAAAATATTAAAAAAAAAAAATGTTGGTCACTATTCAATTTTTTTTTTTAAAGAAAATGCTGTGTGGGCCTAAAAACCAAGTCTGAGGACAAGACCTCCTCCACCCCAGGCTGCTTTCCTTTAACATAATACACAGAAAATAAGGAGGGTGGGGGAGGGCCGTGTATAAGTTTGACCCTCTCCTCTTCTTAATAGACAAAAAGAACTCTTTCTGAAAAGATTCATCCATTAACCTGCAGAACTATTGACCAGGATTACATTATCAAATGATGGAAAGACTAAAACATACATATACACAAGTTGACATCCTTAAAATCATTTTTTACCTTTTATTTTTCAACATTTGCCGTGATTATGCCTCTTAGTTTGTAGATAAGGATAGAACACACATAATCATATGGTGGAGCAGAATAAAGGGAGAACTTAAGGAACTGAGCTTAATTATACCAACCTTGGAAGACAAGACTTGTTAGAAAAAGAAAGAAGAAAAAAGAACCAAATCCGATGAACAATAAACAAAATACAGAGATGTCAGGCTGAATTTATGCCTGGGAGAAGCTAAAACCCCGGGCAGATGGCCGTCTGCAGAGCTGGCTCCTCACCTGCAGAGTCATCCGAGGGCTCCCACCGGTACTGCGGCGTGGAGTACAGCTCGGCTTTGGCAGGGCCATTCTCGATGGGAAGACTGGGGTGGATGGTGTGGTAATCCACAGGGTTGCCATTCACGGTCACCAGCAGGCCCTGTGGGGGCGTGAGGGAAGAGGCACATCTGTGATGCAGCTGCTGTTTCAGTGTGGACATACAGCCTCCTGCCCTTCCGCTAAGGTATAACTCCACAGTGAAGGATGGATGGATAGCGAACAACTTAGTCAGCTATCCACATTAGCAAGATGAAATTGTGTCTATTTCCTCTCCAATTGGGACAGATCGCAATAAAATGTAACTCTGACCTTGTCCCGTCTCTGCTCAACACCATGCAATACACCTCTGTTCTAGAGTATGAACTCTGGAAAAGGCTGCCTGAGGCCTCATGACCTGGCCTATCTTGCCAGTCTCTGCTCTCATGGCGTCCTCCTCCCAGCCAGCCTCCAGCTCTAGGGACTCTAGACCTTTCCTCGCTGCCCTGGCCCTTCCTTGTCCTGCCCCACAGCCCATAGGCTCTGCACAGGACTAATGCAACAGGTCTCAGCTCAGACAGCCCTCCCTCTGGGGATCTCTGCCTGATGCTGCCAGCTTGTAATTCCCTTATTGTGATACGTCATATACTATGTGCAATTTCTTGTTTATTTTTCCCCCTCTGTTTCTTTGGCTTTACAATTTTAAAGATATGCATATAAACATACACATATACATATGCGTGTGTGTCCGTGGACATGTAAGAGTTCCTATTCAAATTATGTAGCAGGCAAAGCCACAGAGCAAAATGCTTTCTAAAACTTCCAACATGGTTTTTTAAAAGTTTAAATACATTCTGTATGACTATGCTGGAGTTCACAAGTCAGTGTTTTAATAGCAATAAACCAGATCTAATTTCTACAAAGTAATTATTCAAAAAGTTATAGAGATTGTATAGATCATTAAAATATACTAAAGGAGCTAATTCCATTTACGTCACTTTTACATCACTTATGCACATATAAATAATAATTCTAAGGATATACTAACATCAGATGGTTTGTAGTCATCTTGGGTCATGGATAAAAGCTGCAAAAAGCAATGCAGGACAGCATGTTAATATATAAGCCAAAAGCATTGTAATGTTTATATATATCTACCAAGTTTCACCACACACATATCCATTCTCTTAAACTAGCTCAATGCTAGTATGTTAAAATTGCCATGCAAAATGTAAAGGGACGTATAATTGAATGGGATATTGCTGTTTATTATAACAGTAGAGGCCCGATGCATGAAATTCGTGCAAGGGGCTTGGCCCCCACCACTGCCTCAGCCCCCTCTGCAGCAGCTTCGTCTGGAAGGTCATCTGGAAGGACTTCCAGAAGGATGTCCCGTCTAATTAGCCTATTACGCTTTTATTATTATAGATTGTCCAGCTTCTGATGCTAACTTTTAATTTTAACAGCAAGTAAGCAGGCATAAACAACATCACTATAAATGTTAATTATATTTTCCAGTGTTTTGTTCTAATAGATTAAACCGCCTGATTTTGAATTCCTAGAACCCTCTGAGACACTGCAAAATGTTCTGAATGTTCGCTTTTCACGAAATAGATGTTTCATAATAAAGAAAACATTATTTGTTGTGTGTTTTGAGATTATTTTAAGATTTGCATGCTGTCTACGACAAAAGAATTATTATAGGACTGTATTTTTTAGCTACGTTAGTGCCGGATGGTTTGGGCTCCCCCTAAATAATAAACATTTGCTTTGCCAGTGCAAAGGGGTCCCCAGGTCTTTTAAAACAGGACTCATTTACATTCTTACAAATCACTGGGGAGGAGGGAAGGTCCCAAAGTGTTCTTTATGTGAGTACTATCTGTCAGTATCTACCATTGAGAAATGAAAACTGAGACATTGAAAGATATTACATACTCATTGAAAATTAAATAGCCATTATATGTTAACATAGATATTCAAATAGCTGCATTTTAAAAACAGAGAAAAGAGTGGCATTGTTTTATGTTTTTGCATATCTTTTTAACGTCTGACTGATTTAAAGGAAGGCAGCTGGATTCTCATATCTGTTTCTGCGTTCAATCTGTTGTGATATGTTGCGTTGGTTGAAGTATGGGAAGAAAATCTGGTTCACTGAGATTTGTAGTTGGCAAAGGAAGAAGCATTTCAATAGTCTATCGCGATAATGGTAGATAGTTTCATTTGCTACTGTATCAAACTCAATAAATAGTAGGAACTTGAAGGTTAGTTGCAATGTGAAATCTAAAATCAAATCAAACTTTACACAGTGTTTCATCAAAATCCATTGATACACTGGCATGCTCGGAGATATTGCGGGTTTGGTTCCAGACCGCTGCAATAAAGTAAGTATTGACATAAAGCAAGTCATCATCTTTTTGCCAGTGGGGGTTTGCCTTCAGTTTGAAAAAAGACACAACATCTGTGAAGCGCAATAAAGCAAAGCACAATAAAGCAAGGTATGCCTGTACCTTGCACCTTGCATGGATCTTTTACCCACACGTCGCAATATCATATGTTGGTGATTTGCTTCAGTGAGTCATACAGCCCTACCAAGTATTGACATATTTCAGCACACAATATTTAAAACAGCACATTTGTTAATATCAGCACTGATTCCATGAAAATAGTCCTTAAGTATTGGGAAGTTTTCAAGCCCTCAGAAGTAGATACAAATTTGTCCATCGTTGAATTTTCACTCAAAAGTTCAAATTTTATCATTGGCGACAAATGCTGTGAGATGATGCCTTGAAAAGATTGGCTCACTATATTTATTTTTCAGTAACTGTCTGCCAAACACCCACACCTGAGCAATCACAATCTGTCTATCAGCTATTCTTTTAAGTAAACCTCGTGTTTAATGAAAAATGGCTAGTTCAACCCACACTTCCAATGACCCATCAAATGCTTTTCATTGACACAGTTGTCATACTTTAGTATGTGCAAACTCCTTATTTTGTCACACATAATATTAAAAAGACGTGTGCTCTAAGGTTGAGACTTAAGAAAATTAATAAAAAGTTCTGGTTCATCAAGGATACACTTAAGTGGAATTGGCCTGTTTTTTTTTTTTTTTTGCAAGTGTGTGGCCATGAAGAGTTGACCATGACTGTAGGGGTTCATGCCACTGCCTTGGTTTGTGCTTTTGTACCATCAGAAAAAAAATCATTAGCACAACGAAAGGTAAATATTTAACCAATTATTACAAAAATAGTTTTGAACTTGTGGATTGCTGTAAGGGCCTCAGGAATCCCCACTTTGGAAACTGCTGGGCTATGCTTTGTGTATATCATCACTTAGTGAAATGAGCATGATCATCTGGAACACGGTGTATTGAGAGAGGAAAGGACCCCTGGATCCTCAGATATCCGAGGGGGCCACATCTCCACATGGCTGCCAGCTCCCTAAGACAGCGTTTTCATTGTTCCACCCTCTCTCAGCACAGGACGGGCCTGGGTAGCATAAGACCACGTGTCTTAGAGCAACTCACCTACCACCAAATAAATCAGAGCATCTGCTCCTCAATACTCTAACATGCTACAGAGCAAAATGGCTGACTCCATCCAAGAAAAATAAGATTCTGTGTCTTTGGAGCATTGCCAATGGGACATTTTAGCAAGTCAGTATAGCACTGATTGAGTTGAGTTCAAAATGGTTAATATGTGCTCAAAACATTACATGAATTACCCAATTGTGACTCACTTTTCCTTGTCAATCCATACTGTTGCTTCACAGTAGTAAGAGACACTTAATTGTATTCATATAGATTGTTTTGATCTTCTCTAAGTGGTTTCTTGAGTTACTATTGTGGCTGGCTACCGAATAGAGTGCAAGTATTATCTGCAATGTATTTCAACAAGGAGACTTTCACCACCCAGTGCTAACAGATTACTTCCTTAGGCTTTGATTGTTTTAACACAGATTTACTTTTTTTAAATGAAGAACATTCTTTCTCTTTAGGATTAAGAGACTTCAGTGGAAAGCACAGAAATACAGAATGGTGGCTCATCGAGTACAGTGGAGCCATGGTATACCCTTTGGAAGCACTGGGCTCCCTCTTGAATAGAGCTCTCCGCTACTAAGACTTCAGAGTCAAACCATTTCAATAAACTGAGCAACTTGAGATTAATGCTGTATGACCAATATTCAGCAGTATAATATGAAAATAGCAAAATAAAGTAGGAAACGGAAATTCCTTTCCTAGTGTCTTACTTTTCTCTCATCAGTTGGGTAATGGGTTGCATACCACAGGCTCCGCCTCCTCTTAGCTGTCATTTGGATGGGACTACAAGCCAGGCCTCTCTCCTCCTTGGTCCTGTCATCCTGCACCTGAGACACAGAATAATAACTCACAGGACCAGCCCTGCTTCCCGGAGCAGTTCCCTCAACCACCAGGGTGACCAGGGAAACTTTCCAGCTTCGCTTAGATAGGATTATTTTTTAAATTAATGTATATAATATAAGAGGTTTTATCAAGACACTTTCAAAGATAACAAAAATGCTGTCATTTAAATGCTAAGCTCATCATTATTAAATGTTCCTGATTACTATTAAGCCCCATAAATTATAGGAATATGTTCTAAGGTTAAATATCCACAGCCTCTCCATGTGTGTTCTAAACACTAGAAGACAACTATACAAATGGTTCTTAGAGGAAGAGCTTTAAAAAAAAGTGCACAGTTAACTATGTAACCTGGCCATGGACAATCTTTAATTAAGAAGAAATTTATTAAAGGCAAAATCACCTAGAGTTTACATACAATATTAAGCAAGAATATCTCTTATTCACAAAACTGTGGCCTTGCCTAATAAGACATTGGCCTAAATTAGACAATTGGTCTGGGAGAGATGATAAAGGGAGGGTATAAGGAACAGAATGCATTGGGTGATTTAGTTTGCTGTCTCAACAAAGATGGCCCAATACAAAGGAAGTTAACCACTGATTTTGGAGCAGAGGGAGGGGACACAGTCCTACTGCCCAGTTCCCCAGTTCCCATGCCAGCATGCAGCACCCATGGAAACACACAGGCACACTGGGTGGAAATTCACACTTGCCAGGTGGGAGTCCATATACTACATTTAAGTTTTGACACCTGCATCTCTCTCTCTCTCTCTCTCTCTCTCTCTCTCTCTCTCTCTCTCTCTCTCTCTCTCTCTCTCGGTAGACTTTTACCACAGAACTAACCTTTATTTGCTGGCTAGCATTTTTCACGCAATGTGCCAGGTGATCTGGAATGATGATATAATTGGCCACCTGTCTTCCATCATTGCCTCAATGAGCCACACCCCTGCAGCCCCTGTGATGTGTAATACTGCTGTGAACTGTGCAGGCTGTAACCTGCGTGGCCTTCCTAGCCGCCTTCCTTTGTCCCCAGATGCCCTGCGGCTAAGGCAGCCCCGTGTCTCATCTGAATGTCTCATCCATTGGAGCAGGGATAGCAGCCTGCCCCTTTGTGGCAGCAGGACAGCCAGGGCACACGGCGCCTGCCATTCTGTGGTCGCATGAGAAATCTGAGAAAGCTAAGGGCACTTACGAACTCTTAGAAACTCAAATTCCTTAAAGCGGCGGTTCCAACCTTGGCTGCACATTAGAATCACCTGGGAATCTTTTTAAAATCCTGATTTCTGGGCCTCATCCTCCAGAAATTCTGTTTCTTTGTTATGGGGTGGGGCCACAACATTAGTAACAAAGAAACAGAATTTCCGGAGGATGAGGCCCAGAAATCAGGATTTTAAAAAGATTCCCAGGTGATTCTAATGTGCAGCCAAGGTTGAGAACCACTGCCTTAAAGTAACTTTCGTCAATTATAAAACTGATCAGAAATAGTTCCCATAATACATGTCAGTTTCTTTTGTACACGCATTTACTCGGGCATACATACATACTCATATTTGTATGCGGTTTTGTGGCAGAAGCAAACACAATAAACACTTAAAGGATTTTACTGGCACACTTGAATTTCAGAAGGGAATTGGATAAACATATAGCAGACGATAGTTGGATTCCCTGTGACCCCATGAGCATTTTGTTACTGTGCAACTGCCAGCAGTGGGCCCCAAAGAAAGGTGATACATGAGAAGCCTGTGAACTAGGGTGGCTTCCCTGGCCCTCATTCTCCGGGACTGGCTGCACAATGGGGAGGTGGTTTCACATAGGAGAGAGAACAGAACAGAGGCCCAGGCCTCAGGTGGCACTTTTGCCAGGAACGGATAGACACATGCACCCTACCCAGTGTCATAGTACTAAATGCCTCAGATCCCATTTACTTCTCGTGGCTCTTTTTCTCCTGTAAAATGTACAGTTTCTCTAAGTGGACATTTTGGCTATGGGTTGCTGCTCTATCCTCAGCCCCGGGTTTGTGTCTGAGACAGCGGCTGGTGATATACAGGGTACCCAAAAAATGTATACACACTCTGCATAATTATAAAGGCAGTGTTTATTAAAATAGATTGCATTTCAAAATGTACTAGAAATCAGCTGTTAAAGTGTGTATACATTTTTCTAGGACACCCTGTATATTTGACTGACTGACTGACTGACTGACTGAATGAATGAATGAATGAGTGGATTGGTCTGTGGGTGTGAAGACAGAAAAAGGGAAAGTAGGCAAGCAGGGCCCCAACCTAGAAGTGATATGAGAGGAGGCATGACTGGATCGCAGAGACTTCAGCCCAGCCGTGCTCACTGGACCTGCCTCGAACCTGTGGACCCCTGCCCCGGCAGGTGGTGGATGGAAGGTGTGTCAACCTGTCAGTACTACTTGCCTCCCTCACATACCAACAAGCTGCCTTAATAACTGAACTTTTTTTAAAGTAACATTTTATCTACCATAAAAATTTATAATTTCTAAAAAAATCCACAAAGAACAAAAAGACAGTCTGGTAAATCCAAGATTTATAAAAACCACGCACAAAAACCATGGTATTTAGAGAAGTAGAAAATGTTTATATAAGTAGCACTTTTGAAATGTAGCTTTTTTCTACTATCTATTGCACATTCACATACACACACCAATTGAAAATATGCCAACACCAATGTTTGCAAAAGCAGTTCAGCATTTTCTAAATGGCTTTCTCTCTCATTTCCTGGATAATGCAGCTGTTAATACTGCACAAGTACAGTGAAGCGAATTTTAATTACTTTTAAACAAAGATAAAGGGATTTTTCTCCCTCAAAACATGTTTTAATCATGGAAACAACTGAGCTTCTTACAGACATTGAGGTTCTATGCCAGCAGTGCTTAGAGGTAGAGGTCTGAGAAATTTGGAAAACGCCAGTCACTGCGATAACAGGGGATACAGTCACTGAGAACCTAGCTTTGTTGTTAAACATTAGTTTGAATCTGGTTTCTACTCTGCAGTGGGTGTGTGATTTTAGACCACTTTACCACTCTACCCTCATTTTACTCACCTCTAAGTTGGGTACAATACTACTCTTCAGAAGAGGCAGTGGGTTGAAAAAGACAATGCATGTAAACAGCCTAGCATATGGCCTGGTACTTTGTACTAAGTGCTCAATAAAAATGAGTCTTCCATTCTCCATCTCACCTATCATTCTTAGCAGCTCATGTTGATAGTATCAAAGAGAAGCTGGTCTTTGTTCTGATAGTATGTGTACTTAGTACTCTTTGTAGAATCAAAAAACGCTATAGGCAGAACACTCTATTTTGGGGAATATAGTATTGCTACCAATACTATATTGAGCACTTAACAGGAATGAACCATTTCACCTGGGTTTTTCCAGGTTACTTTGCAGACAAGATCACAAAAACCTTTTGATCCTTACAAGCGGCTCCTGCAGCCAGAGGCGGATCAGAGTGGCCAGCGTGTAGTACATCACCAGCAGCAGGATGGGGTTGGCGTGGTGGTACCATGATAGGTTTGGGTTTGCCACGATCTTCCACGTGCTGGAACAGTCTGTTTGAATCACTGATTTGATACCAAACAACCTGTCAAAAAATAAATGAAAATGTTTTAAAAACATAACAAACTCTGTGTCCCTAATACAGTAAAGAAAAATCTCGTTTTTAGTTCATACATGAGCTCTTCTTAGGTTAATCCGTCTTATTCTAGATATTTCATTACTCTTCTGTATATATAACTACATATTTAAACAATAGATGTATTTATATATGTCCTTAAATCATATATATGTGTTAGCATGTGTGTGTGTATATGTATAAATGTTGCCAACATTAGCCAGATGACCTTTACATTGGTTCAAAGATCTAGCTAATACTAAATCTTTGCACACCTATTAGAAATTTAACTGTCAGTCAGCCCTATTTAAATATGCTTTATTGAGATGTCAGGTCAGTAGTAACATGTTACTAAATCCAGGTGAATGAGCATATATTTTGTATTTGGTATGATTTAGCATTAGCTATTCAGTTAGTGTTGATATTATTGGGCAAATGTTAAAATTGGAAACTATTCTACAATTCAGTCATAAAAGCCAGATATTATATACTATAGTTTCTGTTAGATATATTTCCACCTAACTTTATTTATGGGCAATTAGATTTTTTACTTTAAAACATACTTTTATGATGTGTTTTAAATTCTGAAATTTTTTACGTTCCTTCTACTAATAATCAGAATGTATCTACTTATATAACGGGAAAATATGTAAAATACAATTTATTTAGAAATTCACTGTTTATGAATTTTTCTAAAAAAGGATTCTATTAAATGACTAAAACTTTTACAATGTAAGTGAGTCTCATATCTTTCTATCATTCCTATTTCTTACATGGGAAATTCCTTTGAATTTTATGATACATTCTTCATTCAGTTATAAGATCTTCCAAGACTATAGTAAATGTCCCTCACTCATAAACCTTTAAGTTTATTATTGTTTTCTATCACAAAACAAGTAGAGTACTGGTGAACTTCTGAACACAAATTTTAAGATAAACTACATAGAATTTAAACTTGTCCACTTCATAGCCCCGGAGAGGTAGAGGGATGAGGGAGGCATTTTCTGTAGAACTGGCTTGCTGGCAGCTAGTGGCAGACTTGTCTCCGGGAGAAATTTCAGCCCAGAATGGGCAACTGTGGCTCTGCTTGTCTGGGATGTGGCAACACTCAAGGAGTACAGTGGCATGAGGATGTGGCAGGAATCACGACACTGGCACTTGGTGAGTGGCTGAGGGCTCAAGGAACACTAGTCCAGGGAGACAGGCCCCCTTCGGGGTTAAGGAGCCGCACAAGGATGAAGCAGGGTCCTGGGGCTCTGAGATCCCTTTCATGTGCTTCTTCTCCTTGGAACTTCAAACCACTGTGGCATCTGCAGCATCTCCCCTCTCCGGCTGGAGTCACCTTGGGATCCTTTAAAGTACCACTACCTGGCCCTACCTCGGACTATCTGAGATCTCTTTGGGTATAGCTGAAGGTGGTAGAACATTTACAAAGCTTCCCTGAGGGTTACTTGCAAAGAGAGCTGAGAATAACCTCTCTGACACTATGTTTACTACAAAGGCATGTAACTCTATAGTACACATGGTGCACTAACGGAGCAGTTTGTAAAAAGACATCACCTCAGAGAGGCTGCAGGAGCCAGGCTGACTGTTTAGGTCTATATCTTCCCTTTGCTTACCAGCGGTTCTCAACCTGTGGGTCGCCAACCTGTGGGTCACGATCCCTTTGGGGGTCAAACAACCCTTTCACAGGGGTCCCCTAAGACCATCGGAAAACACATATATAATTACATATTGTTTTTGTGATTAATCACTATGCTTGAACTATGTTCAATTTGTAACAATGAAAATACATCCTGCATATCAGATATTTACATTACGATTCATAACAGCAGCAAAACTGCAGTTATGAAGTAGCAACGAAAATAATTTTATGGTTGGGGGTCACCACAACATGAGGAACTATATTAAAGGGTCGCGGCATTAGGGAGGTTGAGAACCACTGGCTTAGACGAAGCTCATCAAGCTTCTTGGGTCTCCAGAGAGACCCTTCCTCCTTTCCCTCTGCTTCAGGTCAAATATACTTTCTTGCCTCAGTTTGGAACCTCAAGACTCTGCTTACAATAACATTTATGCAAATCCTTTGTTTGGAGAAGGTATTAGTTTACTCTTTCCCTAAACACAAAGTTCCCCTGGTAAATACATCTTTAGAGCTAGTTACCATTCCTCTCTAACCCTTGTTTTCACTGCTTTTCTACAGAGCTCATACCTTCCTGTGAGGTAGGAGAGCCAGGTATGGGGTGATTCACAGCATGGGCTTGAGGGTGAAATTTGAGTTCAAACTCTGGCTTTGCCACTCCTATCATGTGTCTTGGGGTAAATAACTTATCTATACCTCAGTTTTCTTATCTTTAAAATGGGAATAATAGAACCTACCTTATAAAGTTGTTGGAAGCATTCAATGAATTAGAACTTGGCACTGGTAAGTATTCAATAAACCTTAACTATGATAATGATGAACCCAGTCCTACAGTATAAAGTAGGTGCCTCATTTTCCTTTCCTACTTCCTCGCAGGGTCCCGGAGCCTTCTTGGGAGAACACAGCAAACAGTGACTGAATCCCTTCCAATGCCGGACACTCTACATCAGGGGTCCTCAAACTACGGCCTGCAGGCCACATGCAAATACAAATATTGTATTTGTTCCCGTTTTGTTTTTTTACTTTAAAATAAGATATGTGCAGTGTGCATAGGAATTTGTTCATAGTTTTTTTTAAACTATAGTCCGGCCCTCCAGCGGTCTGAGGGACAGTGAACTGGCCCCCTGTTTAAAAAGCTTGAGGAGCCCTGCTCTACATCCACAGCCTGCTTTAGCACCTCACTGAGTCCATGAGGTAAATATTATTCAACCACCCACAAGATGAGGAGGCCAGAACTCCAGTCTCACAATGAGGGAGCCAGGCAATTGGGACCCATGTCTGTTTGCATTCCAGAGTCCTGCCCCTCATGAAGCGAAGCTGACAATTAAAGGCAAAGTGCCTGGAACAGGCGCAGAGAAGGACTTTCCTTCTTGCTTGAGCAAGAAGCACCCAGTTCCCTTTGCTCACACCCTCCTCTGTCTCTTTCACTTTTACAAGCACATTATCATAGACTCTCCTGGGATGAAGGTCGCACAAATGACCTCAATCTCTTTGGTAAGGAGGTGGAAGACACAGGATGAAAAATAGATGTTCCAAATTTAGAATATTGAGCAAGAAGCCACTGAATAGTGTTTATTGTCAAATATAAAACAGAACTTTCTATAAAGACAGAGAAACTTTACAGAAATCTGTTCTATATTTTCCCCAACATTCTTTACATCACCAATTCATTAAAAATGTACATTATGTTATACTGGAAATATGTCTATGAAAACACTACACAATAAAACTCCTAACCAAGTTCATGCATTTCTAGTAATTCTCACTAAATCCCAATTCTGACAAGCAGTATCTTAGCAAAGGCTTGATTACAAAGATCCAACAGCATTTTTCATATTAATTTCCTTTATGGAAAAACATTTACTTACTCTGATAGTATAATGAATACCATTGTCGGAAACTGATATAAACAAGTCAAAATAAGCCAATGTCACTTATGATTCAATTTCCTTCCTATTTGAACATAAAAGAAAACTTCTGTTTTTATAAACACTTTGTAAGATTCCCTCAGTTACTGGTTTACAATAACAAATTCCCATAAAATGGAATAAAATAATTCTCTGAAATCACTTCCCTCATTATACTAACTCCCCCTGACTGATTATTACTGAAATTTATAATGCTAAATCTCAATAATGAGTAATAAAGTTGCTACCATACCAGCAGCCCAATCTGAAGCTGATTGACTCTTTTTTTTTTTAGGGATTGAAGATCAAATCACGAATATTTTTGAGCAGGTTAGCAATCACTGACCTCTAATCCTCCACTCACATCTCCACTCAATAACCTACCCCCTTTCTGGCCCAGATAAGAGATGCTCAAGGTCATATGTTAGATTGAAGAAAAGAGCTAGATTTAGATAAAAGGATTATTGAAAACAGACATCAATCCTTGGTAATTCCACTACTTTGATGCTAATGGCTAGACCAGTGATGGCGAACCTTTTGAGCTCGGCGTGTCAGCATTTTGAAAAACCCTAACTTAACTCTGGTGCCGTGTCACATATAGAAATTTTTTGATATTTGCAACCATAGTAAAACAAAGACTTATATTTTTGATATTTATTTTATATATTTAAATGCCATTTAACAAAGAAAAATCAACCAGAAAAATGAGTTCACGTGTCACCTCTGACACGCGTGTCATAGGTTCGCCATCACTGGGCTAGACTGAGGTAACAAGGTCTATTATATAATCTATATAAAGCAATTATCACAGAATGTGGCATGTACTAGCTGCTCAAGAAATTATGGCAACTGCTATTAATATTGTTATTACTATTAAGCATAATGTGAACTTGGTCTATGCCAGGGTCATAGCTCTATTTATAATATCATATTGATTTTGCTGAAAAATAAAAATAGATAAATGTCCTCTTTAAGATGGAACAGAACCACAATCACCCTCAAGAAAAAAGCTGGGTGATAATATTTGAAAGAGTTTGGGTGAGGTGGTAGGGAGGCTCTGCCAAATGTATAACATTTAATTATTAATATTATTATTAATTATTAGGTTATTTAGCAAGAAAAATCTCTCTCATCTTGGTAATGTGATCAAAGAAAGGAGAAGAGGCCCACTGGAGACACTCAGTTGTAGATTGGTTTCTGCAAAGCAGACATTCTCCTGTTGCTGGGCATATGTGCATTCTTAAACACATATATGTATGTTCGTTTCTTGTACTAAATAAAGAAATACTCTTCGCACAGAAAAGGCCCACAACTACTTTCCAATCCAAGAAGAATGTGAATGAGGTGAGGGTGATGTGTAGTCTTGTTTTGACAGTAACAGGACATAGGAAGCATTGCTTCTGGTGGGCTTGATGTCAACAGTC